GCAAACACCCCAACATGGCAGTCGCCTTAGGCAGAATCCGGGAAGTAATCTGCAGATGTACAATACCTAGAGATAATTAGCAGCATGTAATATAGCTCGCTCTTAAATCGATATTAGCAATATGACGCCACTTGCATCCATCACCGACTATCTCGTCTCCTGGTAGGGCGTATCGATAAGCGATAGCGTTGCGTCAGATCAGGCGGGGGAGGGGAAGAAGAGGGGAAGACCTTTTGGACTAGCTGACTAGCAGGACTAGCAGGTTAAGAGACTAGGGGATAATGAAAGAGACAGGGGACAGCGGACAGGGGGGAAGCTCGGACTCAATATGCCTGGCCGCCGCTTTTGCTTTTGCTTTTTATCATCTTCGCTGACGGTCTTCCCCTTTGGGTCGTGTAGGTCTTTTGAGAGTTTTATCGTCTTAGATGTTGATTGCTCTTCGTACTCCGTGGCACACAGTCAGGTCTGTCTGACTAGACTGCTTAGGCTAGAATGTGTTAATGTGTCGGTGGGTAAGGGTCTTAGACTGGACTCCTGTGTCTACTTCTGGAAGGTTTTGTGGCGCTGTATACATGAAACTCCAGAGACTCATCTCGGGTGTAGTACCAGCTGGTCCGAATTTTTGTTCGGGCCGTGGGCGTAGGTAGGTACCAAGGGGAATGGAATGCCAGCTACCACAGCCTCGGTGGATAGGAATAGTGCTGGCTGGGCATTCGAGGCGTCTTACAGGTCTTACAATAATAGTAGGCAGGGCGGAATTTGGTGTGTTATGACTAATGCAGATAATACTACTGCATACGTGGTAGCTAGGTGGTGGATCATCAGGTACAAGAACCACGATAATGGATGATGGGGACACCGCACATACGTCGCACACATGTCCTGTGTCTCGTAGGGCAGGCGGTGAGGGTTTGATAGCATGTTCGCGTATCTGGCAATGGAAAAGCCACAGAACTGAGAGTTAGTCCAAAGGTTTTGACCAGTGCATCAAAACATGCGCTCGCATGTATGTAGGCAGGCTAGGTAAGGGAGGGGGAAAAGGCTCCGAGCGAAGCGAAATATGAGTGGAGAAAATAGCTGATGGAGGGTATCCAGATAGTCAACCTATAGTGTGGTATGTGTGAGGTACCGTAAAAGAAGAGTGCTACGGTTTACGTAGCAACTATCAGCTGGACGCTGACTTGTGTATTCCCAAACGGCCTAGATGTGATGAACTGGCATGAATGAGGCGAAACCAGTAAGATCTCCGGGACCCGAGGGAGCTTTTACACGATATCCCCGATGACACGATGGCCTTTGATAGGTTGTGATCCATCCTGGTGCCTCTGGTGCCTCTGGTATCTATATAGGCAATACAGGCACAAGATAAGCACTCGGACCTCAAGCGAGTCAATACGCGCCCGTTGACCGTCCGTAGGGATGATGGCAAGATGGATAACCTCCCCGGCAATAAAAACTAAATGATAGACGTCGAATATAGTTACTGGAAAGGCAGGCGTTGCGTCAGAGAGCCACCAATGTGATGTAGATCATGACCTAATGAGGTTTAGTCGACAGCAGCCCTCTCCTCAGGGTTGCAGAGATCCAGTGGGTGAAGAAGAGATCGTTTTTAACAACCGACATTGAAAAATACATATTCCCTTCATCGACCTAAACTGCCCTTTTGCAAGTGAGGCCTTCCATCTCACTGATAAGTTTAGTAATGGGGAAACGATAGCATGGGAAAAGACGGAAGGGAATGAAGGGACAAGAGAGGGTGAGAGGAAATTGGACAATACCTGCATACCTTGGTACCTGAATATCTAGATACGCACTCTAAAGGCTCGAGCGAAAATTGAATATCTAGATATCTGGTATCTGGTACTTGCTGTACCATATGCACGTGGTTTTAAACAAGCTTACTTTCTTGCTAGGTAGTTTCGCAAGGAAAGCCAAGATCGAGACTTCAGCTACGCTCGTAAGAGGTTTTGACTGGCGACGATTGCCGTAGAAATCGATCAGGCTCAGGCATTTCCAGTAAGTACCGAAGAGAAACGCACTTGTCCTAGGTCGTGCTTGGTGATAATTCCCAGGAGAACGGAGGACAGGATTTAAACCTACAAGTACCTAGGCAGCTAGGTAAGCAAGTCAGACATTTCGTGGCACAGCATCCACACGACCACGCTGCCACGGAGGTGACGAATATTCGGGACCTTCAGGGACGACAGAGGCCTTTTTCCTTTTCCCATCTTGTCCCTTACGACGGCAATGCTAATGCCGATGAAGTGCATAAGACTAGTGGGTGTAGTCGAGATGGAGATTTTCCAAGTTCCTGTGCCTTGCTGTGCCTTGCGAGCTGAGGCGTTCATGCCAGGACTGTTATACTAGTTGATGCAACTAACATGGTACTAATAGTATGTTAGGCAACTCCGGTCGCGATCAATTATGTGCCTAGATATGTGTCATATTTGTGATGGCGGATAGTTGTGGGGGCCGAACAGGTCGGGGAACGAAAGATGCATTTGTTGTATGATGTTTATTACATCTGTAGGGACATTGAAGATTGGTAGATTGAGAAAATGGAGGAATAAATGAGAAATAATCAAAGACTTCCAATTTTTGATCCCATGATTACTTCCTTCTCATCGTTACCCGAATCCGGGACCTGTTTCCCTGGAACACAAGGATACGCTAGGGATTGAGCCAATCAGATTATAAAGTTCGACGCTGTTTTTTTATAGAATTAACGAACCCCTGCCAGTTTGCTGTTGCCTCCCATGTCTCATCCTCAGGGCTGCCAGGGTATCTTTTGTGAGCCTGTCCTTGCCCTGACTTCCCTAGTGTGATGGCAGAGAACAGGTACCGGAATATGTATGGAGACGAGACAATTGTACATGGTAAGTACATCCAATCTCAGGGGTTATTAGCTCTACGCAGGGAAGTTGCCCAGGTGCCCTGTAGTTGCCTGTCCAGCCCCTCGCACCAACAGTAAAATAATAAGCTCGCTACGCAACACCCCTCTGTCCCTCTTTTTTTTTCTTTTCTCTCGTTTGCCCCTCTTCTTTACTTCATCCCACCACAACCAAACCGAAGAAAAGGAAAAGTTCCAAGGTTTAATTCTTTAATTCTTCGTAACTTGATATCTGTGCGGTGGGAATCCTCCACAAACAAGTCCGTAACTGTTGACCTTCGACCTTTCGAGGATTAAAACCCTGTTGTCTTTCTGTCGCATTCTTATTTTGGTGTTGTTTCTTCTGTTCTCCTGTTCTCTTGTCCTGCACTTCCGTCTCTGCTATTGGATTGGATTGTCTTGAGTCTTGAGGTTAGCTGGAATAGTTGGTGTTACCGCCGCCCGAATTACCCACCCCTTATATTCAGCTGTCTTTCCTAGTCCGCTAGTGTCGCGAAACAGAAAGAGAGGGAGGGGGTTATAGAGAGAGACATGACTACGAAAACGATACTACTGTACAGCTAAATGATTCTCTTTGCCGTTCGATGACCTCACTAGCGCGCCGTTCTTATCGACTAGATGGACATTCCAAGGTTCTTACGACTCTAACGAATGAAGCGCCGCGATAATCACCACATCAGATATCCACTTCTGTACGTCTGTTCCTCTCTATCCACTTTACCAGGCACACACACGCACACATACACTTCGTATAGCTCTTCATTCGTGCATATTTTCATACTGCCAAGCCATCCCAAGTGTCAACTGTCCCTGTCAAAATAAAAGAGGTACGGCTTTACGGCTTATTTGGATTTTTATACAAAGTGGCAGCCGAAGCGATATTTTATTATTTTTTCGCTAAGTACCTACATACATACGGCTCCATCTGCATTGTACAACATGTTCTCCTATTATACACACACTCGCACACCAGAAACTCACATACAGTCCATACATATACCGTACATACGCCCAATATTATACAAATACATATCACACATACATACCTACACACATATCTACACTCACACACCAGACACGCTTACATACTTCGACTAGGGATCCCCATCCATCTATCAGTCTAGCTCGTAAATCCATCGCAAGTCAGGATCATTGACAAGCCGAACCATCCCAACCTACCTTAACCTGCCTTACCTACCTACCCATCTCATCATCTTGCTTCGTCGCCCCTCCAACATTAACAATTTTTATTTCTTTAATCCGCTTCGAATTTCGGATCCCTTCTCTTTCCTCCCCTCGCCTCACACATCCCTTCTTGCCACCTTGCCATCACATTATTTGCACTTGCGCAATATTGTCATCAACTCTAAACGACTCGAATCTTTAGCAAAGTGAAAGTGATTTATTTCACTCCTTAAGGGATATTAGAACTATCACGGATCAAAGATCAAAGTTACAGTTACTCGGTTGGCCCCTCGACTCGGCAGCCTGCATGGTTTTATTTTATTCTAATTCGACTCTCAATCGCTTTCAGCTTGATCGACCCCAACTCCCGCTTCTGGATCAAGCCTCCAAGGTGGTTGGTTAGTCCCTGGCCTAGACTCCTCGGGCTCTCTCTTCTCACTCGCCGCTCGGGATGAATACGTCCTCGGCTGGAGCACGATAACTGGTTAACAAAATAATCGGTGGGAATATCATACTGTCGTTGTTGTTGATTGATGCCATTCATAATTGCATCCAACACAGACAAAAGTTGTGTTGAATCCCCCTGTCGCCGCTTCTGTTCTAGTCGGTCGCAGCATTCCAAGGGCGGACATTCGTCATTCCTGGCCAGGATCCATCCTATCTTACTTCCACCTGTCTCAGTTTCAGCCGCTGCCCGCTCGACCTGACTCGAACTCCCCACCGAGAATTCCCGGAACGTTGAGCGCCCATATCCAGAGAACATCTCCGTCTCAAGTTTTCAGAATATCAATGATCACCGTTTGCCTCGCAATAAATAAATCCTGCGAATGAATTATATCCAATTTTCATCATTGTTCCCTTTCTCCCCTCCTCTCTACTTCGATACCTTCCTCGCCTTTGCGCTTCTTTCGTCTTTTTGACCGGTCGCAATTAACTCCCGACGTTTCCGCCGTGGCTTACCTTCAAGAGGCTTGCATTCAATTCCTAGCCCTAGGAAGTCCACTGTTTAACCAAAATCAACCCTAATTCGCGAACACGTCTGCTAGAGTCGTCGATAGACGCCCGTATTTGTGCGGGGAATAGTACTATGGCAGCAACATTCCGGCCTGTCAACACACCGATGGCGATTGAAGTGAAGAAGGACGACGGGGCGGCGCGGTCGCCTACTACGCCTACCCCGACGAAGGCCACCTTCGGCCAGCGACCGCTACCGACGTCACCATTCCCACAAGCCGTTCAGATTCCCGAAAGCATAGAAGAAAAGCAAACCCCGAAGCAAGCGACCAAACAGACACCTAAACGAGAAAACTCGCAACATTCGAAGCGGTCGCGAGGGGATTCCGAAGACGTCGATATGGACGAATCAGATGGAGAAACTCACGGGGAGGATGGTGCAGGATCAGACGACGAGAGTGTAAACGCAGATGGGACGAAATCGAACAAGAAAAAGAAGTCGCAACGGTTTTATTGCACCGACTATCCACCTTGCAATTTGAGCTTTACGAGAAGTGAACACTTGGCGAGACACATTCGGTATTTCTTAGCGCTCCCTTCCCCTAACAAATGAAGGATGAGACTAACAATCACAGGAAACACACCGGAGAGCGCCCATTCCAATGCCATTGCTCGAGACGATTTTCGCGGCTAGACAATTTACGACAACATGCGCAGACCGTGCATGTCAATGAAGACATCCCAATCGATTCGCTTGCCGCCACTGGTACGAGGTTTCAAAGGCAGATCCGAACTGATAGAGTGCGGCAACCAGGAAGAGCTCGAGCCTCGACGGCAGGGAGCATGGGTACTCCAACTCGTGGCCACGCCAAATCGCTCTCTACTTCGAGCATAAGCTCTGTTGGCTCCACCTTTAGCACCCGAGAAGATGTACGCAGGCGTCCGCCGCCCCTGGTGATGGCAGACCCGAGGTCTCGGCTGTCTATTGAGACGTATCATGGTCCGGAAAGTGCCTATTCGTATCGACCGCCGTCTCCAAGTGACTTCAGCACACCAACCTCGGCAACTTTCTCGACCGGTCAGAATAGTCCTAGGTGGGGATCTGCAATTGCATCGCCAAGTTCATCTCACCAGCGTCCTCAGAGCATGTATGGTGGTCACAGAACTCCAGGCCGACGACTCAGTGTACCATCTGGCGGGATACCGTTCCAGTCACCTCACGGTGCGGCCCTTGGCCGTCCAACTTTCGGCCCGGGTCCGGTCAACACCTCAAATCCCGGTGCATTTTCTCCGACCAGCAGCCTTTTAGGATCGCCAACCTCGTCCGTGTTTTCTTCTCGGAGAGAATCCACGTCACAGACAGAGGATTGGCGTCGTCGCACATGGCACCCCGACTCTACTAACTTCAACACTGTTAACAGCAGCCGCTTAAGCAACGTTGTAACCCCATCACAGTTCCAGAGCCCTGTCGCTGCCCCATCGCCTTTAGCTGCCCCACCGCAGCAAAGTACAGCACTTCGACTACCGGGCATAGAATCGTTTGGCCCTCTCCCACACCGGCCCGTATCGCCTCCTAGACGGAATCCCTCTCCCATGATTGTCGATTCCGAAGTTTCTCACCCACCGGCGTTACTCCCTGCTGCCCACTCCGGTGACTCCGACGAAAGGCGAAATACGGCCAACTGGGACATGGGATTGCACCGAGGGTTAACTCGACTGGATATCACGTCTAATAATCCACCACCCGCAGACATCGCACGTACTTGGGCCCGCGAAGCAAATCATGCCGTTGAGGCGGAGGTGGAGCGAGTTAGGATAAATCCCCCAACTGTACGATTTAATGAGCCGGTAGTTATGGAGAGCAGACCTCCCGTTGCGACTAGCCTGCCCAGGGCCTATCATCAACATACCATGTCAGCGCCGCTGGTTAACACTGCAAGGGAAACAAAGCGGCGGGGGTGGTACAATGGTCCCGTGACGGTGCATGCCGACGCACCTCCTGAGAAAATAGCTAGAGTGGATCGTATGATTCACCCAAATATCAGCGAGTTCTCAGGTTTCCCTGCTAGAGAGAATGCTATGAATGCCCCACCGAGAGAAGAAAACGCTGGCGAACGAGACAACATGCTCCGACTACAGGCGTTAGTAGCAGTGGCAACAAGCGAGGGAAACGCAACAACCGCATATTAATTGTCATGGGAACCAGTCCCACAAGGACACACCACAATATCATGTCGATAAAACGATTATCTACGAAACCTACTTAGTACACATGGACCCTAACGGCTGCTGGGCACAGCGGATTTACGAGACCTACGATTTTTCTTGATCATTTTCTAGAATCAAGCATTTGCATGATACACGATCGCTACTCGACTTACGAATATACCATCTCATATTTATCTGCGCGGATTTCAATTGCATTTACTATTGGATTGGGTTATATAATGGTGGCACCAGTTGGCGTTATAGGAGGATTTGTTCATGACTGAGGGAGGGAAGGCCTACCGTTTCCATTCGTTACGCGGCCGCAACCATCTCCGCCCTTGCGTATGATGCGTTCCCTTCAAGAATCCCCTCGTTGTTCTTGTCCCGGAGAGGTCGGCCACCGTGGATTTACACAAGATATATGGGCTGCAGCGATGATTTTTCTTTTCCTTCTTAATATTTTCTAGCTGATGACTGATGATATGACTGAGATACCCGTTCATTTTCAGATGAGGGTAATCGCAAGAATGGGAGGGAACTAATATTGGTCTTTTGCATATCCTCTTTTGCGTAGCAGCGAGCATGAAACTTTCCTTAGGGGGGCTTCCAAGTCCGCTGCACCGCTGATTAGACAAGAGCAGAGACTTTTCCTTGTTCAGAGAGCTGGGAAGGCTCGGATACTTGCGTACGTGCTGTGGGATTGATACCCCAAATTTCTGTCGGACATTTAGGCCAGGTCATTTCCTTCGTTATTATTCCAGTATATGCTTTCGAATATACTCGTGATCGCGAAGATTACCTAAGGTTGAGGACCGGTTAAATAGATAATCACAGCTCTCGTTCACATATTCTCAGCGTTTGTTGATGGCACGCTATCGTGATGATGGATATGAGTGAATAGTAGCAGTCAAATGAGCGGGTCTTCGGTGCGCATGGCTGTTTATGATGTATCGAAGTGAGATTACTATGGTTGTAATGAGATGTAATTCTATAGTATCGTCCTTGAAAGGGCCCGATATGAGATGAAAACCCCGCCTGCTTAATTTGCCCTGCCCCTTTTCCATAGACCTTGAGGGAAACTCCAGTGGGGTTTCCCGCCAATGACGAAAAATGAAGCTGTGGCGGTAACGCCTGATAAAATAGCAAATACAAGATTCATATTACCATAACCAACTCCGTCACGGAGGGCGCCGGCGACAACGGGACCGACGGTGAGCCCGGCGCAGAAAAATAACGAGTTAAACCCGTACAGCTGGGCGTAAGGGCCGTTAGCCCCGAACAAGCCCGGGTTGGCACGGTCGTACTCCTGCACCACGTAACTCGTCTCGACCACGCTGGGGGACCCGATCACGGCTAGACCGACGCCATTCAGCGCTAGCAAAGCGCAGTACAGCACCACGTTGCTCGTCCCGGCGAGCAGGCGGTCGGAAGGTAAGCGTAGGAGCACGAGAGAGGGCACGAGGTACGCGAAGCCCAGCACGGACGCGAGCTTGGTGCCGTACCGGTCTACGGCCCACCCGGCCACGGGGCCGAGAATTAGGTACGGCACGTCGAGGGCGATGAACAGGAGGCCGGCATCTAGGGAGGTGAAGCCGAAGAGGGACGACGCTTCGGTCGGGATGGTGGCGTCGAAGACGGCGAGGAGCGAGGCCTGCACGAAGGCTAGGCTGAAGCCGACGAGGAGGCGCGGGTTCCGGAAGCAGAGGAGGATGGGGAGGGTGCGGGTCAGTCGGTTTGGGGGGTTGTGGATTTTGTAGGAGGAGGAGCAATCTTGGTTCTTGTTCGGTAGTAACGCGTCGCTCTCAGTGGGAGTCTCTTCGTCGCGATCATCACCACCACTGTCCCTTCGGGACCCAGAATCCACGTCCCGATCCGGCAACACGCTCCCCTCGTACTTCGCGGCCGTCTTCTTTTCGATAACCAGCAACCGCATGACGAAATCCAAACCCAGCACCCCCGCCGCGACGCCAAACACGCCGCCGTACCCGGTCCGCTCGTACAGCACGCCGCCGATCACAGGCGCCATCAGCTCCCCGACCGAGATAAAGCTGAACACGGTGCCCACGACCTTGCCCAGGTGCGCCGGGCCGACGGTATCGAGGACCATGGCGAGCCCGATGGTCCAGACGACGGCGGCGCTGACGCCCTGGAGCACACGCGCGGCGAACAGCACGCCGAGGCTGCGCCCGAAGGCGAGCATCACCGTCGCCGCGAGCAGGGCGGCCAGGCCGCTGAGGAAGGGGGCCTGTCGCGAGCTCGTCCGGTCGGCGGCCCAGCCGGCCGGCACGGAGGACAGGACGGAGGCGCCGGCGTAGGCGGCGAGCAGGTTGGAGACGTAGGACTGGATTTCGGGTTGGGGGATCGAGAGCCGGTTCTGCAGCATGAAGGGCAGCACGGGCACGACGAGGCCGTAGAGGAAGAGGTCTGTGAACAGCCCGACGGCGACGGTGGCGATGATGAAGAGGGTGTTGGAGCGCCAGCGTAGGGCTATGGGTGGGGGTTTGGTGGGGGGCATTTTGGGTGGCTACCTAGGTAAGAGTATGTAAGTATGGGAGAGGTGAGAGGGTAGTATTCGCGAATTTTGCAGCTGGGAAAAGGTTGGTGGTGTTGTATAAGATGTAGTTGTAAGGTGGACGTCGAAGAGCTCCGATTGGGTGCTGGCTTGAGTTCGTACCTGCAGATCGATGACCTCATAGGGGACTCCGACTCGGTCGGACAGCTTCTGCTGCAGCCACAATTGACTGGAGTGGCTTAAGGTTACACATTTAGAGTCTGTACCCCCTGAATCAATTGAGCGTCATGATTTTTGTCTTGATTTGAGAGTTTGGTGATGGGATTTTGCTGATGATGTTGGTGTAATCCTTGATCGTGATCCAGCCCCTATTAATAATCGTTCTCATCCCCTTCCCCCTTTTCTTTCCTCTCAGACATCATTGAAGAGCTCGGTTTCTTCTGTAATCGACACTCGCTCGAACTCCATAACCTAGCACTCTCGGTCGTCTATTTCATCCATGGAGGCAATGTTTCGTATTGCTCCCCCCATTCAGCAGGAATTTTGATAACAGCTGAACGCACATAAATATGCATTGCCCCGTTCCACTCTAAGCCTTCGATACATCCACCCTTTATGCTGACAGTGGACCGTGGTGTACCGTCAGCATCTATAATGCGGTGAAACATTCGCGAACCACACTCGGAACAAAAGTAACACTCCATACTGCGGCCTTTTTCAGTCTGTCGCGTATAGCACTTCAACTTAACTTCAAGGTCGGGCGCCAGGGGAAATAAGCCGTCGGCCGTGTAGATGGCAGACGTGCCGAATGCTGAAGAGGTCTGCTTCTGGCATTCAGTACAATGGCAATAAAACAGCGTGATGGGCTTCGCTGTTGGCGTTGAGAACGATACATTTCCACATTGGCATCGTACTGTGAGCGGTTTAGTATCTGATGCCATCATGAAATGTTTCTTTATTACAATGCTGTCATACAGCATTAAATTCGTATGCAAAGCAGTCGAGTTTTTTTTGACATGAACTGGTTAAAAATGCTACATGCCATGAAAAGGTTAGACATATCATCTGCCTGATCATCTCCAACGGATGAAGCCTCGGCAGTTATCCTTTTCTCCAACTTATCCAGCGGATATCATTGGTGGAAATCTAGAACCTGAGAGAACTGTGGGAGTCAGTAATTATCTAATGCGGAGTTATGTAGTATATAGAGAACGACTATCAAGGAGTTAGAGCCTTCTACTCCTAGTTGAAATACCTCGACATCTAAATTATGGTATGCTAATACCTTGGCGACTTTGATGTGAAGCTTCAAAAAGTTGTTGAACCGTGAAGCATAGATCTATTAGGTAATTATTTAGAACAATATCGGTTTAGTAATGCACAATGCATTATTGATCCCCTACATGGACGAATGGATGGCTGAGAGGCCCCCAGGTCACCTCTTTCCCAACCCTCAGAATTGGTCTAAAGTGGCCCTAACCAAGAAAGTCGAACTTGTAAGTCTGTCAAGCAGCCAAGTAATCCGTAAGCCAGCTAACTATTTATCCGTTCCAGATATAGTAAAACTGAAGTTTGACGGCCGTTGCTAAAATAACTCGAGGAATTGCTCTCGCGGCTAAATGCAATTGACAATGTTCAATGCTACGCGAAATCGCGTCTCCCCAGGGGTGATATTTAACCCCTCGACGCCGAGCCGGGGTATTGGAAACCTAGATTTATAGCACCTACACTTATGGCCAAGTTCAATCATATAATAATTCAGGGAATATACTCAGGGGTACCCCACAATACGATCTAGAAGTCGACCTTGAGGCAAATCGTCACATTACCACTTTATATCACATAACTTGTGGTATCACCATGACCCGGTCAATCTGACTGTCTTCGCGTAGAGAAAAACTAAATAAATACCTACCTACCTGTGGACTTGTTGTCTCGTAGAGTTTTTGAACTATGGTTGGGATTTCCTTACCACTCTCTGACACTTAGAAGTCTACCCATTTCGCCAAGTTCAAGATGTTGCTTGAATCTGTAATTACTACCTTCACATTTGCACTCTGCGCTTCAGCTAGGGCTGTCCCCAACCCTATCGAAGTTTTCAAGAGAGCACACACAGCTGGTACCGTCATCAACAAGTGCTCCAAGCCTGGCGTCCTTGCGCTAGCCTATGATGATGGTCCATATCAATACACTTCATCGCTAGTGGATACATTGGATCAGGCAGGGGTAAAAGGCACATTCTTCCTGACTGGTACTCTATATGGTACGAGTATTGTAGAGCGCGTATGGATCTAGACTAATATTGATAGGTTGTATCTACAATCAGCAGGCAGCAGTCAAAAAAGCGTTTGAATCTGGGCATCAAGTTGCTTCCCATACTTGGTATGACATCCAGTCGTTTATCGAGTAAATAGGGTAGAGCTTTCGCTAATGTTTCTCAAGGACGCACCCTCATATGGGAAGCATGGGTGCTGCTCAGATCCAGAGTGAGATGGAGAAAGTTGAGCAAGCCTTTGTCAACATTTTCGGAAAGAAGCCACAATACGTGCGCCCGCCGTACCTCGAGACGGGCGGCCAGTTCTTAACGGTCATGAAGCAGATGAACTATACTGTCATCACCGACGATGTAGACGCCGGTGACTGGAACAACCAATCTCCGCAACAGAGCGAACAGAAGTTCCAACAGGCTGGCGCAAGTGGCAACGGACACATCCCGCTGATGCATGAGACATACCAGGGCACGGTCACAACTTTGACAAACTGGCTAATCGACTGGGCCAAGACCAACAATTTGCAGATAGTCACAGTTGGTATGCATCCCCAAAGAAATTCTCAATCCTAAGAGCAGTAGCTAATTCCATCCTAGCTGAATGCCTTGACGATGCGAATGGTGCTTATAAAGAGGGGACATTTGAGGGCGATGGGAAGACGACCTGCTAAGAATACTCGACTAGTACCCAAACTGTTTTGAGTGTGTCCGCATATCCTATAATAGTCACCAAGTTATATATAGCGATATACGAAATGGCGTCAGCAAGCTAGGTATTGCATTGATCCCGCCCGTGATAGCTTGGGTATATTTCTACTAGATCCGTTAGAACCCGAAGTGATCTCTTGAGCTACCAATAAAAATACAAATATCTTGTAAGGTGGCTAGCCTTATTAATGGGGCGAAATCCGAGTCCCTAAGTTGAATGCGACTTAGCGTTGTCAAGAATAACTCGTCGGATCACGAACGTGAATCGGGTTTACGGACCCTGAAATTGAATCTAAATCCGGCACAGGCACCAGAACTATCATCAGCTCCGCGGAACCCGGCGCTGACCACATTGACGAATATCAATATCTTGAGTTATCTCCATCGGGAGTATTTTTCGGTCGTCCGAGTCCCAAAGTCAGGCCAATCCATCTCTTATTTCGAATCAGTGAGGCTTAGCGGAGTTCATCAACGTAATAATAGACATTCAGTCAGGACTCCTGAATGTATAAAAACTTGGTTAACCCGCCATCTAATGTAGTCGATAGAACAGAATAGTTGCAGTATCATTGCTATATCGACATCATCAGCCATTCAAACATTAACTTCAAAGTTTTACATTATAACTTGAATACAGTCATTTGTCTTGCCCCCTTTTCCATCCTGTCCCCCAAAGTCTCCATAATGTCCAAATGCACCCAATTATTCCCACCGTCCCCCAAGTTCACTGATGAGGACGTTCCAGATCAAAGCGGCAAGGTTTTCATTGTCACTGGTGGTGCGGCGGGGGTTGGATTTGAAGTATCGAGGATCTTATATGGAAAGAACTCAACGGTTTATATTGCAACGAGAACTGCATCAAAGGCTAAAAACGCCATAGACAACATGAAGAAACAATGCCCCGGAAGTCATGGGAGGTTAGAGTTTTTGGATCTTGACCTCGCGAATCCAGAGACTATCAAGCCTGCAGTAGAGAGCTTCATGTCTAAAGAGCAAAGACTTGATGTATTGTTCAATAACGCAGGCGTTATGGGCACAAGTCCCGATCAGAAAACCATACAGGTAAGCAAAGGCCCTGCACAGAGCCGATGAGTGTCCTGGTATCAACTAACAATATTCCTTAGGGCTACGAGTTGCAACTAGGAACCAACGCTCTGGGCCCCTTTCTCCTGACTAGGCTCCTCGAACCAATCCTCTTAAGCACTGCCGCCCAGCAAAAGTCCTTCGGTAATGTGAGAATTGTATGGGTCGGTTCTATGTTGGACATCGGCACCCCTAAAGGGGGCATTGTATGGGATGCCCAAACAAACGAACCAGCACTACACTCCGAGATGATGGCGAATTATATGCAATCCAAAGCAGGAGTTACCTTTCTTGGTCACGAGTTTGCTAAGAGACTTGGTGACAAGGGGATCATCTCGATGGTGAATTTGCCCCACTTAACCCCTGACCCCTTTTTCATAGGAGCTAACAATAAAATTACAATGTCAATAGTCCTTACACCCAGGGATGATGAGAACTGAGCTGCAAAGAAATATGCCAGCACCAGTGCGTACAGCTATGGTATGAAAATATAATTCTTAAAATTCATACTCCGTTAGAGCTTGCTGACCTCTTACTAGGGTGCGGTCTTCAAGGGACCTACATATGGTGCCTATACGGAACTATTCGCGGCTTTCTCATCCGACATCACAAGAAAAGACAATGGCAGGTATATCATTCCTTGGGGTCGTCTTGGCTCGGTTCCAGGGCACATGGCAGGAGGTATGCGATCGAAAGAAGATGGAGGCAATGGTCTATCGGAGAAATTCTGGAACTGGTGTGAAGCAACCACTCGCTCGTATCAATGAACTAGTTGGCATCGACAGATATAATGGTACTTTCTATGATATATCACTTCTTCCCTACGGCACAGACGGATATTACACTACCTTGAAAGATCTTCGTCGAGTGTCTCGCTGCTGTTAAGTCTGTTGCGGTGTAGATCACAGAAGCTATTGATAGAATGCACCTCACACCAAATAGCCAAGTAAACTTGCTGCTTACTTTTTCACTTTCACCGCGGCTAACAATGCCAGGTGATGTCGGAAACAAGGTCATCAAGATTATGATTACGTTGACTAAGCACCACGCCGGTTTTAACTGTATATTTTAGGGAAACTGGAAGAGATGCCAAACAAGATAACGAAGCATATGTTCTAATTCGAGTATCTCCTGCGGCAGAAATGAATTGAAAGCAGAGGTCCATCCTAAGAGTAAAGAGGCGAATCCCCATTCCGAGTAACAGCCATACCAGAGTGGAAATCTAATTCCGTTGTAAGAAAATCCTCATTGATAACGATTCCGCCCCAGAGCCTGAATGTATGGAAATGGAGGGTATCCCCGGTTTCAAAACGGGTACTAACCAACAAATAGAATCAGATGAGGATTTTGAAATTTTTGATGAGACCATGGACTCCAGCAAAGAGAATCAGGGGTCAACCAAAGCGTTATTCTTCTTATTTAGAGGATAAGGGGCTAGGTCGAGTATGTTCTGGTATTTCTGTTAATAGTTCTGCCATGAGTTCGAAGAGTTCGTTGGTCGTATTTGGGGCGATATAATAGAGTTATTCATTCTCCACGCACGCGTATATTGAAAAAGCGGTTATGAGTATACCAGTATACCGCCTTATAAGAATCTGAATCGTTAAGAATGGCACAAATATGCACATACTTATGACCTTCAGAGTCCATAGCTCTTTCGGTACTTTTAATAGTAACTAACACGACTTCCTAGCTGCTTCCAAGTCGCTTCCAAGTCGCTTCCCAGCTTACATTGAGCCTGGTATTGCTTGCCGTGCTTGATCTGGACGATAAGGCGATAAGAATCGATGGCGGCAGCCACAGAAGTATAAGCAGGAAGCCACACCGTAACCGGTAAGGCGTAATGACGATCGGTGGGTCACGCTAGATATTGTCCCCCTCTTAGCTCTCAGATTTTCCTTTTTCCCTCCCGCACCCATACACAGCCCACAATCCACACTGGGCTGACTGGGCATAAATTGACGAGTACCGATACTGCAATAAGAACTTGCATCTCACGAAGATTCCCCGGATATCCGCCGACAACTTGCCGTCATTAGTCCTTGTTCGCGACGCGCTCTTTTAAGAGCTGATGATCTAGATGGCATCATACCCAGATCCATCTGCCGGCGACGAGCCAACTCCCATTTCGGCAACCCAACCCACAACCGTGCATCAACCACAACAAGCACAACAGCAGCAGCATGAGTATGATGGCTTGCCTTCACCAGTCGCTGTACCGGCAACTACTGTCGCACATCATGGACTCCAAATCTTGCAAGCTGCGTCTGCAGCTCCTTCAACTCCAGGACCAGATCCCGCCGAATTAGCCCAACAGTATGCGCAATCTGCCACAATGCAGATGGGTGATCCTCAATTCGCTCCCCCGCCTCCTCAGCCGATCGACACATCCGTCGCGGCATCGCCTGCGTCCCAGAAAGTCACGCGTCTACGCCGTGCTTGCGACATGTGCAGCCAGCGAAAGGTGAAGGTAATTACGCTTCTCCCTCTTCTTAATACCAATGGTTCACGGCGTATCTTGTATGCTATGTACTTTGTACTTCAAAATAATCTAACAACGTCAATGAATAGTGCGACGAAAGTGGTCCGCCGTGTAAGCCATGCTCCGATCTGCAAGTCGAATGCACATTCAATCGAACTATGAAGCGGCGCGGTCCGCCGAACAAGCACGCCGAAGCTGCCAGACTAGCAAAGCGACCACGTAACGACGATGTGTCCCCAGCTCCGCATCATGCAGCCGAGACTTTGGTTTCAATCGCTGCTCATAACGGCCAGACTGTGGGTGGATTAGACGCCGAGACTATTGCTCCCTGGGGTATCTTGGAGCTACTCGTTGACGATTTCTTCACCTACATACACCCCCTTATGCCATTTCCTCACGAGCCGACCTTCCGCGCAGCATTTGCTAGCCGCATGGATAAAACTAGCAGTGAGTTTCTGGCGTTGGTTGCTAGTATGGTTGGAGTCTTAGTCGCCTCGTTTCCTCGAAGTGCACGGTCTCATCTCAAGGCCCAGCATAGTACAGGGCTATTCCCGTCCGCAGTGGCCATGATCGACCACTGCCGCGTTATTGCAGTGGAGGCTCGGGGCGCTCAGTTTATGATAAAGGATCATATGAGCGTCGATATCGCCGCGACAAGCTATTTCCTAGGCCTTGCCGCAGCCCATACACTACAGTGGAGATTGTGCAAGCGATTCTTTACGGAGACTATGACTTTCTGCAGAGAGCTGCTTGGTAATTATCAGCAAAGTGGTCCTACTGTAACACAACAGATCCCCGGTCTGACACAAATGGCCAATGCTTCAGCTAATGGACCTATCGATCATATAAAGGATCAGATTAGCAAGCGCATCTTCTGGGTTATGGTTGCCGGTGTTAGGTAAGGCCCCTTAACTACAGAGGACTCCATACTATGCGTGGTCGGACTAATTCCGATATAGATCGATGACTCAACTAGGAGTATCTATTAACGAGATACCTTTACCTCCTCCCACCTCTCAGGAACCATATCCTGAGCAACCTATCGAGGTGGATGATGAATTCATCTACGCGGGTCAAATTCTTGCCCAACCGGAGGGTACCGTTTCTCTTATTACCGGGTTTAACCGCAATATCCGTATTTACATGACCATGAACGAATTGGTTGGCGTGGACATGTGTTACGGAATCAATTTCTTCGATTGGACCGCGCAGAAGAACATTCTTAGCAACGGACTGGCGACTGCTAAGCAAGCTGCTGATGACTTACCTCCTGAACTTCAAGTGAAGACGCATAACCTACAGCATCTTCAAAACCACACTATGGGCCTCGACGATTTGGATCTAGAATACTATCCACCTGCTCTTCCCCTTACGAAACCAGCCAATGATCTACGGCGCGTTTTTGCGGAACAGCCTTTGCGCCGGCGGCACCTCCAATTTGAGATCCAAAAAGCCAATATTCAGCTGTCGCAGCTTGCTACACGCTCATACTTCGTTGAGCGGTACCTTAACCTACGAGATATTCGCCGCGCCGATCCTAATTTTGCCGAGAGAGCGAAGACGGAGGAGAAAGATGACCGAGACAGTATGATGGAGAATGAACGAGAATTAATTGTACAGAATCTCGTCACCGTGCTGGCATCTATTAGCCAGCGTAATATGGAACCAAATGGTTGTTCCCTCATCAACAAGATCAGACAGGTAGCCAGCACGTTGGTGGAGGACACCAATTCGGAGCGTAAGGGACCAGTTGTAGCTAAGGCTAAGGAGTATCTCAACGGTTTCCTGGACATCCTTATGAAACTGGAGAAGATCGGTGCAGCGCCTAGAGCTGAGACAATGACTCCTCAAGACGAGGAGGAAGAACTGCGAAGTTGGACGAGCCTTAGGGAGTACCAATCACAGTTCCTGACAAGTGGTGGATTCTTAGGTGACGGCTATTAGTACCAACCGGCCTGGTAATCGTCTGCATATTCGTTGCAAAATTAATGCTTTTACGAAAAATATACCCGAACTTCGCTTCATTCCTGTCGGGTATTCTTGCATAGCAGGAACGCCGGAAACACCTAGCTCACCTGAAAACATGGAAGAAAGTTACCCCATGATCAAGGTTGACTTTGAGGCTAAATAATATTTGCTCGCGACACTGTATATAGCTCTGCTTTTCGACGAAGCCATTATGTGGCACACTTTACGCGGATACTGCGGGGACGCCTGAATCGATGAATTCACGTAACACTGCACTCGTTGCATGCTTATCTCTTAAGTGATATTACAGATGAAGTGTTTGTAGTATGTAATTATGAATTCGATGCTTTAGTTATATGGTTTATGGTTTTATTATAACCAAGTCTCTAAGAGCGACAAACTATTAATGATGCGTTGAAATGAGGTACGAACTTAGACCATTTATGGGCACTGAAGCCAGTGGGAAACGCTGCTGATCATGCTAATCATTGACTCTTCTAATTCAAGCTTAAACCAACTGAAACAGAATGCTACAGTGACACGGTCCCCGTTTTGAGATTGTAGAGGTTGGATTATTGTTAGATCAAATCGAGATTCCGTCAAGTGGTAGAACTGATAAACTATTATACTATATGCATTTACCTAAAAGAGATGCACTTTTCTGAATGGTTTGATGCATATCAGATCAGATGAGGCTGAGTAGACGGATGAGGGAATACTCAGATGTGGCGGTGCAACTGTCTCGAAGTCTTCCATACAACTAGGACGGCCCTAGCAGCCCAGTGGACCTTAGGGGATTGGGACTTTGAAGGGACGCTAAGGCAGGCAAGGGTTAGCGCGGGAAATTGAATGAACCAAGGCTGCAGGTGTCCTAAGAAAGAAAATGATGCACAGCAATTTTAAGAAGTCCGTCCACCGATTTGCACCGATTTCACTGCACTGATTGCACTGATTAGACTGATTACCTACACTGATTGCAGCGACTGCACTGACGGTTGCTGTTGGTTGTCACTTGCCAGACTTCAGAAGGAAAAAAAGTACACATGTGTTTTTTCTAATCGTTAGATTATTAGGCAGAGGCTCACACGACCATTTTCAACCTTTGTCATATTATCTTCAATCCCGTCTTCTTGTTTATTTATTTTCTTCTTCTTTTCTTTCCCCTTCCCCTTAACCTCTGATTATCGACGACAAACATCGGATCAATCAGAAGTTGGAGAGTCACATAACGAACGAGAAGAAAAAAAAAGACGAAGGGCGTTATCTGGCAGCAATTCTCTTGTCAACTTCATACCAGATACCACAAATACCCAGATACCCAGATAGCCGTCGAGAAAATTGTATTATCAAGGGATAATTTCGGGTCGCATCCACCATCTAGGCTGCTAGGCATTTCTGACCATTCTAGGACCATTACAGCAAGACCGTGGCTTAGGGGGGATTAACGGATTAACGCCAGATCCACCTTCAAGTCAGCCTCCTACAGTTTCTCAACTGCTTTAACTGCTTTAACTGCTACGGTACGTGCCAGGGATCGAGAGGAAAGGAGTCAAGACGAAGAAAAAAAAATAATTACGCGAAAACAACCTGTCCATATTCAACAACGGTGCTTACCAATTGCAACGCCCAGCACCAGCAAATCATCCCTTTCAGGTCGAGAACAATACTCTAATCACCATATTTGATGCACTAGGGGAATCTTGGGACGTTTATCTTACGCGACAATAATCGGAGTACCGCTACTACCATCCACTACAACATCCTGAAGTCGAAGGAGAAACAAGCATCAAGAGAGAAAAAAAACATAATATGTCGTCGGGACTGACGAGACGTCGTGGAGCTGGTGGCGGTACAGCCACCGAAGATGCCAATGGAATCAGTCGCTCCGGCTCATCTCAGAATGTACGCGACAGCGCCCCTGAGACGAGTTACGAGAATAGCGAGAATGGCCACAAGATTGCATTCGACCCGCGCGATATTAGCGAAAGCGCCGAGAGGAGTAAGCAGCCGAAACTAACCTTGATGGAAGAGGTTATATTGCTAGGGCTCAAAGATAAACAGGTATGAATAAATACGAACCCGACCAAAACAAAAACAACAATGCTGACGGCACATGCGACCTTCATAGGGCTATCTCTCCTTTTGGAACGATAACATCAGCTACGCATTACGCGGCTGCATTGTCCTCGAACTCGCTTTCCGCGGTCGCATCGCCATGCAAAAGGATCCCTCTAGACGGCGATTTCCCCTAGCCGACCGGACAATCGAAGTCATCGATGATACCCTCACTGGCGAGGTGCTACTAGATGAGGCTTTGAAGATGATGAAGCAGAGCGAGAAGATGAGCGTAAGCTCGTGGATCGACCTGATGAGCGGTATGCAATATCACCTACACGCGATTTGACCCGTCCTGATCCGTTCTGATCCGTTCCCGACTTTACTGACCGCGGCTTCTTACCCGATAGGCGAAACATGGAACCTCATGAAGATCGGTTACCAACTAAAGCAGGTTCGCGAGCGTCTGTGCAAGGGTCTCGTCGATAAGGGTATCCTTCGCACCGAGAAGCGCAACTTCCTTCTCTTCGACATGGCCACTCATCCCGTCGCGGACGGCGGCGCGAAAGACGAGATCCGACGGCGCGTTAGGAACGTTTTAACTCAGCGCACCGTCGTCTTGCCCGCCTCGCAGTTCCTGCCCGAGAATCTCGAGTTCCGATATATCCGTACCATCTCGATGGTTTGCGCCGCATATGCAGCTAATGTCTTGGAGAACGCCTTGAGCACGCTAGGCCACGAGGCACGAGAGCGCGCCTTCACCCAGACCGACGAGCTACTCGCCGAGTACTCTCAGTTCCCCTTCGGAAGAAAGACCGGCTCTACTGGCATCGGAGCTAACCTACCCCAAGTTATTTCTGAGGTGAGCGCCTCCTAAACGACTCTTCCAATAACGAATATGCTAACCCAAATTGTGTATAGGAGGTGAATAATGCTAAGGAGAAGGAACTCCAACTCGAAGTCGTTGCCGCCTGCTTAAGCGTCTTCACTCGCCTCGACTCACTTCTATAAACCTGGGCTTGGCCTATTTTTAAATCCCTTCTACTTGTACGAAACGCAATAGAGCCGGCATTCACATTTCGTCGACCGCACTACATTCGGCAACAAACCCACCATCAACCCACTTATCCTGGCCTCCCCCGACTCGACCTGATTTCCATCTTCACCCGACCCTTGACCCCCGATAATGTCGAGAGCTGACTGGAAAATAACCGTTCTGGATTAGAAAACGGGGCGGATTCCAAGAACATGCACGCATGCCCACACCATCAACCGTGACACACCGCATCACACCATACCATGCCATAGCAACTACATCTAAACGATATAGAGCAATGACAACTTCGAAATTCTTTTAAGCATGGGGGATTCCTTCGGGCCGAAAAAAAACATTAGGGAGGAAGCAGAGAGCAAGGAGAGAGTTGCTAGCTGAGGAGAAAAAGCTCTTTACGGTTTTAACGCCCACAGGCACAGGCAAAAAAGCAAGGAAAGAAGGGGGGGTTCAATCATGTCATTTCTCGACCGTGTTGTAATAGTCTAAAAATTCATGGATTTTTTTTTCTCTCGGCGTTGACCCCTTTTCTCTCCCCCTTACGATATGATCGCTTGCTTTAGCTTGCTTGGTGGTTTTAATTTTCTGGCTATCAGGTATTCCATTGTCCGTTTATTCCTTGTGTAGGGGTTTGGGGATTTATTTGGGAGGGCGTGGTGATGCGTAGGCGCTCGCGTCTGTTGTCACATATAACATCCATGATATGGTAGGGGTGAGGTGCCCTCTACTGGTTGATTGAATTCATGATCTTAGTATTTTAAAAACTTATGGGTGTCTTCACGTAGCAAAAGTCGTATCTTGACCGTTATTCGTAGCTATCATCTCACGTCTGTCCATCCATAACTTCACGAGCCGAAGCTCGTATATCCATCCAGTCCGTCCGTCCCAATCGTATCCTCATCCTCATCCTCATTCTTATTCCTCTTCTTACTCCCCCTCTCACGCCTTCCCCCGCCTTAACCTCTCCTTCCAACCGCCCTTCTCAAACAACCAAATAGCCTCCACAGCAAACGCCCTCGCGCTCCTATGTCCGCGCCCCTCCTCCGTCCCCGCCTCCTCGTACAAACTCCGCAGCACCGCCCCCTCCTCCACCTCATCCCAGATCCCCCTCGCCAGCGCATCATGCGGACCCCCGAACTCGGCGCGGCCTAGCCGGTACAAGATCCGGCCCAGCGTCTGGTACGCGACGCACCGCTGCCCGGGAACCGCGCTGCGGCACAGGCGCGCCAGCTCGCGCACCGTGTACCCCGCCGCCTCGGGCGCCTCGCCGTGGTGGTGCAGGCCCTTCGTCGTGGGCACGGAGCGCGAGATCCGCGGCGGTAAGAGCTCGCCCCGGAAATTGAAGCGCAGGGCGGAGACGGGGAGAGAGGATTGCGAGGGGTGGTAGGGCGAGTCGTAGTCTGCGGCTGAGTTGGGAGTGGGGATGGGCGCCATCCAGGCTAATTTCGAGGGGTCGGCGGGAAGGGACGGGAAGTATTTGGTGTGTAGCTTGGAGAGGAAGTCCGGGTCTGAGGGGTCGATGGAGGGGTTCGGGGGGTGCGGCCAGTGTGGTTTGGGCTGGGGTTCGGCGGCGGCGGTGGGAGGGTTGGGTGTGGTGTCGGTGGAGGAGTTGGTATTGGTGTTGGTGGTGGTGGCGGATGGAGGCGCTGGTTGAGGTTTGGGTATTGTTGCTGCTTCTTCGTCTTCTTCGTCTGCTACCGTTGCCCAGCGTACGCGTTTGGAGCTATCGGTGCTCGCTGGCTCTGCTTGGCCTTGCTCTGCGGACTCGTTCTTTGCTGTGCTGCTACCAGGCTGCGCTGACGTATCTTCTACTCGTATTTCAGGAGGTTCCTGTGCTGGCTTTGGGACGGCGGAAGGGGCATCTTGCGACGTAGATTCGGGGAGATTGAAGGGGTCATTCTTCTTAGGTTCGTCCAGATTGGCGCGCTTGAGGAGCATCTCGAGTACCGACGGATCTAGGCCGTTAAACAGCTCCTGCCTAGCAGCCTCGATCTCTTCCGGCGACATAGAATCCAGCTTCTCATTGTTCTCGAGATCTATCGTCCGCTTCTCGACCGATTTGAAGTCTTTGCCCGAAGCCGGTTGTGCGTCTCGAGTAGGAGCAAACAGATCTTTTGATGTTGTGGATGTCTGTGGTTTCTCCCCTTCGGTGCCCGCGCTCTGTCGCTTCTGTTTGAATGCTGATATCCTCGTTCGCTTTTTGTGTTCTGGAAATCCGGTTGTTGTTGACTTAATCTGAGGGAAGCTTGGAGCCTTGGGCTCGGTCGCCTCCTTCTCATGGATATCCGAGATAAGGAAATTCATGATTTCTGCCTGGGTAGACAACACGGCAACCTTCAGTATCTATGGCAAGCAGGGGGTAAAGGTAGTGTCGTAATGTTGGACTGTGACTGAATTAAAAATGGTAGGATATAAGATGTAACTAAGAAATCGGGACTAAGCCAATGAACATTTTCAATGTTGACGTAACAGCCACTAGGATTACTATAAGTGGGCTCATAAATGTACCTGTGGCTGATGTGTCAATAGTGTTGCGTTAGCGCGTTTATAGATAACTTTTGGAGTTTCTAGAACGAAGAAGCGCGGAAGAACGCTTAGTGAACCAATCAGAGAGGATCGGCCCGCGTCTCATTGCAACGGGAATGAGAAACACGAAAATTAAGCTGAAACTTAAAAAGGTACGTACCGAAAGGGTGCATGACTCCGATTCCTTTGATAATTACTGGGTATTATTTCTATTTCATGCACATGGTTTAATGGAATATCTACTTATACCTACATAGATAGAATTCATGCTAGCTACCTACGTGTTCAAGAATAACGGACTTGGCCGTGGTTGGGCCACTATCCGAAACAGGTCATGGATAGAAGTGGTACAGATTAACGACGTGAGAAACGATGTACACCACATTTAGATTTGTTGTACAGTCGTAATACGACATGGAGATGCTTACCAAGGTAATACCCTATATAAGTATCTGACAATAAAGAGTTACGATACTGTCAGATGAATTTATACTAGTAGGGGCAACACCGAAAAAACACCAGTGTCGCATGGTGCTTTATCAAGAGTCAAATGCAACCCCGCCCTCCTGTTGCTGTGAATGCTGCATAAAAGGAAGATATACGCTCTGATTCTCAACTCTCACCCAAGCTCATTGAAGATGAAAAGACTATATCCCCGGCATGTGACAGCTAATTCAACAAAAGAGAAACATATGCATCGGTGTAGATGTTTGCTTCTTTATAACATATGTGCATTTGTTACAGTCAAATAGGTACATCCTAATAATAGACGTGGTGTAAAAGGCTATATCCCTGTTTTCTATATTGACATATCTTAGTAAGCAGTGCTTTTGTGTACAGAATTCTCTATTATCTAATAGGCTCAATATACCCCATGTCATTATCGCGGCTATCTTGCGTCAACCGTCCTGCCGTCTAAGTGGGTCTTGTGAGACTTTGGGATTATGAAACCAAGGTACGTACCCCGCTCTATTCTCTATTCCCACCCACAGTTCGGCGGAGAGGGAGGCTCAAGCTGCATGAAATTGAACAGTTCCCCACTCTCACTGCCTTTTTAAGTTTGCCGACTGTTCGGCTCATCCAACCCGGCGCTACCTATTCAAGGAAAGTACATCTGCAGCTGTACCTGACCGCATACCACATATGTACACGTCCATTCTTAGAGCTACCTTAACTAAGACATATTAATCATGACCTATGCGGGAGGCAGGGACTTTCAAGATCTGAGGTAGATGACGACTTCCCTAGATAACCCCTTCGACAACGAAGCGACAAGAGAGTTTTTCAGCCGACGGGAACCCTGCACTTACCTAATTAAGTAAGTAAATCAAGTACGTTGGACACCTATCTCGTACAGTGTTTGACCCAGTGTTAGCGGACGGCACATATAATGTTTATTTTATCAAGTTGTAACTTGAATGTACCTCGGATTGTCAGGGCCCAGCCACATCTGGAATTTTTAGTTGGTCACGTCCCGCTGAGCGGTCAATAATAGTCCAACTGGCAAGCTCCTAGTTTCTATTGCTAGTAGCTTGAAGGTTACGCGACCCGATCCTTCGTATCTTTTCGTCCGGTCGCCCACGGTTGCCCCCCCTTTCCAAGCAAAGTTCCAGTGTATTACAGAACCCCTGGCACGTCTTTCACGGGTCTTTTATGTCTCCGTCTCTCTTTTGTACACATTATTACTTGCCTATCACGAACCAAGAACCCGCGAACCCCCTCTCCCCCCCGACTTTCCGTCTTCAGAAGCTTGAAGCTAGAAGCTAGAAGGCAGAAAGACCAGAAGCCTAAGGCAAACCTAGGGCCACCTCATCACTCCGAAGTGTCATACGCCCACCCTCCTAACCATATCTTACCCTTCTAGGTTTGATGGTTTCCTTGATGTTCTAGTCTGGTTCCTTAGATATTTCCCCTTTGGTATAATTATCAGGCTCCATCGTCATCCCCCCCGATAAAGCTCAGGCCAAATGTCCAGAGTCATAGTTCCTTTTCCCCCCGGTCTCAGCCGTCCCAGTCCAATCCGCACCCTAGTCGGATGACTTTTTTTTTTCTTTCGCGATCTAATGCCTATGCGCCTAATAATTATCTCTCTTCCCTTTTCCACCCCCCATCATTGCATTGTAACAGTTCCCCTTGAATTCCTAGTTGTTCCAATGACACCCCCAGGCTTACCTAGTTCCGATCTCTAATTCGATTTTTTTAATAATAAAATTTCCCGCTCAACTCTCATTTCTAGCTAGCTGAATGGCCCCGATTTTTCTCGCCTTGTTGGAGAATAATTACCATTAACCATTTCCCAATCCCAATCCAAAACTGAAAAATAGTAGCCATCCCCATTCCCTCATTCCCCCATCCCTCCCGCAATCTTTTGCAACTTTACAATTCTTCCTCTTTTCTCCTACTTTTTCTTCACAACAAAGATGAGTTTATCAAAATAAATCCATCTAATTCCATCACTTCTTCGCGACTTTTCATTTTATTTTTTATGTCATCTTGCGCAAAAAAGTCAAGTGCACTTAATTCGACTATTCTCGAGTGGCTTATACCACTATAATTACCATTTTTTCATCGGCAAAGTTTGGTACGGGCGGTCCGCATTGCGAAACATCTGCGCGATCTTGGTGAAGTTATTCAGAACCCGGACTCTCCATCTCCCATCTCCAAGGCCGCACCGACCACACGATTTCGAGGTCACGTTACCCAATAGCGTGTACGTACTTCTGTACAACAACGATCCACTTGAGCCACTTGAGACTTTCACCACTCGCCCCTTCTAGGCGAATTAGTCAATCGGTTACAGTACACGGTCACCCTTTTCGCGTACCTGCCTACTCCTTGCTGTAGCTGAGACCACGTGCCTCCACCCGCGCCTGCTCAATCACGTAGCGCTCAACCGAGTTAGCTTCATCAGAATAGTCGGCAACCAGTAAAAAGATACATAAGATACATATGTACATTTACCGGATTGGCCAATTCTAACTCTTTTGACTCTATAGAAGAGAATTAGGCTTCTCTAAACAGTGGGAATTAGGCGCGACAGTTACGACGGGAGTTTTATCTTTCTCCAATTGCTCAGATAAATAAGCTGAAACACTTTTCGGTCTATTTATCTGAGATTTCCACTCACTTAAAAATTAAAGAAATTTTTAATTACAAATATTCTGACATCACATCACACATCACACACCACAACACCCCGGCCTAATACAATCAGACTATTAATAGGACAGTTCTACTGTCTAACTCTTTGTCTCATTTCACCTAACAGTCAGGGTTAGTGTCGAGGATCAGGGTTATATCAGCAGAACAACACGATGGCTGCGGGCTCTAGCAACGCCCCAGCGCGATACAGCTCATCGCCTGAGTTGTCAGACCCGCCCTCTATGTTATCGGCACCTGCATCGCCATCGGGGTATAATAGAGCAAAGAATGGAGGTGAACAGGATGAGATTGTGGTCGATCCCACCACGATCCGATATGATGGATCCGGCCAGCCTATGTTAACTAAGGACGGCTTACCAAGGAGGAAGCCTGGCCCGAAGCCGGGAACGAGAATCAACAAGCGGAGTAGTACGAATCCCGAGGAGGGAGAGAAGATCAAGCGGGTCCGGAAACAGAAAGAGAAAGATCCAAATGCACCAACCACGTCAAGGAGACGCAAGGTTACATCTCTGGATGGCGAGGCGAGTGAATCACGATCACGGGCTACTAGTGTCGCCGGAGGTACAAATACCGGAGCTACCGCCCCTTCGCGACAACCTAAGATCACTGAGATGGTCACCGGTCAAAATCAGAACCGATTAGAGCCGACTCCTCAGAGGGAAGTGAAACGTGAAAACATACTTGGATCCATGTCCAATATCCTAAACGCAGACCCTGAACCACCGCAACAATATTCTCGTCAACAATCGCAACAAGCTCAGCAGCAACCAACACGCCCAAGCGTGCCTTCACGGACTAGTGGTACAAATTACGACCCCATCCGCTCATCGAACTACGACCCGGTACGAGGAACGATGAGTTATTCTAACCCGATGGGATCTCCTCGTGGACCGTCTACTGGCGCAGGTATCGTCAACCGCGCAAGCGCATCTCCATCTATCGCGAGTCTTGTCGACCCGCCTGTGCCCAATATCATTTCGCCAGTTCCGTCGCACACATCTTTCACAAAGACTGCACAATCGCATTCTCAATCCCAACCTGGCCCTCATAAGGAGTCGAGCGCAATGCCTGAATCGCCTAATCCTTTCCGCAAAGAATTCATTCCCCCTCCGGCACCAAAACCTCCTGTGGCTGAGGCCAAGGAACCGAAGGAGGCTAAGGAGACTAAGAAGCCGGTGCCACCTCTGGCCCCTACTGCTATGTCCAAGATCGAAATTCGGCCGACGTCCATTACTACTATTGGTGGGGCCGGTTCGAAGAAACCGTCGCCGAAGAATCAGAGCACGGCATCTTCTCCTCGTGTGAATGCTCTGAAGGATACCCTTGCCCCTCTTCCTGCTGGACCCGAGCGCTCTATCCTTGACTTCGGCAAAGCGGAGCCGGGATCCGAGACGGATGCGCCATCCATCATCCTCAACGTTCCGCTCAATGGAGAGACGAACAAGTATATAAATTTTATGCGTATGGCCGAGGATCAGTATGGTTGGGACGCCCTTCACCCGCGGCAAGCCGAGCTCAAAGCGCGCAAGGCCCGTATTGCTGCGGCGTCCGCTGCGTTGGCTCAGAACGATTCCAGCCGTGAAGGAGACGAGATGTCGGTGGATGAATCTGATAATGAAGATTCCAATGTCGAGATGGGAGGTACCAGCGGACCTGACAAGGCCGCCGATGGCAAACCGGCAAAGAAGAAGAGACACTTCAAAGAGGACGAGTACGACAAAGACGACGACTTCGTCGATGATTCTGAACTGCTCTGGGAAGAACAAGCGGCGGCCAGTAGGGATGGCTTCTTCGTCTACTCCGGGCCCTTGGTGCCGGAGGTTGAGAAGCCGGAAACTGGACGGTATGTGCATCAATTACTGCTAATGATATGATTGAATTTATACTGATTGAATATAGTGGTGACGTACCCAAGAGAGGTCGAGGCTCGCGCGGTGGTCGTGGCGGTACCCGCGGAGCTGCTAGCGGCACGGGACGAGGCCGTGGTGGTGGCCCTGGATCTCGTGGAGGAGTGGTACGAAAACCCCGAATGACGAAGGCAGACAAGGCTCAGATGGACCGCGAGAAGGCCGAACGCGAGGCCACGCTATTAAAATCGGCGACCGGCGGATCATACAACGTCCTACACCCAGGCAGCCCGCAATTCGCGGGCTTGTAGGACTATGCTCAGTGGAGGAAGAGCTGGCAATGAAAATTTCACGTATGTAATATATGCACACAGAGCATGGGCGTTTGGCGACTTCCCTTTGATCGCGAGCGGCAGGCGTGGGATTAGAAGGTCTCGAACACTGGCTCGATGCTTAAGCTCCTATTTGTGTTGATACCATCATTGTTACGGCGCATGTGTGGAGTTGTGGAATTCGGCGTACCACTCGGTGACCTCAAATGGTTAGATTTGCTTTGGAAGACCGCACTCTGTAATATGCCAATAGTAGCATTGTGCTTCACCAGACTGTCAGTTCCAAGGTTGCCTACTAAAATGTGACTTGGTAGAATAATGAGAGTAAATGCAGCAAGGGACGTCTTTTAGCTAGTGCTGACCTGATCGTATGGGCTCAAGCTGGTTGGCCCATTATGTGATAGGTCCACTTTTAATAATGGGACCTAGTTCCTAGGTAGAAAGTCGGAATCACCCCTGAAGCTGGACTCTGGTTTCCAGACACGTCGCAATGGACTGCTTCTCCAGTCCGTCTCCTCGCTTACAAAGGATCTATATAGGCGGGTATCGATATATGGTTGGTCATGATTAGGGCTAGCCAAGATTGGCACGTAGCTATAAAACCCAAGTCTCTCGCCCACACTATTCTCCTTTGCCCCTTTTCCCCTCTCCTCTCTTCTCTTCTCCTTTTCTTTCCGCCCTACACTATTTTTCATCACTAATTCTATCTTCTCGGCTACCTTAAACTGGACTAAAAGACCTACTATTGAGTCCATATATCCCGCTAAAATGGCCTCATTACACCCCCTTTCCGCAGCTGCCTTGTTCTCACTCAAGGGCTACGTCGCCGTCGGTTAGGCTTCTACCCCTTTTTTCTGATGTTACCCTCTGCTGACAGACTCCACGCAGTGACCGGAGGCGGAACGGGCGTCGGATTGAGTAAGCCGGCCTCTGGATTCAAGCATTCCTTCCTCTCCCCTCGCTCCTCCTTTTTAGATAGACTTCCAGATGACTTACGCATAGATTCATAGTGATCGCCCAAACACTAGCTGCCAACGGAGCCAAGGTCTACATCACAGGACGCCGCGTCGACGTCCTTGAGACAAGCGCGCACGTCCACGGCACTCCGGAGAGACTCGGGGCGGACGGGGGCAGTATCGTGCCGCTTGCCATGGACGTTACGTCGAAAGATAGCGTCAAGGACGCCGTCGCGGTAATCAAAGAGAAGGAGGGGTTTGTTAACATGTGAGTTCCGTCCTCCTCTCCCCGACTCCTTCCCATCCATCGCAATGGAGTATCTACCTAAGGACATACCTTTCTCACGATAACGCTTCGCTAGTCTCGTCAACAACGCCGGGGTGTGGGGCGGACGAACGAGCGCGAGCGCGCAGGACGGGCCGGACGCTTTTAGCGAGGCCATGCTGGCTGAGGATAAAGAAGGTGCTTGGCAGAGATGTCAGACAACCCGCATACATGAGGTCGTCATCATGTGGGTTCTTTTACGCTGACTGATTATGGTTACACAGCATTCGACGTCAATGTCACCTCGCAATACTTCGTCACGGCCGCGTTCCTACCCCTCCTTGCTAAGGCGATCTCGGGCCCGACGGGAAGGGTGGGCAGCGTGATTAATAACTGCTCGATGGCTGGGTTGTTGCGGATGTGAGTACCTCGATAGGTATCCGATGATGGGCTTCGATAGACGGGATAGGGGTTTACTAGCGTGATGACTAATTGCAATCGTTCTATAGGTCGCAAAACCGCCAGTTCCCTTATAACGTACGTCAGGCATACAATAAATTCCCTAAAGGTTTTAGCGCATGGCTGACAGGTCCGTGGATAACAGGTTAGCAAAGCCGCGTTCATACATCTCACACGCCAGCTCGCGTTCGAATTTAGCCACGAGCAGGTGAATGTTCGAGTCAATGGGCTTGCTTTAGGTGAGTGACTACCCCTTACCGTTTTCTCGCTCCAACCGCTTCAATATGATCTACCATATCTTCTCCTTTATCATGTTTCATCGTTGTTTTTTAAAAGAAAAGGGGCCCCAAATGGCGCTAATGTAACAGGATACTTCCCATCCGAGATGACGACGGGCGAGTCGAACGCCGAGAACGAGAGCACGGAGTCAAACGAGGACTTCGGGAAGTTCCTTAAGAGCATGGGCGTTAGGATACCCACCCGCATGGGGACGCCGCAGGAACTTGCTAGTGTACGTTTGATCTTTTTTTTTCTTCATTACCCCTATCTTTGCTATGTAAGCTGGGTTCGACTCTGAGAGTTGTAGAATTAGCGACCACTAGAAAACAATTTGCTTACTGATTAACGTGCTAGGTCGTGCTGATGCTTGCCACGAACGACTTCGTCTGGGGTACTGTCATGATTGTCGACGGCGGGTTTACCTTGGCGGTTCCTGGGAATATGTGAGCTAAGGAGTAGGTTAGTATTCTAGGAACGTAGAATTGGGATTGAGTCATATATTTATTCATATTTTGAAGTACCTAGTAGGAATAATGACTTTGTATGGCGAAGAAGAAAAAAAGGGGAGATTGGATGTGAATCGAACCTGCGTGGAAACAAAACGAGATTACCAAATGACACGGTGAATCATTTCGCGCTGTAGAGCCGCAACCATAACTTAGGTGGATGTCCACAGCGCACCACTTTCCCATTGTGCCATTTGGTAATCTCTGCAAAGTGATCATTTGTCTATCTATATAAACCTACTACACGTTGTCAGGTGTCAGTTGCCTTAGCAACTAGCCGTGACCAAATGACCATGTTCCTACATTCTACGAAATGAGTCACCCACATTGACGTTTATTCATGTAATCTCATCTATAGATTGGTATTCAGTCTAGCTCAATGTTTCAGTATCCCATGACTCTGTAAAAAAGGGTCTCACAATCAGCCTAGAGACTGTTAACTTCCTTGGCATGCTCATACACCAGCGTCTGCGCCTCCTCATCATCCAAGTAAATAGTAAACCCATCATTATGATTCCGCCCGTAAGAGTACCCCGAGAAGCCGTACTGCCAGTACATATCCGCCATGCCCTCCTCGAGCATGATCTTCTGCCACCCGCCCTCTACCTCGACCCTCGTCGCGTTGGACGCGGGGATCCCGTTCTGCTCCCGCACCTCCGGCGTCATCCACCCGTACTCCTCGTGCACGACCGGCTTCCCCGCCTCCCTGGCCGCCGCAGCATGGTCCCGGATCCACTGGTCCGTCCACGCCACCGTCTTCGTCCACCAATCGGGGTACGTGTGGAACACGCCGAAGTCGACGTTGGGGAGCGCTAGGTTCGCGTCGAAATCCCCCCCGTCCGCCCCGTTGTACGCCCAGTCGTCTGAGGCCCGGTTGAACCCGCCTTCGCCGCCCCATGTTACTAGGTGGTTCGCGTCGACGCCCTTGATGTAGGAGCTCATCTCGTCGATCCATGTGGTTAGCGTGGCGGCTGTACAGTTGTCGGATGTGGGGAGGTTGCGCACGGCGTCGCCGCTGCAGCGCGGCTCGTTGGCGAGTTCCCAGGCCATGATCGTCGGGGAGTTTGCGTAGCGCGAGATGAATGTTGATATGTACCGCTTATACGCGTCTTTGATCTGGGGGAGGCGGTAGAACTGTGGGCTTGCGTTAGTGTTAGGTGTACTGCGAAGAGGGTATGGAAGAGGGAGAGGGAGAAGAATTTGAAGTGGGAATGGGTGGATGGACTTGCATCGTCGTGGTACTGCCCGCCGAGATTGATGGTAAAGACGTCCATGCCGCCGTAGTCGGCCCAGTTGTTGGTGAAGGTGACGATGAGCTTAATGTCCGCCTTAGTAGCGGCGTCGACCACCTTGTCGAACTCGGTGATGTTGATGGTGGACGTGCCGTTCGCCCACCACTGGAAGATAGCATCTGTAGCGCCCGCGCCTTCGCCGCCGTACTGAGGTAAGCCTTGGGGGTCGAAGGTCACGTTCTTGTCGTTGAAGCCCCAAGTGCGGAACACCTTCAACCCGGCATCCTTGGCAGCAGCGAGTCCAAGCTCAACATCGGTCGCATTCTATGTTCCGATCAGCGATGACATCCTTAGTCGCATGGAAAATAGTGTAAGGTATTGTTTACGCTGTCGAAGGGAAAATAGTACGCATTGCTTCCAGCGAAATTGAAGTCTTTCCCATCGAGCTGGAATTTGCCTTCCTTGACGGTAACGAAGCCCTCAGGGGCTACCCTGCTTCTCATTCTGTGCAAGGAGGCAGCGTGGACTCCGCCCGCAAGCAGAGTGAACGACAGAAGACTGGATACCGTGACGACCATCCTGACGATTGATCCTGTTTGCAAATTGATTGCAAAGATTGACCGCGAGTGAATTGTCGGGGTTCATTATGATTATTTATTCAATCGTGGTGCCATTTCCTCAATTTAGACATTTCCTGTTTCGGCATCCGGAGGGCCTGGAACCGCCATGCTGGGATCCCACTAATTGAGCCTCCTTGTAGCATTGTCGACCTTGATCCACCACTTAGAGGCAAGAGTCTTCTACCGTAACAGGGGCACTACGGCATTTGCGATTTAACGCGATGACACCTTCAGCTGTGAGGCGCGGAGACGACATATATCTACGAATATCGGGACCATTGGAGTTATTTAACTCAAAGGCTTGGTCATGCTTGTAATCCTATGGACTACAACAGATAGAATTCAAGTTAAAGCAAGAATCAAAATGATATATTAAAGGGTATTATGAAAGACCGTAGGGAAGATGTCTCCGATGCACTATTTCGATCATATCTAACCTCCAAGCACCTATCTCATCAATCAGAAGAGTCGCAGTCCAACCAAGGTTGGTGGGGACCCCGGCGATGAGGGCTCTTTATATCCGGGTTTTCACTAGTAGTGATGGCAATTTCCGTGGTCCTAAGTATTCCTCCCTCAGAATGAGATATGAATCCTTCCTCCTGGAGTTGATCATTTCCCTCGCCGCTCCGTGTTCTTACAGGCTCCAATTCAGTGAGATTTGCCACACTATCCACATCTATCCAAGGGGCTACGTCAGGGGGCGCGCTTCGATGATTTGTTTTAGGTCTTGAAGGAAGTTGAGAGCTAGTCGTAGAGGGATGTTGTGAGAATATTGTGCCCATCTTATCTCGAAATCGGAGACCAATACTCGGCAACTGAAATCGGTAACGGAACAAGACAGGGATTGCCGGGACACAGAATATTAATCCTGCTGTTGCACATTCAGCCAAGCCCCAGACTAGGTATCCAGAGTAATCGTAGGTAAGGTCAGTAGAATAGATCATATTAACTGAAGAAGCAACACGGCCTGCAGCGCACACACAAGTCCTGTGACAAATAAAGGACCATTAGTGTTCCAGATACCTTGACCGTTATGAGTGAGGAGTGACGCACATGATGCCTACTGAGAAAATTGCTGAAATTCCAATCCTCTGTCGAGATGACAATGATAACTTCCAGATAATCCTATGTGGGACCAACAGCATGAGGATATCGAAGACTAGGTGAATGGATGTGATAACGACGTTAAAGATGACGGTATTGATACATGTCCCTGGGAGATATCGGCGCCAGATCTTTTCTCGTGGTGTGCATGCGTAATTGATACAAAGGACTGTCGCAAGGTATAGACAGCAGTTGGCGACGATCATGCCATAGCAAATCCAGTAAAAGGTGTTGCGAGTGGCTCTCGGAACAAAGAAGTGAATCCATTCCAAGATTATAGCTACCTTGACCAAGGCGAGAGTAACGCAGTATTGAATAGTCACGACAATGTAAGACTGTCTTCGGTAAGTAGCTTTTCGTAGGGTGCAAATTTTAAGTGAACTGACATAAATGAATCCTTCGAGATCGATCACTCGCATATTCCACTGTCTCACGAACAAACCAGGACTTGAAATTGTCATGGCGGCGAATTTTGCTGCTCCAGCAACGAGAAATGGCTATTCTATGTTAGCATAATGCTATATATTGTACGTTAATAAGGCAAGGGTAGGGTGTCGGTTACAAGTGCAACAAGCCCGATATCTAGTTTGAGGTAAGTTAGTCGTCGAGGAACCTACGAAAAGGGGGTTTGGAAGACTAACAATCTTCAAGTCTGGCTTTTTTCATATAGAATATTCTCGTATAAATCCGGGCTAGGTAAAATAGGATAGATAGAGTTGAACACACGGAAATTACTGCAACAGCTAGTTTATTATTGTTAGGCGGGTCAATGAAGTTGGGTTCAGTCCCAGGAGGAGGTTCTAAAGCCGGACCCCTTCTAATGGCCTCGATTGCTGTATCATTGAGAGATGCACTAGAAGCCATCTTTGTGATAAAGGAGAATACCCGAGGAAAGAATCAATGGTTGGACCAGAGAGATAACCAGTGACAAGGTATATATCATTCATTTGAGGCCTGCGATGGATTGTTATTGACGGTGAGGACTACGTCCTCCCCCCTTATCAGCACACTCATCCTCAATCTCGACTGGGTGCACCAACACCCAACTATCAGAAATATCGGTTATGGTGACGAGGCTGCCAAGATGGTGAGATCATTCTATGACCGAGAGACCTTTTTTAAACAATATAAATACATTAAATAAAGATAATATGAGGATTGTTAATTTAGGTACGTATTCCATGCATCTAATGAGAATATGTAACATAATAGGACGCATACTATATCCATATAGAGTAACACAACAAGCAATATGAAAATGGGCAGAGTGATTGAAGATGTATAATTAGAGGCGTAGCCATCGGAAGACAAAGTTTGGGTTCAGCTTCCATTCGTCCGCGCCTGCGATGACGTGCATGTAGGTCTGCTCGACATTGCAGCTGATGGAGCCTCGGATACGTCCAGTTGGGAGTCTCCTAGCCTATAGTGCCACTGTGCGCCAACTTGCATTCCGACGCCGTTATGAGGCTCGGCGCTTCCTCGTCGCCCTCATATAGGATTAGAGGCTAGTATCCAACGCTTTCTCCAACAACTAACAACCAATAGACCCCCACCATCACGATTTCGCTTTTTGACCATTCATATGTGCTATGCTAATAGGTACTTGGGTACGCACGTACCGGGTGTTTACTAATATGTTACATCCAATGTTGAGAGACGAAAGAAAAAAAGTGATGTGCATGAAGCGGTGTATATAAGTCTGACATGTGCCGCAACCAGGCATATGATCACAATACCTCCATTACAGCACATAGGGCCTACCTAAAAATGTTACAAAACTGACGGCCAAAACATTTTTACTTGGGAGCGGATAATATATCATACCTAGTATTTTACGAACATTAGTAGGGTTACGCGAGAGTTACTTAGGTAGGTGACACCTAGTATCTGAATGTCTTCTAAGATATGGTATGCATACTAGCACTGGCTTGTGACGCCTCCCCGTACCTTCGGCACTGCGCTTTTCCTAAGGAAATGGACAGCAATTGCTACACCTCCGAAGGTTAGCCGATATACTGAATTCAACCTAAACTACTACCTATATTTCGCACACGATGTATCGCAAAAGCCTTACAGCCCCGGAGATTAACATTCTTCAAAGTTTAGTAAGAAAGACACATATTCCAGCTGTTCTTCCTTTTGTAGCTACCTGAACTTAGGTTGAGTAGCTGACCGATATCCAATGAATGTACCTATCTTGCCGACACAACCATGTGATACCACAACAGTATTAGAAATATAAGGCAGTTTCAAAGCGCCTACCCGAAAGCCTCCTTGGACATCTTGCATAGGTAACCTCATGATCTTCTGATTGAAGATCAATGTTCCATCAAAAAAAGAGTGGATGGTGACTTAGACAGTAAGCTGCTTCTTCCTCCACATCAAGAAGGTACAGGGGATTTGTAATGCCGCAGAGACACATAGGACAAGGACCTGGCGATTGTAACTTTCTGCAAGGAGCAATCGGACTTGTTCTTGAAGTGCTGGTGACAACGTAGGTATGATTGCAGAGAGGGCATCAGTATCTGAAATACCAAGAAGTGTCTGCAGCTTCGGCCTGGCATAAGTGTTGGAAACCGAGGTCGCAATTGCTAGAACCAAGGAACTTCCCATCATCCTGAATTGGGACCCAGCGCCCATGGCAACGGCTAAGACAAATTAGAATGGTATCCCAAACGACGGAGACGTGGAAGACGGCAATACTTACCATGGTCAACCCTCTCATTTACAAACTGAATCATTATGAACAACAGTGCAAAATTAGATCCGCTCCCGAATCCAGCCATGACTTCTAAGCCGTAGACTCGTGGTGGTATAGTTAGAACCTTTGGAAGTGTGCCTAATAGGGCGAAGGCAATCACTTGTAGGGCGGAGCCAAACAATAGGATGTATACAGGCGGAACTTTGTGTTTTCCAGCGAGAGTAGATCCAACAATTGATCCAATCGGGATCAAAGCCGTGAAAGGGATTAACTTCACACCAGCGCCGATACCAGAACTGTTATATACCAACTCGAACCTCTGTGGGATGATGAACATAGAAATAATAGTAGGGCCGCCGAGGAAAACCAAGTTTCTTATGAATATGCATTAGCTGAATCGTTCATAATTTGAAGGATAATCAAGCCAGGAGGTCTTACAGTAGAATTCCCATCATGTGACGATTATTCAAAAATCGCCAAGGTAGGATAGGCTCCCGAACATTGTTGGCGGCTGTGACGTAGTACTCCCACCAACCCAGAGCAATCCAAAGAAGTCCGGCTATGGTCAACAAGGCAATGACATATCCGGACCTCCATGGGAATTTCTTGTCGGCTTCCTCAAATGCCGAAGTCAAAGCTAGCGTTGCAAACAAGATGAGTATATTACCAAGTATGTCTATCCGACTGAGCGGACTCTTGGCCGCGGCCTTCTGCCGGTAATTCACTCGATCTCCATATGGAAAGCCATTAGGGATGGCAAAAATTCCAATGACAAACGCTGGAATGCATATCGGAACACTGTGGTACCGATCGAATGTGAGTAGATCTGCAGGATAATATGGAAACGCGTAACATGGGGTTTAAACTAACTTCACGATGAAAATCCATCTCCAAGTTGTCCCGGAGGCTATGGCTCCGCCAACGATAGGTCCCACGAGAAGTGCCAAAGCGTTTACTGTAGAGATATTCGATACGTATTGGGCACATTTCTCTGGTGGGACCAACTCGATGACAAATATTGTGGCAAGGGACCAACAACCACCCCCGCCAACCCCCTGTAACGCTCGAAAGACAGCACTGCTAAGATGTGAGCATTTGTCCAAACCAGGCGTGGATGTTGGTCGTGTCTCACAGCTGAACTATAGTTTGTGCAGCAGAGCAGGCGGCAGAGAAGACGATAAAGATAAAGATGGATAACATGAAGATAAGCTTTCGGCCAAATATATCGCTAAACTTGGCGAAGATGACGATGACAGCTATTAAGATCTATTAGTGACGGAGGAGACGATTAGTTCGGTGATCGAGTGACGTGCCTACGTATCCTAGCAAGTAGGCAGAAACAACCCAGCCCACATTCTCAAATCCTCCTAGCTCGTCTGTGATGGCAACTAAAGCTGTAACGACGACGGGGACTTCGAAGTTTACCATGAACATCATTATTGCCACACTGATGAAGATGTGAGTGATCTGTACGTTCACGTGTGGTTCGAAATTTCCACTTACACGGCAGAGATGAGCCAAAACCTGGGACCTTGGATGTATACGATCTCGCGGCCATCGACTTTGTCAGGCTGCTGAGCAGCCAAGTCAACTTCTTCCTGCTCTAGGTCGGACTTGGGCTCAGAAATTTTATCGAAATTGTGGCCGTTTAGGCCGATGTTCGATTCGAGCTCCATCATGGAGTATTGAAGTAAACGTAGTCGATCTTGGAAAGCGGGATTCTCCAAGAGAAGTGAAATTTCCTAGGAAAAAATGGATGACAGAGAGGGACTGATTGATTTAAACGGACATTCAATAGAAAAGAATGTTGGCACCTGGTGCATTGTATCATGTTTCATTGGCGAGCAACACTCTTTCAATAACCAACACACCGGTTGTAATAAGCGCTGCAGCCTTACCGTTACCCTGCCCCTATCTCCCTTCATGATTGGGGTCCGATCGGGATATGACATATCGGGTCAATGTGTTCGTATGTCGGAACCCGGTGGTGTGTCACACTTAATAAATTTTCAGCCTGACTGTCTGAGATTTGCTCTGTGCGCTTTACGGTCTGTCTATGCCTTTTATCAGTTTCAACATCTATCTGGGCCACGAAGCGGCATATCAAGCTGGAAGGCTTTTGTGACGAAACGGATGGAACGATCCGAAAGCTTTATTTTTAGTACCTAGGTACGACTGAAAGATAAAAATCGTTGAAACACAGCTCTTTGCTCTTAGCAACGTGGCACACTTGCAGTGTTGATTAAGTAGTCATGTTGGTTATTGGACGTTGTTTACTCCACGATCTACCGATCAACCTAATTCTTTAATTGATCGCGTAACCGTCTGCTCTGCTCACGTTCACCAATTAATTAGCATTGCCGCAACGCTTTTCGACTTATACGGGTTTCCACGCAATCATTGGCTAATCTACGCAGTAGTTCCTGTTGCCGTTTTGGGCCGGGGGGTCGGGGGGCCGGGGAGAATGGGCCACGACAGGGGGGGCAGATACTACCCAAAATTGTGCATAGAGCGAGGCTATGCGATGAAACCTTAGTTTTCGACGAGTCTTTCCTTAGCAGCCCCTAAACTGCGTATTCTATATCAGAATATTCTCAGTTATTACATACGCTGCTGTCCTTATGGACTTTGTCCTAGCAGTCATCATATACCTATCCTTCCGGATTTCGACGTTCCTACGCAATGGCGGTCACTTTCACCTTCAACCATTCTTTTACCTTGTGTTGCCATGGAGTTGCTTCAAAGTTTACTTCTGCATGCATTAAATGCTGCATTTTTGACCTTAATATATGTAAGTACATCACCGTGCTTGCTTACCTTACTTGCCATGTTTGCCTAACAAGACTAACACCCATTGGAGCACATCGCTATTGGTATACACCGTCTTCTATTTCATCCCTTGAGAAAATATCCCGGCCCCCTTACTGCAAAACTGTCAGGCTTTTACGGTGCCTACTATGCTTGGGGGCGCAACCTTCACCTCAAAACATGGGAAGATCATAAAAAATACGGTAAGGAAATCCATATTCATGTAGTAGTACAGATTACGTTCCCTAACCGAAATAGGTCCTGTGGTTAGGCAAGGACCTAACAAGCTTGTGTTTAACTCAGCCGGTGCTCTACGAGGTAAGATCTGAAGGACTTGACGAGGCTGTTGCTAATTAACTCAGATATATATCAAAATGAACGAATCACAAAGTCTCGTGCTTATCTCATTGCACAACGGGCACCCAGTGTCTGGGGCCTCTTCAGTACTATGGACAGACAGATGCATCAGAAGAAACGCAAGCTCCTTGGCCCAGTAGTCGGCAATCGGTCGTTGCAAGCGTTCGAGCCTACTATGATAGACCAAGTCGATATTTTCCTCCGTAATTTACTTCTATCATGCCAAGATAATTCTTCCACACCTGTCAACATGACAGAGAGATTCAGTTACTTGACCATGGATATCATGAGTCATTTTGTATTTGGATATCCCCTAAATCTCCAATCGGAGACGGTTCATCGGTTCATGACTCGTTCTACCCCGAACATATTCCTCAATGTTGCCTTGCAGTTACCTTTCTTGAGCAAGATTCCTGTGTCGTATTTTCGACACATTCGGGCCCTGTTAAGGGGAAGTCAATACCACAATACCCAAACAAAGATGATCAAGGCACGCCTAGCCAAGAGTTCGCATGCCAAGCAAGATCTTCTTTACATGTCAGATACCTTGCAGATACCCGAGGATGACAATACGTTCATTGAAGAGGCTCGGTCCGAGGCTACGTTCATTCTCCTAGCAGGTTCGCATTTCTCGGTCACCCTTACATGATTGCCCACTATCATGGTGCTTTTATTGACTCAATGGTGGAAACTAGGGAGTGACACTATGTCAACTTGTCTTAGTGCATTATTCTTCTATCTTTCAAGGAATACACGATGCTACCAGCGACTTGTCAGCGAGATCCGATCTACATTTCGTAATGGTGGCGAAATTCGGAGCGGGTCACGTCTTGCAAGTTGTCGCTATTTACGCGCATGTCTTGACGAGGCTCTTCGGATGTCTCCGCCGATACCCGGCACTCTTTGGAGAGAACAAGTACTAGAGAGCTATAGTGGTACAGACCCACTGGTTATCGACGGTCACATCATACCTCCGGGGACCGAAGTTGGCGTGAATACATACGCCCTTCACCACAACGAAAACTACTTCCCAGAGCCATTTGAATTCAAGCCAGAACGGTTCCTCTCTGGTGACGTCGACATAGATAAACGTGCTTACGAAGGATTCGCCCCCTTTTCTATAGGCCCGCGTGGATGTATTGGGAAATCTATGGCCTATACAGAAGCGAGCATAATCGTAGCCAAAACGCTTTGGTATTTCGATTTTGAGCAAGCGCAGGGCGAGGCGGGCGAACTGGGAAAGGCGAAGTCCTGTGGACTTGGCCGTATGGAAGAACGGATTGCTGAGTATCATATCCGTGATGTATTTGCTACTGAACATGATGGACCTTGCCTTAATTTCCGCCCGCGAGAACACTACGCACACGATCTCGGGAAGGTTCCTTGATTTCGGATACGGGTACGTCATTCAAGCGAGGTGTTGGAGTACTTCGCATATCCCCCTTGGCGATGGGAATTTGTATGTATGGCAATATGTACCTAGTAATTATTTTTATGTATAAATGATTAAGATTGCGATAGATTAATTATTTTGCGTACCACAGATCAACCGTCGTAGTGGATAATTGCATACGGGCTTACAGCTACTTAGTGTTAATGTAATACGGGTATGCAAGTTGCCACGAATTGATCTCGGATTTTGATGCGGGAACTAACCCGAAAAAGCTTCATGAGGCTTAAAAAGATTTGCTGACATAACTTAACCCCACCCAATCAATAAAAGATGAAAGGACCGATTTATGCTTATACACATGGCCCCCAAGGATGTTGGTCTATTAATATATTGAGGGCTGTGCCCAATTAATCTAAATTTTGCATTGGTTGGTTCATGATACCTGTATGTTGGCTTTTTTGTTACCATCCTTAATGATATTTAACGCCAAGCAGGGTTTGCATGACTGTTGGCCCTTCGTGCAGTTTTCTCACACGCTCCATATACGAACAAAGCAATGCACGAGATGATTAACTTGCAGCCAACTCAGTAAATGTCAATACCTTGTGTCATGGACAATGTTCGTCAGCAAATCCCCCGGGTACTGAACCCACAAAAATGAGGCGACAAGGAAGGTGTTGGAGCATATCGTAAAAGTTGTAACACGAGCCTTATCCCAACTTGACTTTCATTGGTCCATACCTATTGATGTTATATGTACGACGAATACAGAGTACAAAGCGATTCGCACCACGAGGGTTAATATACTAAACCAAGTTTTCGGCTGCTTTAAGTCTAAAAAGACCTACACCAACAACATTCTATCCTCCTAATCTTTTCTAGGACTTCGGCCTTGTAGCCGAATTTTTACATACCTCCGTTTGCCGGTAACCGACGCGTTTTGTGTAGTAGTCCAAGACAACCATCATGTATTCAACATCTAAGTACTACCTGAGGTATGCATTCTTTGTAAAGGATGTGTCAGGGATTGAAAACCCCTTGCCAGCTTTGATCGCTGCACGACATGATTGCATAGATAGATCCTCAGGGTTTTCTTCCGCTCGAAGTTAATCGGATGAGGTGTTATGATGTCCTCGTGGGTAAGATGAAGATGCTTGATAGATCCAACCCGTGATAGTACCTACATACGTGGGGGAAACGGGACGGCCCCGCAACCGATGTTGTGACAGGGCAATTGTGTCATCTATCCTAGAAGGAATTAGCCCTTGAATGCTTGATCAGCTCAGCTGAGCATGGGTATATCCAACTGCCATTCTGTGGGATCAAATCGCTCGCTTTTAGTACTAATACTCAATAGATCATACCATTCACTACCTGGTGTGGGTATGCTAGAGATCCGGCACGAACAAGCTGTGACAGATGCTGTAAACTGGGCTAATTGTTAGATAGGTACGTACCATTTCTAGGTCAGTCAAGTGATGAACAAGGAGCTCTATCGTCACGTGCCCTCAAGTTAGTCTTATCCAATGCCAGGTGGTCTGTGTGTTGTAGATATCTTCCATCTTCTCATAGTTCACGTGATCCACCCTGACACAAGAATGTGTACAAAGAAGAGTGTTGTCGTTTGTAGACAGATAATATTCTTGATAACGAGAAAATCTGAATACTCTGAGAAGAATTCTGTGATTAATCTGACTGATCCGCTGTTGGGGCCATACGCCGAGTGTGGGAGCTTTTCTATAGATACCTGATCTTACAGTACAACGCTCATACAAATCTAAGTATCTTTTAGACCCGTTCATCACTATTACGTAATACCATGATGAGCTTTGAAGACCGAGCCCTGTTCGTCGACGACGATGTTGATTCTAGTACAGACTCCAATATGATCAATCTAGTCCCTGATAGCCTTGCTACTGAGGTACCGGGAGAGATTGCTGGCGAGTGTAGGACTATCAACGGGCAAATGTCTTATATAGCGCTATCAATGACTAGTTCTGTCAGGGAAGCGATAGCAAGGTCGATGATAGAAGGTACTTAACTAAATTTATATAAGATCAGGTATCCAAAGAACTAGCCTAGATTAGGTGTAGTTAGTGCGGACCTCCATGCCTTTAGACGGACCGCGCATTTAGACGGACCACGAAGGAGAGGATGCTGAGCGCATTTTACAGAAACGCGCTCAGATAATCAAATGTGTTACACCCCATTTGAACCCTACCATATACATCGTCCTGAGTGAATAACTAATTATTCTTTACGCGTTTAGCGTCCTCTTAATGATGTGGTGGAAGGCCGGCCCTTGTCTTTGATTTGATGGACTATCGCAGCGCGAAGGCGTCGGAAATCCACTTCACCAGCATCTTTAAGGAGAAGGTCGAGTTGCAAGGACAGACAGACAGACAGTCAGTCAGTCAGTCAGCGTCAATCATTTAGAGGAGCAGAAATGGTATTGTTTGACCAGCAGAGTTCGGATGAAGTGACACTCATCAAGATTAGGAACAACAAAAAGGGAGTAGCTAAACGTAAGGACCCATCTTTACTCCCTTACTTTGACGCCTTACTCTGTTTCTTTATTCCAAAAGCTTGATGATTTTCGTAGTATCCCCTCAGTGTGTATTCCCGCATCCCCGGGCGCCGAAGGATTCGCAGCCGAGGGAAGTATTGAGATGCGATGAAAGCGACTTAACTTGGTGCCGTATCTCCCTTACATTACATCGTGTACCAGTACTTAACATAAAACTACCTACCTAACTTCGAGTCTGTTGACTACCGATATCAGGTCTTCTTCATTTATTACCTGCCTACTCACGCCAATATATGTCTATAATTTTCTAAGTATTATCACCGCACGCTTAGCAAGATGGCTGCTCCTTCAGGCTTCGTCCCAAAGCAGGCTATGCTTTTTGATGATAAACTGTTCCAGATCATCGGTGCCGACGAGACTCTCACAATCGCCCAGTATGAGATGAGCATCTTGCCTACCTTCCCTCTCGACTCCATCATTCACGACAATGCATGTGGTCTAGGACCAGTCACCCAGAGCATCCTGGCTACATCACCATCTGACACCATAAAATTCCACGCTACCGATGTCGCTCCGCCTATAGTGTAGTTCTATAATGGAATCGCGGCGGGAAACAAATAGCCCTCAAAAGCCGTTCTTATGGATGCGCAGAAGCTGGTATTCTCTAATTCCACTTTTGCTCACTCCTTTCTGTCCTTCGGCTTGCCCATCATCGATGACCCAGTTGCCGCTGCCAAAGAAATGTACCGCACCCTCAAAACTGGAGGCACTGCCATCACGGCCTTCTGGCTGTCGATCCTGCAGGGAGAGTCCGCTCAGGAGACCCGTCGTGCGGTGTGGGGCCCCGACACACGGCTCGCAGTTGAACCGAAGATGAGGCACAACGACCGCGAGTACATCAGGAACCAACTGGTAGAAGGCGGATTTGGATTCGAGGACGTGCAGCTGTAGGAAAGTCCGCATTTTTGCCCGCCAGAGATCTTGACGAATTTACGCTCGTCATCTGGAGTGCCATCGGCCAGCCGGCCGGTGGGTGGAAGAAAGAGGATGAGGAGAAGTGGGATACGGAGGTGGCTAAGTACAAGGATATCCTCACTAAGAAGGAAGGATTTCATGTAGATGGAGATAGCAAAATCACTCTGGAGGCTGTTGCTCATGTTGCTATTGTCAAGAAGCCCAACTGAAATGGTCGTGATCATCTTACGGACTCTCGATCGAGTCCTTTGACCAACACAAAACACCAGTGTATGGGTAGGTATAAGGTGATGAGGGCCAAAACAAGGATGCGAGCAGAATAGGAGATTTGAAAAGCCATAGAGTAGATCTTGTTGGTTATGTAATCACTGACTCACATAACGTCTGGCATATAAAGCTTATAAGCATTTTTAAAGTTTGTCTTCTAGTAACTGGCTGTCATGTGACATCCTTAGCACTAGATAACACTCTTTGATGAACCTTAAGTTACCTTAGAACTTAGAAGAATACAACATCAATCTACCACTTATAGCAGTCTTCTTGCTACATTGGCAGTACCTCTCTTCGCTTCGCGAGGACGCGCTTCCGTTGGTTTGTTTTTATCTACCCGTTGATTACCATACACATTCTCACGGGATACGTATCGCCCTGAACCATCCACATCTAGGTTTTCTGGCTTCGGACCATACCCACCCAAGCCCTTTTTGCCAGACCATCCACATCAGGCTCCGCCTCTCCTGGCAATCTCGCTGATTGACCACCACAAGATCCTTGGATCTCCTCTCTTCCTGCCGCCAAACCTACTATCTCTGCTGGCCTACCTCCCCAGCAACGTCAAGGCTAGCCGTCGCTCCCGTCTGCCCTCCTGCGAGCAACAAAATTTCAACCACCTTTACCCCTCTCGCCAGCCGCCCCACCTGACGAACTCTAATTTGGGCCAGATGGCACCTGTATTTTTTCTAGGACTCCATTATGAAACATGATTAGCTGGCAAGAACAACAGCAAAGGCAACAGCAACAGCAACAGCAACAGCAGGAGCAATTCCCGGAAGTCTTCGAGATAATTCACGGTCCTAGTCACCATGGATCCACAAAATCAGAACCACAACTAATGGGTTTCGTCCTGGATCGAAAGGAGTTCAAGAAATATATGAACTCGTGCCCCGAATGCTCTCTGCTCAAGACAAAAATGCACAAGCCTTACGGAAACTCCCAAAGCATCTAAGAGCATAGGACTCATACAGATGGACCCAGAGTTTCGAGCCAAAATGCAGGCAGGATACCTTGAAGATCCCAAGTGGAAGAATATCCTGAATGTCATAAAAGTCAACCAGAACCTAGCACCCGAGAACCAGGCATTATTGCCATTCTACATACGGGACCGAGTACTCTGGAAGGAGTCGGCAATGGCGCATTAAGAGAGGCTGTCTAGATTCCCTTCCCGAGGCGAAGAATTAGCTTATTAAGCTAATCCGCCCGAATTAGTTAGTACTTTGCAGCAAGGCATATCTTATACAAGGCATATCTTATACTACGCCTATCTTTTTGTCTCCCCGCGCAGATTCGATTCACATCCAACCCATTTTTTTATCTCTTTCTTTTTTACAACATATTATGGATATTCAACCTTATATGTTCAGCCACTTCTATCTTGGTGACACGTCAAGAAGCTTACCTGCAATCTGATAACATGTGTCGCGATACTTCCCCGTAGTGAACGTGACCGGTGAGGCACTGGTACCTATTGGGCGCCGGAGGCTAACCCGCGGCCGGTTTATGTAGGTTATGCAGATTACTTAGGTACACAAAGGCAAACAAATTATAGACAAAGAGCTAAGCCCAACAGCCTGATTGATATGAGCGCATCCTCTCCCTCGTCTTAGCATACAATATCATTTTTCTACCCATCTGAAATCTCCTCATAAAGTCTCTCCATAGTCCCGCAACTCCAAAATGCCACCTCATACGAAAACTCTTACTCCCGATCTTGTCGACGTCCTCATCATTGGTGGAGGGCCTGCCGGGTTAACCTCAGACGTTAGCATAACCCGCAACGTGCATACAGCTATCGTGTTCGACTCAACTCATATCGGAACGAGCGCACCGCGCACTTCCACATGCTACCTACCTGGGATGGTAAGAGTCCCATAGAGTTCCGCGACGCAGCGAGAGACAACACACTCGGAAACTACCAGACAATCTTCTATGAGGACGCTAATATCGAGAGGGCCAAGAAGAATGATTACGGGGATATTCGAAGTTACTGATGAGAACGGAAAAGTATGGAAGGGTCGAAGCTTGGTTCTCGCGACTGGTATTATCGACGTCCCTCTAGAAATACCCGGTTTTGACGAGTGTTGGGGACGAAGCATGTAAGTAAGAACGTTATTAGATCTTCTAAAGCTCGTTTTGATAGAAATCAAACTACCACTGCCCGTTCTGCCATGGCTATGAGCAGCGTGGAAGCGAGTCCTCTGGTATCCTAGCGATCAATGATGTCGCGCCGACCCCCATCGCCCTCCACGTCTCCTGCAACGCAGCTCGGTTTACCAAATTCGTCACCATCTATACGAATGGCGATACCTCCAAGAAAGATGACTTCCAGGCAGCAATTGGCCCGACTGCGCCCTTCGCTATCGACGGTCGCCGCATCACCAAGTTCGTCCTTGGCCCGAACCAGCTCGGCATTATGATCCACTTTGAGGATGGCACCACCAAGGATGAAGCATTCCTCGGACACAAGCCCGTGAGCAAACTGAAGAGTGACTTTCTAGTAAAGCAACTGGGTCTCGAGATTACACCGCAGGGGGATATAAAGACCAACCCTCCATTTGGGGAGACGAGCTTGACTGGTTGTTTTGCTGCCGGAGATAATTCGTCTTTCTTGAAGACGACTCCGAATGCGGTTAACTCTGGAGCGAATAGCGCTGCGAGAGTGGCTACCTAGTCATATCCAGGCCAGAATGTACGGACAGAAGAGCCTGAGTGAGGCCATGCAGGCCATGCAGAAGAAGCCTACTCAAGGCGTTCTAATAGAGAGAAGATCGAAAATATCTGCACTTATGTTACTGGAAGAATGATGATTACAATGCTATGCCATCAAAGCATTCATATCAACTTCATTTACCCCCATGTTGTTGGAAATGTGATGAAAAACCAAGTATAATTCTAATCGGGTCAATTGTCTCCTTGATTATGTTATGTTACGGGTACTATCGTCCGCCGTCGTACCGCGGATCACAGGGGTCACTGTCAGCCGCACTTCTGCTTGTGCAATGATCTTTTGTTTATATATGGGTACACGCCCAGGGTAAAATTAATAGTAATACACCCTTGATGATAATCTATCCAATAGGTACCGGCGGTTCGACTCTTAGTGTTAGCTCTAAGGGATGCTACTTACTAGGCTAGGTAGCTAAGGTAATCTCCAGCTCCCCCAGTCTCTACAACACAGAATAACAACCGTTTCTCAATTCCATAGTCAATCATATCGCCAAACCTGTCGCTAAGTCCGAATTGAGGCTGTCACAACGATACCTATTACACGCATGCTCTGGCAGCAATCGATCATTTATCAGCTCCGTCTTCTTTCAATTCGCTAAGTCAGCAACGAACCATGGCAAAGGGATCGAACCATGGCACAGAGACGACGGTGCTGCGCAAATTCGGAATTAAGTAAGCACCCGTTATCACATACTGACATGACATCTCGGCCCATCTAACACACAACTACTTGTCTAGCGAGGCGTACCAACTGGCCATGTATCTGCTGGACCAATATCGTGGCACTGTCCTCTCTTGTCGCTATGCAATACCGTCACGTCTTGCGCCGGCAGATTCACGGACCCAGCTGGAGCAGGCAGTCAAGGTCGCTGTCGTGGACACCGTTATGAGACATCCGATGCTGCAAGTCGGCATGATGAATGCAACCTCCAAGGCTCCCTCGTGGATCCAACTGCAGAATCTTGACTTAACGCAACATATAAAATGGCTTTACATCGGAGAGCATGACGGCTTTGAAGAAACGGTCCAGGAAACCTTTCGCACTCAGCTCGATGAACATTTCCCAGACCTTTCCATTAAGCAGCCGGGCTGGAAAATTACCATCGTCCGGCAAGGGAATGCTCCTACCATGGAGGTCCTACTCACTTGGAATCATCCCCAATTCGACGGTGCAGGTGCCAAGGTGTTCCATGAAGACTTCCTCGAGATGCTCAATAATGCCAAGAATGGAGCATATGAGCGGACGGGCTTGGATGGCGATATCCTGACACTGCCTCAAGAGCCACCCTTGCTTCCAATACCAATCGAGAGCTTAATAAGTCTTCCAGTAGATCTCACGTACCTCGCCAAAATGTTTTGGGAGGAAATTCGGCCCCAATTTCTTAATAGGGACGTATCCCAAGCAGCCTGGTGCCCGATTCGCAGCTCTCCATACAAGACCCAGTTCCGGACCTTTTTTATGGATAACACAGCTCTACTTGCGATCCTAGCTCTCTGTCGACAGAACAAGACTACCATCACCGGCCTGTTAAACGGATTAGCGCTTATTGCCTTCTCATCGCGCCTCGACAGCACGGTCGCCCCGGCCTTTCAATGTGCTACCATTGTGGATCACCGCCGGAACCTGCCGCCCGCCCCGCCAGACGCTCCATGGGTTCGCTCCGACAGAGCAGTGGCCAACTACGTGACTCAGGTGTTCCATAAATTCGACGCGAAACAGGTCGCGCAGATTCGTTCCAAGCTACCGGCCGATGATACCAGCGATGGCAGAGATCTGTCCTCCGACCTCCAACACGAGCTCTGGGCCGCGTCGGCGCAGAATCGGCTGGAGATAGTGCGCAAGCTGGAAGGTGGGCTGCGAAACGATCTCATCGGAGTGTTCAAGTACGTGACGGACTGGCAGCAGACGATGAGCAGCATGGCGAAGAAAAAGCGCCAGTTCTCGTGGCTGGTGACCAACGTTGGCGTGCTGGACGGCAACAGGCTGAGCACCACCGGTGGTAACGCCAAATCCGACGACGACCAGAGGTGGTCGATCGACCGAGCGCAGTTTGGCCTTAGCGCTGAGATACCCGCTGCCGCTATCGAGTTTGCCCCGATCAGCGTCGCTGGCCGGGGAATGTGTGTCAGCGCCAACTGGCCGGACTGTGCTGTTGATACGACGTTCGGGGAGCGCATCATGGCTGATCTGGAAAGATGGCTGACCCAACTGGCGAGCCAGTCGTGATGTGCCTGTTTCGAAGTACCGCTTGTATATATACATATACTTAGAGAGGATTCAGGAAGGAAATACATATTTTACCTCAGCTTCTCCTAGACTCCAAATATGATTGCAAATGCGCCTTGCCATTATCACAGGTACTGGCTAAACACACCACAGAGTTTATGGTCGAGGAAACCAAAAAACCACAGTTAAGGATTCCTGCAGCTGACGTAGGTGATGGACTGATTGGAGGCCTTTTAGGGGAGTCGTTTACAAGATACAATGCAAGGGATGATGTTGAGAACTAACAGCGTAACATAATCAAGGGAGGAAGGAGAGTGACCACCACTCGGCCCCACATCAAAAAGGGTGGAGTTTTAAGGACCGGAATGACCCACTTTATCGGCACCACCTAGACAAGTGCAATTGTGACCCAAGACCGCCTGTCTAGATAATTATTATCGATAAGTTAGATTGTATTATATAAGCGCCAAGATTTCGAGAGGATAATGTAAGCGACCTACTCCGCACCAGAAAAAAAGATGCGACCAGCAAAAATCGAGGTGAAATTTAGCCAATCAACAATCATTTTCACCAACCTACTGCAAGCTAAGAAACTGCTACTGCCCCATTTCTTAGCGCTTGATGTACCGTTGTGAAAGCGACCGACTTTTCTCATCCGAACTTTTTTTTTTTCCTTTCCAGGGTTTCGAAGATCTCCATTCTCCATGATCCCGCTTCAACGAAGCCAACCACCCAAACCCACTCGTTCCATTGAATAGAAGTCTGCCTGATATTTCATCGATCGGTATAATGGAGGACTCTACGCTCAAGGTTGGTTCACCCAACGATCTAACCTCTAACCCACATCGTGGGCCGAGTGTCGCATGCTCTTGAATATGGAAACATGGATAACCAACACTGCGACACACATAGGAGCGCCTCCTTAATTCCCAGAAGTCTTTCGATGGCCTCCTCTCCTTAATACCTGCCAAAATGTACTATGGCGAGGAAACAAGTGTGAGTCAAGCTCCGTGCCGCGAAACTCTCCAGTCCAAGTTCTGATCCTGATTCCGCCGTCGCAGGACCAATGGAAACGAAAGAAACAGACCAAAGCCGAGGCCGCTGCTGCTAGGCGAAACAAGTTAGATCCAGACAGCGAATTAAATCGAAGCGTCAAGGAAGTCATGGATGAACAAGCCCAGAAGAAGCGAAAGCGCGATCAGATGCAGGATGGCGACGAGGACGATTGGTCTGATGTGGATGGAGTCGAGACAGAGAAGCCGGGCGAAGGATTGAAAAAGAAGGCATCGAAGGATGCCAAGAAGAAACTGAAGAAGTCAGACGAAGAGCAACCCGAGTTGAGTGAAAAGGAGCGACGAAAGGAAGAAAAGAAGGCCGCGCGAAAGGAGCGAAAGGCAGAGCGACAGTTATTAAGAGAGGAAGAGGCAGCCTTCCAGAGACAGACTATCAAGGGTGTTAACAAGATCAAGCTGGGATCTAGAGAAACAAGGCCCGACGCGGTACCGAGCGACGATGCCCAAGTCACTGACATTAACAGAGACGACAATGATGCTAAACCTTCAGACGTAAAAGATCTAGACGTCGCTGGCCTTGTTGATCCTGCTGACGAACAAAACTCCACCTCTGCTCCGTCACCTCCATCAGAACCTCAATCACCAATCTTTGATACCAACGGCACGCCCGCCGACTCAACCGGCCAAGCCCCCAGCACTACCACATCCGTATCCTCCACAGCTCCAGCTCCAGCCGAAAAGCCGAAGCATATAAAAGTACCCACTGATGACACCAACCTTCGAGCACGTCTTGCCGCAAGGCTACAAGCCCTTCGCGAGGCCCGAAAAGCCGATGTCGACGGGAAGCCCATACGTACTCGCCAGGAACTTATCGAGGCACGCCGTCAAAAACAAGCCGAACGCAAAGCCCATAAGAAGGAGCTGCGCCGGCAGGCTAAGGTAGAAGCTGATCGAAAACGTGAGGAGGCACTAGCATCTGCTCGAAACTCGCCCGGTAGCATTCTCAGTCCGGCCATTGACCTGGACGACAACAACTTCTCCTTCGGCCGTGTTGGCTTTGGTGACGGTTCTCAATTATCTCACGATCTCACCCACGTCTTGAATGGCGCCAAAAAGAAGGGCCCATCAGATCCGAAGACGGCTCTTCAGAAGTTAGAGAACCAGAAAAAGCGACTGGAAGGCATGGACGAAGAGAAGCGAAAGGATGTTGAAGATAAGGAACTTTGGCTAACTGCGAGGCGGCGCGCGGAAGGCGAGAAGATCAAGGATGACGAGAAGCTGCTGAAGAAGGCGGTCAAACGCAAGGAGACGGCAAAGAAGAAGAGTGAGAAGGACTGGACAGCCAGGAAGGAAGGTGTCGCCAAGTCAATGAAGGACCGACAGAAGAAGCGAGAAGAAAACATTAGAAAACGAAGAGACGAGAAGCTCTTGGGCAAGGCCGGCAAGAAGAAGGGGGCTAAGAAGAGCAAGGGCCGGGCAGGTTTTGAAGGGTCTTTCATAGGCGGCGGCAAAAAGAAATGAGATAGGTAGCCTTATGATCATAATGGAGTTGGTTGTCTCCCTCAACAACCATAGATGCTTCTCGATGCGTATATACAACGTGTTTTCAGGCATTGGTAATGCCATAGGCGAATCTAGATGATGCTGGTTACGGAAATGCTTCGTAGCGCTTGATGTCTTAAGTATAATATTATCATCCAGGTCAGCAAGTTTCACCCTTCCCCTTTCTCTTTCCCTGCATGCTTGCGTTTGTCACACCCCTTTTCTACCATGCGAGCTCTTATCCCTATTTCCCATTCTCCTTCATATCACTTAAGGAATGAGATTACTACCTAGCCATCTTATCCAGTACTGAGTCTCTCGCGAACGGGGACCTAGTGGGGGCGTTGCTCAAGATTTAGTTCAAGGCTTGTCAGCGAGATCATAGTAGACAATGCCAAGCTAGAATACCTAGGTACTGGGGCATATCGTGTATGACTGATCTCTAGTAGAGCCTTATGGACGTGCCCCTATTTCCATAGCCTCTAAGAGCATCTCGGGTTATCCTCAACCAACGTCATCATAGATGCCCGCCTATCTACGAACTTATACGCTCCTTATCATGTAAAAAGATACAGAAGACCAATAAGCAGCCACATCTACGATTGGATTGCTGTATGATCACGCCAAGATGTTTCCTTATCACTTGGCCTGCAAGGAGACGGTCGTGGAACTTCGATATGATACGAAGAGTGACGCCAACCTAAGGGGCTCTTTATCACGCAAGGGTCCCGGTGTCTTCTGAAGGAGGGTTTTACCCTCTAGGTAGCAATATATAGACGATTTGGGGACGAAAACTAGAAATACGGATTAGTACATCCAGCTTAGGGTCCGGTAGATCTATAAATACTACAAGGTTAACGGTTTTAAGCACAATGGGAACTAGCCGAGACGCCAGAATCACCACCGGAAAGAAGGTTTTGACCAAATTAGGTAGTCCAAATCCATTTCATTGCTAGAAAATGCCATCATCGCCTTACCGGTGAGAACCATTCCAGCCGCAGAATAATACAAAGCGTATCAGGAACGATTTGGCTGTCATTGCCGTCACTACAGAGCGAATAACTTCCCGAACTAAATGTTTGATATGGGAGTGCACCAAGGTCTCCAGAATTACGGGATGATTCAGATTAGTTCTAGACCTCAACGATATTGAGCAAGGGAAATCTTTTGCGGTCATATGAGGACACTATCCTTGGTGTCTATCTCGGTATGTATTTCATCCAAAGAATGATCGTCGCAGTGTTTCCTAGTCAGCTGTTTTGTGTACACCCAGACGAAACTTGTAGGATATTCGGCGGCTGACCAATTTCATTTCATGAAAGGGGTATGCTGTTGAGGAATGAAACCGTTTGAGCGACAGTCGTAGATGACTTATCTTGGCTTAAGGAGAAGGAGGTGATGTGTAATATGCTAAAGCTTCGACTTTTCTGATCCGAAATCACTATATAAGAGAATTATCCGGTTGGGTCCCGATGCGTCGGAGAAGTACATGTCCAAAAATATATTCAGACGGACCGAATGCATCTTCCGGACTTGAAAGCATAACTCATTTCAAACAAGTTGCTCAAAACGCATCATACACACCTTAGTTATAACCTAGTAGTACTCAGATAAAGCCGTTGGTAGATCAAACAGGAGTGGTCACGATACATACTTAGGTATACTGTGGTGAAAGGACTTGTGAGACCCTGTGTTCCTACGATGAGGCATCGCAGGTCTAGTCATGCCAACGAAATTAAACCGTTGAGGTAGTTCCTCTTATCAGGAACCTGTTGACAGATTTTTTCTTTTCTTTAATTTTCTTTCTAGTCTACCAATCGTACGATCATACTTAACTCTGCTCATGAGATATTATGTCACAGTTATCAATCAATCCCTTTTCCGGTAGTACTCAGATTTGGAAAAGCTCGTCCCACCCAGCCGGATACTCATCTATACAGCCAATCACGTCCGTTCCCAAGTATCGTTAGTTAGACACATCGGCATCGATGGGTTGATTTCCTATTCGTCCGTCCCGTAGGCCCAGGCAACGTCAGGGACCGTGGGATTCATATAGCAAGCTAACATCACTGTTCCCCTTATAATCTGCCGATACAGCACGTCTCGCGATCCGGCATAATCACTATCGCATCCCGCGGCACTATATGGCTGCATCCGACTGAAAGAAATACAGGCGTTACCCATGCTGGAGTTACGCATGTGTGATCATGTTAGTTCTGCCGTAGGCTTTGCGTCCCAGAGCACCGGATCCGTGTGTCTCACGCTAGTTCCGGCCACCAAGGGTCTCAATCTATTCAAACCGCAAAGTTTTCGCCTGGCTTTAGCTCCATTAGGTTTGGGCCGGACGTTGATCCATGAAAAGCTCAACCCCGATCCGTACGGTACCTTGCGGATTATAATTATATGACCTGTAAACTCTGCCCATCCCTAGGTAGTCTTGGGACGACGGAAACGCTCCCCCCCGGCCTTCCGGACAGTGCTACTCCTAGTTTCGGAGCTTATTCATCTGGAGATGTCGAGGTCATGGGTCTCTTCGAAAGTGACGACCCTTCAGTTACGATTACTGCGTTCTGTAGCACTAATCGGATGCACGAAATCCTATGCAAGGCATCCTTCCTTGATAGTAGCCGATAGGCGTTTCTGATCAATCAGTTCCAAGGAGTATCCATGATACGTACGGTCCGTTCGGATCCGTTCAAAGGCTTAGGATAGTAGCCGCATCAGTGCCGCAAACTTGTCACGCCGTTGTACTTTCTTCTATTTACTAGGCAACATTCCGCGGACACTCAAAGGTACGAATTCGACTTTGATCCGAGTGTATATGCCTTTCCTCTTTCCTCATGGTTTCTATCGGGTTGGGCTCTTACGACCTCATACCACCCCTCAGCATCTTTCAGCTCGCCCCTCGCAAAAGCAAGGTCGAAGTTCGACTCGATGATGTACTATGAGGGCGAGGCTATCAATCCTCCTATAATAGGAGTTAAAATGGCCATATTCATCACGTCGGTTATATTTATAATAATATCGGTCGTGGTTGTTTGTCTTAGAGTCTATGTGCGATGGACTGAAAAATCGTTCTGGTGGGACGATGCCACGATGTTTGCAGCGCTGGTTAGTGTCATCGCCAGAACGAAACTTCGTGTTTCCCTTCTAACAAAGACGTGATAGATCATATACAACGTCACCATCGGCCTCAGTTGCAGAAGTGTGTATCTTGGTCTTGGTACCCACAGGGCCGATTTGACCGAATTCCAAGAGAGGGAGGCTAGGAAGTTTCTGGCGATATGGCTACTCTTTTACGCGTTCTGCCTCGTTCTGGTCAAGGGGTCAATTTGCATGACTATGCTACGGCTCACCCTAACGATGAAATATATCCGCTGGGCCATCTACGTGCTGTTATGGTTGAGCATATGCGCATTCATAATATCTATCACAGGATCCGCAACTTCATGTCGACCTTTCTCAGCGAACTGGGATCTAAGATTGATCGCCGACGGAAAAGCGTCCTGTTCGCCAGTATCTGGTGTACTCGGCATTACCTATACTTCTACGGCCATAACGATCGCCACTGATATAGCGTGTGCGATATTACCTGGGGTTATCCTGTGGAAGACTCAGCTCAAGCTAAAAGTCAAGCTTTCGGTTGGGATGCTCCTGTCGTTCGGTTCCTTGTAAGTTGAAACTTGTGCACACTAGAACAAGATTCCCGTCCCTATCTTTGCTTTCCGGTCCTCTTAGCTTACGATCTCTAGTGCTTCTGTTTGTACGATGATCCGCACACCTTATGTCAAGTATTACATGGACGACGATCTTATTTGTAAGCCTTAGTGTCACGGCTACATGCAAGTTCTACGATTCTAATAGCATCTCGTAGATTGGCTCGCGAACCTCGTCCTGTGGTCCAATATCGAAAACGCCGTGGGCATCATCGCAGGCTCACTCCCGATACTCCAAAAGATGATTATGCGTCGCTTTAGAAAGGAGGGCTCCACCGCAACTCCCAATTCCGTGGGTTTGGTGACATTCGGCAGCGCCCCCGTAAAGTCGCGCAACCGAAGAGTTTTCAGCAACCCCACCGACATCGGCTATAGCGTCACGACGGTGCAGACGAATCACAATCCCCACGATTGGGAACGGCTTGAAGATGACTCGAGCTCGCAGGGGATCCGGGCCGACTTCACCTACGAGGTCGAGAGATCACAAGCCTCGGAAGCTAATCTAGTGGAAAGGGGGAAATAAAGGGGTTAATACATACAACTGAGCCATCAATAAAGGGCGAACGGCTCACGCCGACAAACACACTCGAGCGGAACTAATAAGATGATATCCATAGAAATTTGTGTCTTCATTGACTCGCAAAGACCGTATACTACGGTGTAATGTACGCTACCTAAATACCTTACGGCTGAATTTAACTTGTGTTATATACAATGCGCTCTCTATACCCCTATTTATTTATTTATTGATATCTATTATGAAGCAGTAATGCCCACGGTCCCGATCTTGGTATAATTCGAATATGTCGACGTATCGTTCGGGTCGCCCTGCCACGCATACTCGACAATATCCACGCCGCTCCCGCTAGAAACCAGACAATACACCCTCCGCGCGTGGTTAGCGACCATAGTCCCGAGCTCCTTGCAATCCGACAACGACGAAACCTCGTTGGTAGCCGCGGTCCAGGTACTCCCCTTGTAGTAAGTGAGCTGGACGCCGTCGTCCGCAGTAGGATCCATCGTCAAGACCTGGAAGCCCAAGTGATCCGTGATATTCGAGCTGGTCTCATTGAAGCCGGTAGAGAAGGCGGCGATCGTGGTGCCCGCGCCGATGTCGCGGCCCGGGTAGGCGCCGACGTACATGCCGTCGCCGTTGACGATCTGCGACAGCGCGCTCGTGGTGGCGCGGTAGAAGATGTTCATGCTGCGGTGGCCGTCGACGGTGGCGGCGGCGACGTACGCCTGCGCCAGCGAGCTGTTCTCCGCCGGCGCCGAGATCCCCGCCGAGATCACGCTGTTGTCGCTGTCCCACCCGCTGCTGTCGTTCTGGTAGCTCGCTGCTTTGATCCCGCCCGACGCCTGCCAGTACAGGTACGTGTACTGGTTGCACAGGTCGCACGCCTTCCCGTACGAGACGAGCGAGGAGCCGGCGGTCGAGATGTAGTTGTTCGCGGCGGCTGAGTCGACCCAATTTGCCGCCGGCATGGTGGACTGTGTGGAGACGCCCTTGCCGGCGTTGTAGGTCAGGGCTTTAATCGTGGAGAGGCCGCCGCTGTCGGGAAGTTGCCAGTAGACGTGGATATCGCGGGCCTGGAGATAAGTATTAGCGGCTCGGCTCCCTCCGTGCTCATTTTGCAGTATGATGACTTACCGAATCATTATAGGCAAAGACGTCGAGAGACAGTGCAGTGCCTTTCCTCACGCTATCGAAGCCCAAATTATTTGTCTTGCCGTCCACGATGGGAGACACAACCCAATTCTTGTTTGACGAATTCCACGCCGACATGTATATGGCTTTATTATTTAATTGGTACACCACCAGGTAATTCTCATTACCGAGCCCGTCTGTGAAGTTGGCGGTCGCGAGACTGGTATTCGCGTAAAGAGCAGTGCCATTTACTGTCGTATCCGTCGAATCATCGCTGCTGCTGCTTGAGTTGGAACTGCTTTTCCTACTCGTTACAACGCCTGCAGTAACACCCACCACGATCCCCACAACAATCACCACAGCCCCAATAACCAAAGCCCAGAAGAACTTCCGTTTTATTCCACATATTGTAGGTGATGCTGCTGCCGCTCCTGCTGCTCCTGCGCCGAATACTTCTTTCTCCGGTGTCTGGATGGGTTCAGGGAGGGTAGGATCTATGCCTGCTTTCGGGGCGCCACCGGCGACAACTTCGGGGTAGTTGTAATGTTCGGTCGCATTCTGGTTGACCTCGGGTGCCTGCGCGGCGCGCGCCGATTCTTCGAGGTGGCGGTTTTGCGCCTCCGTATCCACCTCCAATGTACTATACTCGTACCTATCCATCGAGGAGTTCATGGCTGCTTAGACAGACGAGCAGACGCGTCTTGTCGCAACACAAGAAGCAGAAAAAATAACATAAGAAAATTGAAGATATGGAGTTGAAAGAGAGACTAGCGAGGACGGAAGAATAGAGGTGCAGAGAAAAGATCCTAGCAGCCCAAGGTGAAACCACTCAGTTGCGAGAGTGGCATGTCAGCCCTGTACGTAAAGCACCGTCTCAGCGGTCGCACTCCCTGCGAATCGAAATCCCGGTCTTGATGCCAAATAAGGAAACAATCCTCATGTGGATTTGTTAATTCCGCATTAGCGGCATCTCAGCTGCTGGGCTGTGCTAGGGTGCCTGTATGCCAAGGCCGCCTCGAGGCCTTCACTATTCCGCACTGGATTTAGCAAGATATGTAATAGGTCGGACGGTCGTGGAGGATTCTCATCGGTTGCAGGAGTCCGAGTACGTAACCTTTCCGATACAATCAAGACCGCTCAACGGCGCTTACAAGTGACTAACTATGGTCTTTCGTCGGCTAACATAGGACCATATGAGGCTGAAGCTCCAGTGGAGCAGATATAGATACAAGCCAAGCAACTAATTAGAACTCCTTGTAAGAGCGGTAACACTGACTGACGGTCTAGTCAATGATATACTAAATATACGAAACCTGCATAGGAGTGGTCTCAGATGCTAGGAAATACGGAATTAAGCAGCCTTCATCTCCGGAGGTGCAATTACACCACCTATTTCTTAGTCATAGAATTTACTATGTCGCATAAGTATCGGACAGCGAATATGACTAGCTAACATGATACCATTTGACCCTTCATTATTTTATCGTAGTACGTGAACCTGGGTGGGTATAATATTTTCAGTGACTGTGCCACCGAAAGACGCCGCGCCGCATAGGGAACCAGCCAATGACATCCAGGTATCGTTCCTTATTAGGAAAGTCCAGGTAACTTAAAACCCGATTAGGACAAGCAGTGATCGTTGCCAGAGGCTACATACGCCTTCACTCATGCAATACAGAGTTGTAAAAACACACTTGGGACGTTGAATATCGCAAGTTACGAATTCCGCATCTTCTGCATCGTAGTGGCATAAGATCGATAGCTAATATACGAATTATGAGACGTCAACCCTGATCTCAGTCCCATCGCTTGATTCATCCACAATTGTAACCTTGATGCCCCACTCTGAGACGGTATATGAGTTCGTGCCCTTTAGGGACAGCGGAGCATCGTTTAACTCGTCTCCTGCGCAGCCGTTCGATCCAGGCGTTGCGTCTAATACGCGAACGGGGCCATCTCCCGTCGCAGTAATCGTCGAGACAGTGTAAAGGAGCACACCTGTCGAGCATGACGCTGAATCAAGACCGTTCGTTGATCGTAACTCCGCCACCAGCACATCTGTGCTATTGTGCTTGATAACCACGGCCTTTGAACCTCCTGTCTGCTCAAGCGGCGTCAACATATGAGTAGTTGAGCCCGTCTCAGCGATACAATCGATCTGCTCATCCGACAGCCACCCCAATCGCCACTTGTCCCACGCAAAGTAATCCGGGCTCGGTCCACTGCGTAAGTCTTAGTTTCTTCATTCTGCTTTAATTTATCCTAAGTTCGCTCCTCACCTAATAAGCCCCATCAAGTCCCAACCGCCTATGAACAAGCCCGTCGCGCTCCCATTAAAGGGGTAGTAGTCGGGCAAACACATCGTATGGCCCGTCTCGTGGTTTAAAACGAGATATTTCCAGGTCTTGTACGCGTCTAAACCGAAGGTCACCGACTTCTTAGCGACGTATACTCCAGCGCGCGTCTGCACATCTCCCATGAAAGTGGGCGAGAATGAGATGGCAGCAGCGTTGGCAGTTGGAACGACGTACAGCACGTCCGTCGGTGGGATGGTCTGGTTATACGCATCTAGCGCGTCTTGGATATACTTCTCGTGGGTTTCGTAACTCAGACCGCGCGCCCATCCGTATGACGCCGCGGTGGCCGGCATGCGGTAGAAGCGCGACGTGTCTGCGGTCACGTTCAGCGTCAACGCGCCGTATGACGACGTAGCGTACCATTCCGCCGCCGCTGGCAAGAAAAAGTCGTGCAGACTCTGCGGGGTCTCGATGGCTTGTTCATCGTCGAAATCGACAAATATCATGAAAGCGTTTAACGTCCCAGTGCTGGGAGCACAGTTAAGTTCATATCCAAACCCGGCGCTGAGATAGACATCGCTATTCGCGGCTAGTTTGCACGCGGATATGTCTGTTTGGGGACGATGAGAAGTCGCTATTGCTGAAGTGGATATCATCACCCATTCTGTGATGGCACACAACATTAAGCACCACACAGAAATTCGAAATGGCTGTATGAGGCCAGTCATCTTCATTAGGCTGTGAGGTGTATATAACACCACCACAATTAGAACGACGAGGAATTATTCGAATCAGCCGATGGTCTCAGTTTTATGAGAAGTCGCTTATCTCAGCTCCCGGGTCACCTTCCTGGAATGGAACGCTGGTGACATTGATTCAAGTATAAATTCCCCGATTTCCCAAATTTTGAGCGGCTCTTATCAACGGGTGATTCTCAACTCGGCCAGGAATGGAGGAGCGGCCTAGATCGTGCACTGTTTTCTCGGTCAACATTTAGCCGACTATTGTGATCGATATCAACCGGCTAATTCAAAGACCCAACATTGTTTATCATATGGTATGATGGCGATTCGAGGGAAATTCTTATAACCCTGATTATCATGCGAGTGATGAAATACTTGCAAGTAATGGTTGCAGTTCTTAATGCATTTTTCAATCTGCTCCTCTCATGTTTAGTTTCTGGTGTCCAGCGCGCGTCGCTTCATTATCTGGACTTTGGTTCTCCTTTGAAACATATCATTGTCGTCTATCTGATCGTGGCCAAGCAGAACCTCGAAGTTTCCGGTGATGATTCTCTGAATGACCTGAACAAAGACATTGTCGATATTTCGCAACATTTCTTTCCAGCGTTAGCGATAATATCTAGTTTATAATAGGAGGCGGGGTAACTACCTACCTACCCTAGCTTACCCGAACTAGCTTCCTCTATCTACGCGGATATCATTTCGTAAGCGCGGATTATATCACCAAATCCACCATGATGCTGTCGCAGTATGTCGACAAAGCCTGAGCGAGAAACATAAAGTCTCACTGTTTCTCGGGCTTAGTACGCGGCGATTTGTTTCTATAGTGAGTCGTACAAAGCTGTAGTTATTCGAAGAAGCAATATTGCTCCTCGGATTGATGATCGGAGATGTCCGTCGACCTTTATCAGATAACCCATTTTCACGCTACTAACATAATTCAACAAATAGCTCTCTTACACTATTTTATTGATAATTTGATAGCGCTGCATATCTTGAAATCTGAAATAAATAACTCGGGGACATAATTTCGTGTTTGATTCAATCTGAAGATATCCGGATACCGAAGTTATTAGCAGTTCCAAGATGGCCGTCGAACAAGCGCCTCCGGTCACGATTCCCGTGATCGACATATCCGGCTATATCGCGGGGGATTCGTCTCGAACAGCTCAAATCGCGGAGGAATTGAACGCCGCATGTCGCGCCCCCGGTTTCTTCCAGATCGTCGGACATGATGTCCCCGCCGATCTACGAACTCGCCTGTTCGAGAAAACCGCCGAGTTCTATCGTCTTCCCGCGGCCAAGAAATCCGCCTTGGGCCAGGGTTTCTCCGTGAACGGCGCGCGGGGATACGAAGCCATCGGGGCCGAAGTCATGGAAGGCGATTTTAAGGACCAAAAGGAGGGTTTCATGATGGGCCCCGAACTACTGCCCGGAAGGTTCCTGCAGGGGCCAAACCTGTGGCCCGAAGAAGCTGATTGCCCCGGATTTCGGTCGACCATGGAAGAATACTTCGCTGCTGCTCGGAGTCTTAGCGTAAAATTGTTCCGGTTGCTGGCGTTGAGCTTGCATCTTGAGGAACACTACTTTGATGATTTTGTCAACAGTCGAGACTGTTAGTAACCAATCCCTTTCGGACAATGCTGTCAATGTTGTCAATGATTACTAACAGTCCCACTACCCCAGCTATTTCTATGTATCGCATACATAAATACCCAAAGACCAATGCCGAAATGGCGAAGAAGTCCCGTGGAACGGGTGCTCATACGGACTTTGGCGCCATGACACTCCTGCTTCAAGATGACAGTAAGATAGCCGCCGTGGGGTCCCTATCGTCCAACTAACAGTTCTTCAGTTGGTGGTTTAGAGGTTTTCCACCGGCCCACAAACACGTGGAATGCCGTGCCCTACGTCCAAGATGCGTACGTTGTCAACATCGGCGACATGATGGAGCAGTGGACGAACGGTCGATATATGTCGACGGTCCATCGCGTGATCTCGCCGATTTCGGATAAGGACAGGTATAGTGTGGTTTTCTTCAACGAGGGCCTACTAGACCAAGTCATCGAGTGCATCCCAACTTGTATTGAACCCGGCGAGACCCCTCAGCATCCGCCTGTGACGGTGGAAGCGCACTTGCGAAAACGATACGGAGATAGTTACGGAGGGGGCAAGGGTAACGACGCAAACTAGGAGTTCCTAAAACTTGAAATAGTATAAGGTATATAGTATAGCCAATAATCAACGTCTACTTTTGGTTGAGCCCATCTGAAAATGTAGGCTTTTTCAATTACCCCTAATCTAGGTTCGGTTCGGGGATCTTCCGGTCGAGGAAGGTTGGATGTGGGTCCGGACGGAGCCGGTTTGGGGGATGCGGCTTCCTTGCGGAAAATCTTTGATAGTCATGTATGCCAGTCTGTTAATTAGTAAGCTACCTTTTCATATGATATACTCCGTGTCTCATGATAGATATGACTCACATATCTGAGACTTGAATGAGTCCTCATCGTGTGTATTCAACCCTCCCCCATAGACCATATTGTTCATTTCTTAGCCTAGTCTTATCCTGTTATATGTGGTAGGTACTGAATAGGCAGCGTCATGGAACCCTTGGGCTTCTTTGCCAGCAATTAAATAGCATGGAGTAGGCAGCATGCCGGACTGGCTCACTATTAGTGGGTTGAGTCCGCCGAGTCTTGTGTGAGATCACTGAATAAAGCCATGTCGACACCTTGTAGCGTCCAGTCATCTATGCCTGCCTCCAGGCCCGGGACTAACAGATTAAGGTAGTTCTCTTGCGACGCACTTGTATCGAAAGACGACGGAATGGCTTGCCAATCAGCATTAACAGGCTCGACGACGCTGAATTCATAGCCTGGTGGGCGGGTTTGGGGGGACGTTCCTCCTTTATCTCGGTTGAGCGTGGAGACTGGTTCGTGAAGGGTGACAAGACCCGTGTCAGTGTATCGCGATACAGGAAGGCTCCCGGACTGCGCTAGCTCAACCGAATTTGGAAGGGGAGGGTGATGTTCGATCTGGATAATCCCGAAGTACGGGATATGTATATGGAGCGCGTGGAAAGCATCCTTCGTATTACCAATACACTGAGACTCCTGCTTGGTAACCTCTGAGGAGGCATGAACATGGTAACAACCTCCTTGGAAAGAGTTATCCTCAATAGCGAGTAATGGCCGGAGGATGCTAGAGATCTTTTGGGCAATGACATCCTGATGAATTTCAGCCATTGCCTCCATTATTTCGAGGGTACGTTCGAGTAGTCCACGATCGCCTAATCGTTGGTGGCGAAGGGATTGAAAATTGCCGATGTCTTTGCCATTATCGGTGTTGAGCTGGCGACGAACTTCGATATGCGCAAGACATAAAACTATGCTTCCAATAAAAGCAACGAAATCGACGCCGCGACAGTAGATATTATTTGGACAGGAGTCTCGAAATGAAACGAACAGCGTAACGATTGAGCGACTGGCACTTGCAGCAGTCATCTTGCTGTAATCGTAGCTGGGCTCAACTGATGAAGGCAACATCATATACGGCAAATGCACCCGAACGAGAAGATGATAGTATGCGAACTGATTCATAAGGCGGACAGATTCCTCAAACGCCTTTGCGCCATCTCTAGTAATGGTAGTGGGATCAGAAGCCATCAGCCACCACCGTGGTGGCATTATCGCGGCAGCATCCTGCAGGATCTTGTCAATCTTGCGCGTCGCCACGGGGTCGGTCCTTTCGGCACTATTTCGCTGGAGAATAAGACTAGAAGCAACTGCCGCCATACGCTCCATGCGTTCCACATCCATGCACTTGTCGAGTGCATCTGGACTGGCAAAAACGTTTTCGGGTGTACCTTGGGGAAGACCTAGCATTAACGACAGATATCGATCTGTGAGGACAATGCGAAACCACATGTAATCAGGGTTAATACGATCCCGTGTTTCGCTCTCGATGATAACCGGGGAGCTGGTGCCGGAGTGTAGTCCCATCATCTGCGCTGCGGCCATAGCTCTACGGTTTGCTAGCCAGGCGCGGCGGAGGGACCCTGCGTTATCCAAACACATGCTCTCCACCATGATGCACTCAATGCCCTCAAGGGAGTTGATGAGTTCGTCGTTACTTGTCACTAACCTAGTAGCGGCGTTGAACACAAGAGACATAAGATCATGGTGGTCTAAACTCAGACCGACGAGTCCGCTCGTAGAGCTGGGCGGGATACCTTGTAAGAGTGTGGCTAGTAGCAATAATTTTCTTGCGATCAGGACTGGATGTGATCCCTGTGAAGGTGGCTGTAGCATACACCGCGTTGACGCCATTTCCCCGGAGAAAAACTCGGAGTACGGTCGAAAGACCACGCCATGAAATAATATCGAAACATGGACCGGGACGCTTAAGATTATATCGAGGTCCTCTTGGCTAGGCCACGCTTCTAGGAGAGCACGGGATAGACCATCAAGATTTCCGGTCGCTTGACTCGCTAGCCCCAGGCCAGGGATTGCTGTCGCCGCGGAGGGAGACAGATTAGGGTAAGTACCATGAGTGTTTGGTGTACCTAAATGGCTTGAAATATTGGTGGCGTTTCTTACAGTTCGATGTAGGACCTCATCTTGCTTGAGTCGACTGTCCCGCTGAACCAGTTGTTCGACTAGAGATTCTAGCCGGCTAAGCCTATTGTCGTGTTTTCTTGTAGATGCCGTGTCATCAGGTAATTCCTGACTAATGCACTTTGTTTGACGACTTTTACACCCATCACAGGTGGCGTCTGTAGGCGCTGCAAAGGTGCACCGGATTTTGCGCCGCTTGCATTCCCAGCAGCTTTGGGTGCCTTTCCGGAGCTTTCTTCGCTTGGGTGCTATATCCGGTCTCTCTTCCACCGCGGAGGGGCTACCACAGGGCTGTGCTTCTGACATTTTAGTATCGGCGTAGCTATTTTCTCCGTACTAGTAGAGCGTTATTAGTGAAGACGTTAGAAAGAAGCTATTACTTTGCATGTGCCTCAAAGCAGTGGTAAAATTGATGTTGCAGTGATTTCTCCAGCTGACTGCAGTTCCGCCGCGGCGGAGAAAAGTAGCGCACGGGCTCGAGTTTAGGTCCCCACTAAATTCCCCTTTTAGTAAACCACATCAAAAACAAGCTAATATGATTGGCTGAATACCGTAAAGGGGGAGGCCATTCGAATTGCTATCATGACTCTAGGTGTATGGAAATCATATATAACGCGAAGACGCCTTTCTATATTGAATATGAATATCCTGTCATCTGTACAGATCCATTCTCCTTCAAATCGAATATAGTTGAATCATTTACCTTGTCAACCACCTATCAAAATGGTTAAAGTCGCTGTGGCCGGTGGTTCTGGGCGTGAGTTGATCTTCAATTTGATAGGACTATACAATTCAATTGACTGGCTACACAGAGGTTGCCCGAGAGATCATCGATGCTCTTCTAGAGTCGAAGAAGCACCAGATAACTATCTTAAGCAGGAGGGTAAGGAGGACTCCTGAAAGACGTGCACTCGTCCTCATAGCTCAACGCTAATATCTTTTGCTTCAGGAGGCTCCGACCTCAACTCCAATCGCATCTGGACTTCATTGGCAGTTTGTGGACTACAATAACAAGAAAAGTCTAGTTGAAGCCCTTCGAGGGACCCACACCCTCTTGTCTTTCGTCCAAACCCTCTCGGATCCCGACCAGAAGTCGCAGAAGAATTTGATCGATGCTTGTATTGAGGCCGGTGTGAAACGCTTCGCGCCGAGTGAGTTCGGAAGGTATTGTTAGCCACAGCCAACGCATCACGAGTAGAGTAACTAACCACCCACCAAGCAAAGGGACAACCGATATGCCTTGGTTACGAGTAAAAGAGAACATAAGGGAGTACCTTGAAGAGGTGAATCAGAAAGGAAAGGTATATTTCCCCAGCTGCCATTTCAATACCCCAAGAATGTTGAACTTACATTTCTATCAGGTTCTCGAATACACCTTATTCCAACAGGGTTTCTTCCTGGACTACCTAGCCTATCCTTACAAGACATCCAAGTATCTTGATCAGCTGCAAACTATCTTCGACTTTGAGAATAGACGTGTGATCGTCGTAGATGGCCATGAGGACGCTATCATGACTCTAACTACTGTCGCGGACCTCGCAAAGATCGTTGCTCGGGCTGTTGATTATGAGGGCACGTGGCCTAAGATGAGCGGAATCAGGGGCAATAGAGTCACGTTCTCACAAATCATTGAGATCGGAGAGAGAATTCGAGGTGAGTAGTTTCTGCAATTGCACATAGCAAGAAGGTGTTGTGATGTTTAACGCAAATCCGCAGGACGCCCCTTCACGGTCGACAAGGTCAAAGTCGAAGACCTCGAAAAGGGTGAGCTGAAAACAACATGGAATATAGAAGCGATTCATCATTCGGTCTTCAAAGAACAAGCACCGGCTTTTCTCAAGGCCATATCAATTGGCATCTTGCTGAGCAGTTTGAAAGGCGCATGGGATATATCGGATGAGCTGAACCAACTTTTTCCTGATTTCGAGTTCACTTCTATTGAAGACTTCCTCACAAGGATCTGGGAAGGAAAACAATAAGTGGTTATCGCTTCACAGTAGCTGTACAGTATCCTACCTTTGTAAGCGACCTCTTTGAGACGGCGCTGTTAGTCAATCTCGCCATGATTATTTAAATTCTGGATCTCATCAGTCTTATGGTGAATTCTGAATGTAGTTAATCTAGGGGACATTTGGGATGGCGCTGGAATTCTACTTAGAATATTAATTCTCTAAGCTGGGGCTATACCCTCTATGTCTTCAACTGATATTGCTGGATCCATATCGGATCTTGAAAACGAGATTTTCCACTTCATGCTGTTCCTCGGGCGGATTTCGATATCTATGTCAAAATCTGGCAATGGTATAGCAGGAAACAGAGGCGAGTTTTCTGTGGTAGGACGAACCCATCTGCCGTTTATCGGGTTTACGTCAAATCGTAGTACCATCAAAGCCGAGAACAGCAAAGCTTCTGTGGTCGCAAAATGGCGACCTGGACATAGGGTCGTGCCACCGCCGAATCCACGAAACGCGATAGGGTTAGGGCGCTTAATACCAGGCTCTCTCACAAACCGCTTGTGATAAAATTCATTTACATTCCTGCCCCAAATTGACGGGTCGGTGTGGTGTATGTTCGACGGTATTAAGACGGTACTACCCTTTTTGATAAGGTACTTGTTGTCGAGCATGATCTCTTCTTGGGCGACCCGAGCGGAGACGGCACTTCCGTGGACACGGAGCATCTCTTGGAAAGTTGATAATAAGATAGGGCAGGACTGCTTGACATAAGCCATGTCAATCGTACAGACACCACCTACCTCCCGAACCCCCTTAGAAAGTTCAGTTCGGATATCGTCCAAAACCTTCGGGTCTGAGAATATGTAATAAATCACCCAGAAAGCCGAGGGAATGGTGTTAGCGAGTATAGCTAGCACACCCCCAAGCTCTGCCCTAGCTGTATCCTTGAGAGGAATATGGAAGTCCTCGTTGATTTGGGCTCGTACTTGGATAAGTCCAGAACCTTGCTTGTGCCCACCCTCCTCAAAATATCGTTCCCAAGCTTTGGCCATGTACTCGCGAGCTTGAAAGGCCTCCTTGGCTAATAACCAAGGGAAAGCATTCAGGATGAACATGAATATGTTCGGCTCAAATTTGCTGGTTTGGTTAGCACATTACATAAATACTTCGGTGAGTTTGAACGTACTACCAAGCCTCCTCCATCTCAGGATCCCGAAATGGATTCCGTGGACCATAGACACTTTCAGTGGTAGCATTTACAAGCTCATGGCGGATCCAATGGAACATCTTCACAGTTGTGGGGCCTTCTCCTGCCCATTTCTCTAAAGAGTCAGCGATGACTTGAACAGCTCTCCTGTCCATGGCTTCTAGAGCTGGCCCAGCTTTTAAAGTCTGATGAATATATCTTGAGAAGCGCATCAAATACCCTTCATCGTCTGTAATGTTACTGGATATGATGTCATTGGTTGCTTTGCTAACTCTTATTACGTTTTCTGCTACAGTTGCTTCTATGGCCGAGAAAGACAGCGTCCTAAATTGGCGTTGAACCACGGGAATAAGCGAGATGGAATTAACAACGTAAAGTCTTGTGCCCGGAAGGCGAAGGGTGTATATAGGAAGATTGTGCTGTTCTCTTGAATGGTACTATTAGTAGGTATCGCGTTAGGATATGGCTCCCAAGGCCCACCAACCTCATAAAAGAATAGAATCTTGTTTTCATAGTCTTCATTCTCACAATAGGGGTTATGAATGGAATAGCGTTACCAATTGCAGGCGGTTCTTTTGGGCTCTGAGTGAGATGCAATAGGACGTGAAGGAATATGTATACCCCAGCAATCGCCGTGGCTGCGATAGCAAGATTGGAAATCATGATGCTGGTGATCGTCCTTCCTTGATTACTAGCCTAAGAGGTTGGCATGTATTGAAGCAAGATATCAACATCAATATTCGGTGTGGGTACGTTTGCTGACTCAACTGGATCCATTCTTTTAAGGTGCGGCCCGCCTCCTAGGCGGGATCGGATAATTGTTTATCAGTGGATTTAACTCATTTCAATTAGCTTGCCTCTGTTTTACGTAATAAGTTCTAGTCTGAGCTTGCCGTGACGACCTCTAACTTTTCCTTAGCGTAGAAATCTAATCCTAGTCAGGCCCATTCAACATGGATTCCAGAACACAACGATCAACCGCAACGCGAACTGCTTCACCAAAGTCAACGAACGAATCCACACCAAAAGATCCAAAGCCTGACACCGAACTTACCAATTTTGTAACGAATTGGTGCGAGTCGCTTGATTCAGACCAATTACACCCAGACCAGTTGAACGTAAACCAATACGCAGCACAACCAGAAGAAGCTTATTCAATAGACAACGATATAAGCGCAACAACTAATTCAGGAAATACAACCGAATCCACACAATCTAGCAAGCCTTCGCTGGTGGAAAAACCAACCTGTCGAACCGATCTAGAATACAACAGTATCATATACGAACTGCACAATATAAATGAACATCCAATATGGATTGCGAGACTCATTGATTTTGTAAAGACGAACGTTCCCGAGAGGATGAAATACCCACACAATGTAGAAGAATGGAAGAAGAAACACACCGAATTTCGAACCGCAAATTGCGGATGGCCTCATACCCAAACAAAAGAAACTTTGAAGGCACCTACCTATATGCCTCCCATTAAACCCTCCTTTCACAACATTGAACAATGAAGAGAAAGCGGGCGAAGAACACACTTACCTTTTCCAAAGCTACAGCCAACGCTATTATAAGAAAACAATGAACGGTATTGCCCACAGGGCCCCGATATCAACACCCAAACCAGATATAGCTTTCGGGTATCAGCCTCAAGCTATTTTTAGGATCACGGAACGGGCGACAGATGAAGACGTGCATAAGCTGTTAAAACTGAGAGATTTGTACATTGTTAACGAGGAAGGCCTTTTGCTTCCGTACTTGCTTGTAGAAGTGAAAACAGCGTGTAAAGACATGGAAATAGCAACGAATCAGCTTCTTGGAGGAACCTCAATCACAGTTAATCTCTGCGATGGGGCGATCGAGAACGACAACGCGGTTTTCGGCGTTACAATGCATAACGAGTTCGCGAAGATTTTTGTGACATGGAAAAACGGTGAGAAGCACTTCATGAAAGAGTTCGAAGCCTTCACGTTCCTACACTTCGATCAGTATTTTTTGTTCCAGAAAATGATGTTCAATATCCACAAATGGGCAGCAACGGACCGATTGGAGACGGCGAGGAATAGGTTCACCGTATGAAGCACTAGAACTTTGTAATGAACTATGAATGGCGTCAAAACTTCAGTTCAAGTAGAACTTTATTTCAAGAAGAACTGGGGCCTAGCTTTAGTGGCACTTAGATAAAGAAGCTGGTGCCGGGGACTAGGCAGAGCGGCAAGAAGACACTAGATGTGGTGGTGCGTTGATTGATTCCCTGGGGAAGAGCCTAGATACCTAGGTATGTAACGGTCTCTGAAAACGAATTTGAGGAATAAACAGCCTCAATGGCCGAATGCCTCTCAAGATGTGAGCGTTACGATCCAATCAAAAGAAGTCAGTGGGGCTTATCGGATCACTTATTTCCCCTCTCTACGTGTTAAGAATCTAGAGGAGGACAATCCCCTCTATTGTCTATTTTATCCTCATTGTTACCTTCGGATCGAGACTCAGAACTCTAGGTTTGTTACAAGTCAGGCGTCCCTATTCAGCACCACATTGACACTAATACCTTAAACCAGAAACCCTGCAACTAGCTCGTTGCACCTCCTAGATCTGTATACAACTCGATTAGCTGTAGTTACCTCGAGTCGCTCTTTGGAGCGACAGCTCCCTCCCTACCGAAAAAGATTATCCTCCAGTCCTGCCCCTACTCTTACTTTCATTTTAAGAACTTAGGCCCCCTTGTTCATTAGTAGGTACGCAACATAGACCTCAGGTTTCCTAAGTACCTACCTAGGTGAGAGGTTTCCGCCTAGGAATAGATGGAGTGTACAAGCTGGGAAGGTGCTACTTGCACTGTGGGAGGTATTTAAAATCTCCGCAGGAGATTTTAAAGCTTTAGAGAATAATAACAATATAACATTTTATCCTCTTTAATTCTTTTCTAGTGCTTTTATACCGGAATTTACGCATGGGAATATCGTTACAACATTGTCATTATTATTAACTATTATTCGTTTAATTACTCGTTTAGCTGTATTCTTAATTAAAGTTGGTAAGAAAGCCCTGTCCGTGCCGTTGTTGGCCTTGTTATTTGGAATATTATTCTCCCTACCGTTAAAAAAAATATTAATATAACCTTGTTTCTTGGCCTGTTATACTGTTATTACCGCTATTTCTTATTTACTATTTTGGCTTGTTGATGTTTGCTTTCTTACAAGTATAGTTTATGTTTATTCCTCTTCCGGCTGTGGTTTTGTTCCGGGGATTGGGTAAACAGTGGAAAGACCCGACTTATTTCGGTGGTCCGCAGGTGTTTAGCTTATCCGGCGTGTGGGAGCTATATTTGTGGGTTGTTAGGGTTGTACAAGGGCTGGCTGTTTCGTGTCTGTAGTTGTTTCCTTGAGAATGGGATTTATATTGAAGGAAAGAGTTGCCTGGGGCGGGCTTTTGTGTGTTTGTATTAGATGGAGTATATAAGCTGGGAAGGTGCTATTTGCATTGTGGGAGGTATTTAAAATCTCCGCAGGAGATTTTAGAGCTTTAGAGAATAATAATAATATAACATTTTATCCTCTTTAATTCTTTTCTGGAATTAAGGAGTGCGGCATCTGAACGACAACCACTTAGGCACATATCATCTATCTGTGTAACGAATTGGTTGCCAAACAGCCTAGCCAGCTATCTTTACACACCTATCTTAGGTATCCGAAATTACTTTCGGGTTCTCACATCCTACCTATGTGACATGTCATTTGTTGTCACAAGATTCTGAGCAGCAAGGAAGGGCCTAAGACGCCTTTCTATCATACCTACGTACCTAGGTATGCCCGTAGTTCCCCGTGCCGTTTGACTGGAAATCTACCCCTAAATCTTCATACTGCATCAACCTGAAAGACTAAGATATTCTTTGACATCCCCTGGTACTGACCTCAGCAAGTTTCCAATCCCCTTCTTCTCCTAAAACGTCTTACCACCACCTCATGATGGCGACCTGCGGAACATGCTGGAAGGAGTTCCGCAGCGATCAAGCGCGGCAGCAGCATATGGACGCGTTTTACCACCACGCTCCCGAACATGAGTGCGATACATGCTTTCGCTTCTTCCACTCATTCAGCGCAGTGGTCAACCACATGAACGCGAAGAACCACTGGCAGTATAAGTGCAATGACTGTGACGACTCATTTTTGAGCAAGGAATGGCTACGAGACCACGAGGTCGAGGACCACTTCTATTGCGATCCCTGTAAGCGATACTTTTCTTGCTACAATAACATCAAGATGGTAAGTAAGAGAAGCTCATGTCTCAAACCCCTCTCGTGACCATGATCTGAGAATCTCTACTCTTAGCATCTTAACTCGCGCATTCACCGCGGCCAGAACATGCAATGCCCTTTTTGCAAGCAGCGTTACACAACCGCTACCGGCGCTGCTCACCACATAGAGAGTGGTTCCTGTCCAAGCGCGCCTGGCCTCGACCGCGACTTAGTCTACCGCATCATCCGTGCCAAGGATCCTAACCACATCATCTCTAACAAGCTCCTCGAGTGGAGCGACTCTACGCGCTACGAAGCTACATCGCAAGCATGGAACGGATTCGCGTACGAGTGTTCTCTTTGCCATCGTCAGTTTCAGAAGCTCGAGTCTCTGAGCCAGCATCTTAGCTCCCCCGTCCGTGAGTTGCTGTTCATCTAGCGATCCCCCGCCCCAACAACGCATAGAGCGTCATGCCTAACATTCTATCCAGACCAGCAGAATCTGTATCACTGTCCTAAGCGCATTGCTTGCGGCCGCGAATTCACATCCCTTGCTGGTCTCATGAATCACCTCGAGAGCGAAAGCTGTGGATACACCAAGTTCGAGAACGTGCAGAAAAGCGCCGCGGGCATCATGAGCTCGGATCGTCTTATTGGATTCTAAAAGTACCGCCTAGTCACCTAAGAAGGCACAGTTGGACTCGCCGAATGAGGCAACACGACAGCACGCTTGGTTTGTTCATAGGCTTTGGATGCTTAGAATATCTTTGGCACGCGAATGAGCTGTTTAGCTCTCGTGGAGATACCTGGCTGTGGGATGCCTGCACCCAATTTCTGATGTGAGATCAGTGTGGTGATTGATGCCACTGTAGGTAGATTAGGTATCGACCTTGTATGGACGGTTTACATCCTGACTCACCTTTTTTCTTGCCTACTTTAGCTAACTTGTGGAGGAAAGTCAGATGTTCGTGTAGGTTGAGGAACACCGTCCTACTAACTCCTATACAGAAGAACCCCTTTTTCATTTTGCTTTAAGGGAAAGGGGGGCTTGGTCCCGCTTTCCCCTATCTTTATTCCGCTCGCGCAACTTGATCATAACTACGAACTACAGAATGCATGTATGAAAAGACAAATTATTACTGGTGTGTACTTGTTCAACCGTTATGTCGACCAGGTTGAGAGGCTTGATATTCCGAGATCCTATTGGATAATCCCATCCCTTACTTCCTCGTGTGCTCCCTATATGTAGTGTTTGTTGGTATTCATAGGTATGTACTTTTCATAGCAAGGCGCCTAGACAAGGACAAACTGCATATAACCTATCCAATATCCACGACATTGACGAAAATTCTCTTTCTGCTGCCCGATATAAGTGCAGAGAACTCGACAGGGGTCATGTTTTCTGACCTTGTTTCGCTACACGCAGCCGATTTAGGGGCTGCGGCTCTGCTTCTAATCGCCGCATTCTGGCTCCGGTATACTGCCCGGCGTAACAGGTTTACGGTGGACGAGAAGCGCGATGATGCCAAAGGTGCTCCGCCGACCTTCCCTTACGTATTTCCACTATTGGGAAGCCTACCAGTAGCATATCTATGGAACCCGAGAGCTTTTGTCTTGAACCCGAAGTAAGCAAACCGCAGCGGCTCGGTTATCAATGCCTCTGATTTGTTATATTGACCTCGCTATCCAGCAATTTCTTCCAAAGCGCGCGTCCGGTCCGCGTCAAGATCCTTACGCAAGAATTCTACACCATCTGCGGACCCGAGAACGTCAAGGCTTTCTTTAGAGGCTCCGGGGCATGCACATCAATCCCCTTCGTCAAATTCGCGCTTGGGTACGCCTTCGGCTTACCGTCCAAGGCACTGAGTCTGTACCACAAAGACGACTCTGGCGGCGGCCATGTGCCGCACCCGGGCAGCACGGTAGAGGCCCGCAACCGCATCGACTACCGCGTTAACCAGTCCTTGGTCCGATTTCTAGAAGGAAAGGGGCTTATGCCCTTTTGGAACAGGTTTGCGGACGACATCACGCAGCGGTTGGGTGGGCTGTACGACCGCATTGGCTCCGATTGGGAGTATCATGCCGACCTTATGGAGGCCGTCCGAGACGAGGCCACCGTCTCCATCCTCAATGCTCTCTGCGGCCCGTACCTCTTGGGTCTGAACCCGCACTTCCTGCAGGACTACTGGGATTTCGATCGCAACTTGCAGACCTATCTTCAAGGTACGGGGCTGGGAAATATATGGCAGTGTACTGAGGCTTATCTCGCTCCCAGGTATTCCGTGGTTCCTTGCCCCAAGGGCCTACGCTGTTCGGAAGAGGGTGCTGGATGCCGTTAAAATTTGGCAGCGGCACGCAAGAGACCACTACGATGATTCGGCCATCGATGCTGATGGCGACGACCCATTGTGGGGGAGCAGCTTCTTCCGGGAGAGACACGATATGTTTCTCGAGATGGACGGTTTCGACTATTCAGCTATTGCATCCCAAGACTTTGGAGCAATATGGGCGTAAGTTATACCTGATGCTTTCACCTCCAGGTTTGGACCGCTTACGACCAATTTCATCATATTTCAGGACAAGGAATTCCATTACTGCTGCGTCCTGGGCCATCTTTGAAATATTTCGAGATCCCGAACTGCTCGCTAGTATAAGAGCCGAGGTTGGCGCTTGTACGGTCACATCTGCAGACGGCCGCATCCGGTTCAACGTTGACCAACTGCTGCGCCTACCAATCCTCCAAGCCGTCTACGCCGAGACTCTACGACTTAGGATGGACTTTTATCTAATTAGAATGCCAGACAAGGTAGACATGAATATCCAAGATTGGGTTATACCGAGGCGAAAGGTCATTGTTACACCGACGACAGTTGCGCACATGGATACCAAGACGTGGAGCACCGGCTTAAATAACGAACATCCCGTCGACCAGTTCTGGATAGGAAGATTCCTTAAATATCCACCAGAGAGTGAACATAATGTCAACACACTACCACGCGTTCCCGCTTCTCCAACATTCTCGACAAAAGAGTTTGAAGGGTCGTGGATCCCTTACGGCGGCGGACCGCGACAGTGCCCTGGTCGACACTTTGCCAAACGCCAGATACTATTGACCACCGCTCTTATGGTAAGCCTGTTTGACTGCGAGATATCAGAGGAAGGTAAGAATGTTCAGGGGGATTCGACGCTCAAGGGGTTCGGCAGTGGTGTGTCGCTTCCAGACGGCAAAGTCCCCGTAAAAATACGGCGCAGAGACGGAGGTAGCATGTAGACTATCAGACTCAAGGCGTTTTTACGTAAGCATTTAAGACATCGTAGTCTTTTCAGGTAGTAATGCTCTTATACCTTAGGGAGTGTGCCGGAGGGAGGTTCTTCTGGGGTAGGGGGGATGGTTTCGAGTCGTATGCCACTACTAGTTACCGAATTATCGTCACGGTAGACATACGTAGTATTCAATCTAGATATGCGTTAAGAAGACCTAGTGTTAGGGGGGTATGGTAGCTGTGAAGATAGGAGAGCTTTCAGCCCCTGAATCTGAGTCTTTCCCTGTAAACCCTACCTAGGTATGTAGTGAGCCCCCCTTCATTTTCACTTTTCAATCTTTCGAAGATTATCCACGTGGTCAGGATATCACGCTGCCCAGATGATAAGGGTTGTCATTCCATGGGGTCAGGCATCAAAGATAATCATTCGATAAATCTGCACCTTATGGATTCTATGGCAAAGAAGTAGTTACTACCTAATTAGCATAGGAGCAGCACCAAAGTGCTTGTAAGCAAGAATAAGTCCTAGAATGTCGTACGTTAAAAGCAAGGGAGAGCGACTTGCAAACTAGATTTTGACTGCTACACGTCGCATTCTAAAAGATGGTAATTGCGACTTTGACTTGATCAAGTATGGTAATGGGGCCGGCCCAGTACTACTCCCATTGCCATTGTGACTCGCATATGCACGATCGCCTCAAATAATAGGTAAGGGACACGCTGAAAAGGTTACTACGCTCACTAGAGAAAATGGATAGGATTGGGGTACCTTAACACACTATCTGCGTAGCGAGCCAATCAATAAGCGGTGCCGTTTGTCCAAATCATTGTGGGTATCACTGCCGCCACGCTACACACTCCACAAACGACGCTAGTACCGAGAGAAAATCACCTACCATAAACAGCAAGTATGGCATGTGACCGGATCTAGACCGTTTCAAGTCTATCTTGTGTGATGTAGATTTTCTTACAATAGATATGCCGGGATCTACATGGTCTGCCGGAGTTCGTCTGGTTTCCGATCTTTCGTCGCATATTGACAATACCTAGGTTGATGAGAGCTGGAAATTTCTTTGAATAGGTAGTAAGTAGGTGTATGCACACGTGTATAGATGGTTCCAATAGCTCGTGTTAGTGTTCAAAAGCCTGACGCCATGACACTTTGCTAACGATTTCCACCGCCAATTGATAGAAATGGCGGGGCGTAGAGAACCAGTCTGGACGCTGTCAGGACTCTACACTAGATTCTGGATACGCTATGACCCCTTTTCTGGGCTTAATCCCTGATAGCACGTGTAATCTATTCTCGTTTAGCATTTGACGACAGCAGCGCTAGGCTTCTTTCGTAAGGGCACAGGCTATTCTCCTCATGATTTCCGCGAAAACATGGATAAATTATGCTGGGTATATCATCGACGTTATTACCAGTTCTGTTCATCCACAGTGCGTGCCGTGGTGATCAGTCAGAAATTCTCCGACTAACCTGTCTCCCGGTAGCAGGGCGGAGGAAATGACCTGGATGCCTGGAGAGTTGCTAGCTTCAGATAGGTAGACGATAGATAGGAGGGAATACCCGCCACGCCCTAGCGGGGAGGAGCCCAGTCATAGCCCAGTATGTCCCTTGTTGTAACCATCGCGGCACACGGTGGACTGTGCGCATTTTGAAGAACGCCCCCTTAATCGTGACGATTGTATCGTTTTGGGCAGGAAGTAATAGGCAAAGACGGCCCAAATACGTACACAAGTATGATCGAACGAGATGGGGTGAAATCTAAGTATCGGCAACAAACCTGCTCAGATCGATGAACTTATTAATGGGCAAACTTGAGTGCAGTCGGTCAGACCTAGTTGCATCGTGAAGCCACATCTACCCGCTTCAGCGATGGGCGTTCTAGGTGGAACTGGTAAAGTATATTATGCTCTTGGCATTTTGTAGGCCCACGAACTTGGTCGCAACGCGTTTACCAACCCATTCAAAGGCCTGTTGAAGGAACAGGGCTGATAAATAATTTGACTGGTGTTGGATCGGCACTCGAGGAAGCAGGTTCACTTGTTTCAAAGCGAGGGTGTTGCTTAAGTTAGAATCTCGAGACGGAGCGGAATCCTGTCTCCTGACGAGATATCCCACCTGCGTCCATCTCGAACCTTTTTCTCCTATCAGTAAGAACGCCTCAAGCCTCAAATCGCAACACTTAATTGGCTCTCAAATCCCCCAGGAGAGCACCACGGTAGCAAACCTGCGCCTTGACCTGCATGCAAGTGTGCGACCCGCGAGGATTAGGGCGAGCGGGGTGAGTTGACCGGCAAAGAAAGCCGCACCTATCATGATTGACACTTACCTGACATCACGTACCTCGGCGGCTCTAAAGATGACGTCCGGTGAGCAAGGAAAACATTCCTCCAACGCCGGTCTCCTTTTTGAAAGGGCCCCTTTATTATTCCAATTCGATGCTCCGTCATGTAGGTGATACCCTGAAATCTGCATGGCTGAATATCTAAAAGCATGAGCAAACTACATAGCTGTAAGCTATCCGAATCGCTGGCGCCACTATTTTAGCCCACATGTCCACCCAAGATTGCGAATAAATCGTCCGATGAAGGGGATATCTCATACATAGCATTAGGCATGATACACATACCTGCACGCTAATATCGTCAATCGTCTAACGTACGAAGCTCGGTGTGGGTGGCAGGTGGTGTGGGATTTTAAAACCTTGGGTTGATACCCAAGGCGACTTGTGATGAACCTCTCGTGGTCACAACCTTTCGGTGCTCCTTCAATATTTCACTCGTAGCCGAATGCGACCTTTTCTTATTTCCCCTTTCCACCTCTTGTCCCTTGATGCGTATCATCTTGCCTCATTATATAACCCCCCCTAATCTTAGATCTTAGTAAGACCTTGCTACGGCCTTGAACTTTTTGGATTATTCAAATCGTCAATTTGCTACTTCGACAATCCGAATCAATATACCTTTACGAGAACTTCCTCTTCTCATATCAGATCTCGTTAGGCTTTTCCTATGCATCATAAGTGCGTACTTGTGGTAGCAGCGTTTCGCCGATCGGCCCATCCGATCTTTCGTTCTACTCCTCGGGTGTTCGCGAGATTTTTAGTTCCCACAGGTCCCTAGTCATTCGGCGATTATTTGCGGATTGTTATGTTGACGATCAGCAGCACCAGAGGCTCGAGCGTTAAGCAAGACAGACAAGATTATTAAGGGCCTAGGTGTTGACGAAAAGGTGAGAAAGGTGTCAAAAAGGGAGGGGACCCTCGGATGGAATTGTCGAATTGAACCAATCCGCATCACCCTGATCACTTCAAACTTTACACCCATGGATGTGCATGGTAACCCCTGACACCCTGGACACCCTGGACACCCCACTTGGAAACTCAAAAGAGGACCCTCGTTGCCCCACCGCGACCACTACCGTAAGTACATGTACCACCTCATCCCTTACCCTTACACTGCGCATTGAAGTACCCAGTGTACCCCCCAACTTGTCCATCTCCCATCCCCATCAAAATCCCATCCATCCATAGCTTCCATCTATTCGTTGCGCCCAATTCGTGCCTGGCAACTGCCACCGCTTGCTTGGCCCAGCCATCCGGGTTAAGACCACGGCGGTGGAAAGTTTGGGAAATCTTACCATCGTCAGCTTTTTGTTACTTCACTTCTTTTTTCCTCTTTTTTCTTTCCATCTCCAAGCTTCAAACAACCAACTTGAACGCTCACGCCTCACGCCTCAGGACAATCAACTTCTTCAATCACACCCTACTTACTAACAAATAATCGCTTTCTTTAAACCATAATTCATAGGCCGTCGAAACCCAATATCCAAAGAACCCACCTTCTGTTTCGGGATATTCGCTACGAGTTTAGATTCTTACCTTACCTACTATCAACTAGGGCTTCTGCGGCTCTTACTTCTTCATCCTATTACTCACATTACCATTCGGCTGATTGGCTTTCGTTTCGTGATCCAAGCACACGTTTTGACGTTCCAATCGCATCCCGTCGTATCGCATCACATCACATCCTACCGTCACGCCCAGTACGGTTTTCTGAACGCGCATTACCAAGCATTACTTAGTTTGGATGTACCCATCCCAAACGAAACACGAAATATCTTACTTCCACGTCCGTTTTGCCACCACATTGCCATCTTTAAACTGCTATTTAGCTAGACCAACGCTTCCGAAACTCCTTGTACCGAAGATTTCGTAAACAGAGATTCGATAACCAGGTACTAAATCCTTCATCTCTACGGTTCACCCGGTGGTTTGGCTCAGTTTCCCGCGAACCCTATAAATACTGTCTTATAAGTCAAATTCAACGGCGGTTAGACCCAAACGGGGAAAAGCCGTTGGATTCTGGTGGAGCTGCGCTAGGTAGAGAGAACATCGGACCCTGCAACCACTCCTTCTTGTGGTTGAAGGGCGAAGGAAAAAAAGAGAAAAGGGAACCAGTGATCCCATTGTCTTGTTCTATACATTATACGCTACGCACACTGTCATTGCCTCTTCGAAGTTTACGGTCCCTGTTGTACTAAACCCAGATATGAGCATCTACGGAGAACCACCTGTTACATCTTCCATTCGCTAGTCTGCTTATTCTGACTAACGAATCACGGTCTCCCTTACTTGCCTATTCAAGTATATGACCAATACCCGAAAAAGAAATAGACGTCAAGAATAGAAAAGAGGGCCAGAAAAGCTAGGAACGACGAAAGAGTAGAGCTACGGACAAAGTCGCAGCAATGCATCACAGTCAACAACAATATCATCAACCACAACAACAACCCACATCCGTCCCACAGCCGCCAGTACCTATATCGATCACGATATGCGGCGATGGCGGATGTGGTAAGTCGTCCATCACCCTACGGCTAGTCCGGTCCCAATGGACGTCCGAGTATGACCCGACCATCGAAGACAGCTACAGTATCACGCGGCGAATCGACGGGACAACATACCACCTTTCCTTAACCGACACGGCGGGACAGGAAGAATATCGAGGCATGTGGGCATCTTCTAACCTGAGCGCCGATGCCTTCCTCCTCGTCTACGACATCACTTCGAGCGACAGCCTCGATGCCCTTAACTACTTCAATGACCTCATAGATATGGAGGCCGAGACGCGGTTAGACAACGCGGCGCGGGCGAAGAGGGCTGGTTTGGGGGCAGGGCAGAGGAGAGGGAGTGCCGGGCTAGGAGGGGCAGGCAGCGGCGCGAGGACGATACCGCCGGTCAAGATAGTAGCGGGCAACAAGTGCGATCTCCAGGAGTCGCGGCAAGTACCGGCAGCACAGGGACTGGAGTGGTCGCGAAAACGCGGGTGCGGTTTCATGGAGACCAGTGCCCGCCTTGAGGTGAATATTGAAGAGACGTTCAATCTTATAGTTCGCCGCGTGATTGAGGGCCGTCGTCTAGCAGAGATGGGTGTCCTGGACAACACTGAAATGGACCGTCGCGGTGTTACGAAGCCCCTGACGCCTTTGGGAAATACCGACGACCGAGATGGAGATATGGAGAAGCCTGGAAGCTCGGGGCTAATGAGAGGGCCTCGGCTTGGCGATGGTCAAAGGTTAGGTTTTGGAGGGAGGGGGAAAGACGGATTCTGGAGGAGTTTACGATGTTGGTAAGACGGATTTCGCCCACTTATCGACTCTTTCACATCGACCATTGCTCGGCTACCACACGCGACGGGTGAATTTCAAGATGTTTACAGCAAGCCTGCGAATTGTTGGAAGATAAACTCGGGGAAACCGAGGAGAGACATCGATCCTACGATAGACTGCGATGGGTCGGAGGAAGATCAATCGAATATCGCTAGGATCACCTCACGAATGAACGAATTTAGCCGGCTGGTCCAAAAACGTACCACTTGTCACTTACCCCTTACAACCAAACTATTTTGATTCTCTATTCGCGATCGGCTGGCGGAAGCGAGAAATTCAACGGAGTATCTTTTTAATCGCCCTTTCCCTTTTGGACCGACGGCTTAGGCATATCGTATCTCAGAGACACCACACACAGGCGTTCTTCATGACGGGGAAACGGAGAACGACGGCAACGGTGTAACAGTGAAATATCGAAAAGTTGGGGTATGGATATTTATTTATCTTCCTCTCGTTGTTTTTAATGCGCGCCCGGGAAGGCAGGGGAGAGATCTGTGCGGATATCTTACGGACTAATCCGTATGCCTGGTCTGGTTTGGTTTTTGGGTTGACTTGTGGGTGCGGCATGGCGCGGCATGGCATGGCATGGCATGGCATTGCTTGATGACTGGAATGAATGGTGAAAAGCTTGATACCTACTAGATAGGTGCCGTTAGCGTTCCGTTTTCGTAATGACGATTTGTTTTTTTGCCCGATTAAGGGCATCGTAATGTTGACTATACCTTTTCTACGTAAATGTGGTTTGTTACGATGTGCTTGAACCTTCTATAAGACAGTCGATTAAGTCCCCCCACCCCCCTATTCCAACTTTTATTAATACATATATATCACACGACTCCTGAACCAAGAGGAGTGTTAACTTTGAAGGCGGGTTGAATTAAGTTTACTACCTAGGTATCTAATAAGAAAATATGAAACCCATCCATCTCCAGAAATCAATCCGAGCCGGGCTTGTTTATATGCCCAGCACACCAAATCGTAAGTTACCCCTTATCCCGTCATGATTCTGCCCCCGAGGTACGTTCATCTCCTAATATTCAAATCCCTAACAAAAATCTGCGAATGACCACCTCCTAGATACGTAGGCATATATCCTTATAATCGTTTACCCTCGCATGTCCGTCGTCCCTATTTATTACCTTTGTTTCCCAGTTTTCCGTATTTCCTCCCCCATTTTTTTCTCTTTGGTATCGTTAGTGAGTAGGTATTCGTTCAGTCATCAACCAGCACCGCCTGGGCAACCACCCCCCCCTTTCCCTCTCTTCCCCTATTCCCCATCCCATCACACCAGCACAACCCACGCAACAGCCATCGCACTCAATAACAACCCCACATCGGCAAGCCCCCTCCCTCTCTCTAACCTCGCCGCGGTCCCGGACGTAGGGACCACGAACCCCGTATGCGTCGCCGTAGCCGTGCTCTTCGCCGGCGTCGGCGCGTTCGCGTTAACCCCCATACCCATACCTGTCCCCACACTCATACTCATCCCCGTGCCCACGGCCCGACTTGGCGCAACGGCGTTGACGGGGGCAGGCGTAGCAGCACTAACGCTCCCGTTGTTAAAGCCCCAGCTCGCACCCGCGTATGCTGAGCCCACGTTTACTACACCCGCGCCCTGGGCGGCTGGCGGCGGAGGCGGAGGGGGTAGCGGGTTGGAGTAGGAGAAGAAGGTTGTGGGGGTATCCGGGGCTAGGGAGACGGAGGGATGGGCGGGGGCGGGGTGGGTGGTGATCGCTGGCTTTATTGATGCTGGTGCTGGTGCTGGTCCTGCTGATGGTGCTGGTCCTGCTGATGGTGCTGGGGCTGGGGCTGGTGATGGTGAGGCAGGGGCTAGGGCGAAGGTGGTCAGGGATGAAGACGATGATGATGATTCGACGGAGGGGTGAGAGGGGGAGGGAGAGGGAGAGGGAGCAGTGGAGGTTGCCGGGTACGCTGTAACTCTGACAGTATCAACAAATGTCACCATCCGCGTCGTCGTCGCGCCCACCGTGCAATCGGCCTCGAGTACGTCGCAGTTCGTAACCGTGTAGGTGCTAGTCTCGCAGCGTTCGGTGGTAGTGACCTGGATTTTCTGTGTCAGGATCGTGGTCGCGGGCTGCGTTACTTGGACCACGCTCGGTTCTGCCGGCGTAGCAGTTGGCGTTGGTTGAAATGGAGGTAGAGGTTGAGTGGCGGTTGGCTGAGGTGGGGGTGGAGGTTGAGTAGGAACCTTGATTTCAGCCGGAGACGGGGAGGGAGAGGGAGGAGGGATGATGTCGCCCGGACAGAAGGTCGTGACGAAGGACTCGTGACGCGTGTATTCTTGCTCGCTCATCGTGTACACGACGTGGCGGAACATCGTGCTGAAGAACGTCTCCGAGGCCGTGAAGGTCTCGTGATATTCGAAATGTTCGCTATGTTGCACAAAGTGCTCTTGTTGAGCTTCGCCCTCGTCTTCCTCGTCACAGTCATCGTCATCTTCCGGGGCTACTGGGGCTGCGCTCGCTTGCCTGTTCAAGGTAGCGGTGGTAGTAACAGCCGGCGGAAGCGGAGTCTTGGTGCTGTCTGGATCGAGACCGGCGGGAGAGGCCGGGCGCATGACGACAGGTTGCTCACAAGAACCGGGGATATTTGCTGCGGCGTCTACACCGGCGGGTACGGGGACCAACTTCGAGTCTTCGCCGCACTTGGCGTAGTTCGCCATGTATAGCGCGTTGTTGCTTTGATCGAATGTGACTTTTAGCATAGTTAGTTTCCAAAAGCCCCTTGTATGTTTCCGTAAAGTTCGAGAAGTATGCAGGACAAAACTCACCATAAGCGCCCCTCAAAAACGTATCCCCCAAGATCCACACCCCAATATCTTTATTATACTGCGCGCCGAGGAAGCACTCGTCGCCGCCATACCAGATGAAATCCGCATAGCTCACCGTGATCGTGACCTTATTAGTACCTTCGCCCGCGAACTCGAAGTCCAAAGTGTTATCTGTCGAGTTGCGCAAGTCGCACGGTACTTTGTAACCCCCGCTGCCGTCGGACGTAGCGCCCGGGAACCCGGCGGCCAGTGCTGTAACCATAGATTCCGGGAGCAGGGACAACGTGGTTCCGGAGTCGACGACGACTTGGAGAGGGAGGTTGGAATCCTTAATGGGTTCGCTCTGGCCAGAGATGGCGCTGGTGTTGGCGTAGGCGCTGGTGTTGGCGTAGACGTTGACGTTGGCGCCGGTGCTAGGGCTTTGCATGGAGAGAGAGTTGAGCGTTACGACGTAGTGTCTACACAGGTTAGGAGGATACTAATTGAGATAGGAAGCTGACGCGAGTAGACTTACGGATCTTTAGGATCAGTCGGGACCTTGGCCAAGTTACCGGCATACTTGTTGGTATCAACACCACCGAAGACCATTTCTCCCGTCACGGCAGCTGTTTAGCATCAGTCAGTCAGCATATATCGCATCCGGAGGTCGAATTAGGATCGTGTAAATCCTTGGTAATGTTTACTTACTAGTAGGACCAGGTTGACCTCCCAAGTCTAAGCTGAATAACTTGCTATTCGTGTATCCTTGATCGGCTAAGGAGTCAATGATAGATGAGTAATCGACAACGCCACCCCCTTGACCACGCCCGAGACCTAATATGCCGAACCAGACGTCGCTCGACGTATTCGAGACACCGAATTGTTGATCTTTGACCTTAGCGCCTAGTGTCTCTCGTCAGCAACTTGTGCATTATAACCTTCAACCTGCCTCTCCAAAACGATCGGTCGAAGAAGCGAGGCACAAAACTTACCAGAGAGATAGACATCATCCTTATAATAAACGCCGCTCGCGCTCCCCTGCCCGTACTGGATCCCAAAATTCGTATTTAGGCTCTTTGCAGTAGGCGACAAAGCCGGGTCGTAGTGCCCAAATGCTTCACAATAGTCCTTTACGTTCGCCGCGGAGCAATTCGGGTTAACCCACATCTCAAAGGAGCCCGTGTCGAGTAGCACGCTGACCGTCTGGGGGTTATCTCCTGTACCGATTGCCACTGTTTTCATATTAGCAACCCCTTTCTTCTATTTCGGCACTAGAACCGGGAACACGTACTCTCCGCAAAGTACGCCGCGCCATAAACACCTAGAACATCCGTCCCGAAGTACCTCTTCGCTAAACTCGTTGCCGGAGCGCCCTTATGCTCGACGCGCTTCAGCGGAATCGAAAGGACCTGATTCGTATTTTTATATAAAGTAGTCGCATCCACCGACCCATTATGCGCCGTCATATTAAACGACCTAGCCGCCCTTGCAGCACCCGTCAGCGTGAGGGTAAGTAAAAAGGAGCTGGAAAGCGACATCTTGCTGCGCTGACTTGGCTAGGCTTAGCTAGCACTTACGCAGTCGAAGAAGAAAGAAGCGAGTGGATAATAAACGACTTTGAAAGCCAACGAGCGAACGAAACGAAAAAGAGAAGAGAAGAAGGTGACCAAGTAGGATGCATCTTGTCCTATATCATACAACTGCGCGAGGAATTCGAAAGCGATAACTAGGCGATGCGGCTCGTTAGTCTGCTCGCTAGCCCTATTTCACGAGGTTGAAGAATGCAGGGCACATGTCGCAGAGACAATTATTCTCCATTGCTGAGAAGTTGGGTGAAGAAGGCTAGACTCCTGAGACATTTGTCGATATGGCAACCGATAAGTCGTAGGCGAAGGGCGGGCTCATTGGCCCCATGCCAGGGGAAGGCCATGTCCCTTCTCTCGTAGATGAACGGCTGGTATGAGATCCTAGCTATTGTGAGTAGGCTCCCTCATTGATTATGGAAGATTGTTCGGCCAACGTAGTCTCAAGATGAGACGCCTCGTGGGATTAAAATTAGATTTTGAGATCTACCATATTCCAAGTCCCAGCTCATACTGACTTATCGTTGTTTCGTGGACATATCCACGATGGTAAGGGATAGTAAATGAAATAAGTTATACGAAGGGCGACATCTGTAACCAAGGAAAGGGATTGAGCCGAGAATAGTTGTGAAGAAGGTCAATTAGATTGGCAATAGTATTCGAGAGCATTCGCGGGAAAAACGGGAGAAACGACCCTGCTCTACCTGTATCATCAAATCATCCACTTAGCCACCTGCGCTGTCACTGCTTCTTCATCATGCGCCGTACTCTAGACTCCCTCCCTATCCATAGACGCCTATACCGTCCAGTGTGATGCACCCGCGCGTATGCCTTCTTCCTCGTGTTCCTAAGCGCGTCACCGCGCTCGCGTATCCCTTTCTTCCCCAAAACCTGCCTACGACTACACCTCTTCCTCACTTTTCTGATCGACCCAATCCCGCCAACGCTTGTACTCGGGGTACCGTAGGGACTTCTTCTTGCCCTGGTATCTCACGACGTTCAGGCCGACAGATTGCCACTTATCTCTTCTGCCGCCCCAATTCGCCTTCCGCATGAGGCTGACTAGCGTCTCCTCCTTCGTCCACCCCTGCTCCGCCGCTACGTCTGGAAGATATGTGGCGCCGAACCGTCTCCCGCGATCTGTGAAACTGATCCTGATTCCGTGTTTTCCAATCTCCCAGTCCATCTCGTCATCGCAGTCCTCGAAGTTGGTCAGTAATGTGACTGCGACTTCAAGTGAAGGGAGCTCCCGCTGTGTCATGGGGTTGAACCGCGTGTCGTGGATGGCCGATGTGATTGCGTACGAACTAAGCCCCTCGTCAAGTTCCTGTGCCTCGAAAGTCCCGATGCAGCCCCGCAATGAGGTGTCGTCTGACTCGGGGTCGACTGTGTTCCATGTCACGAACAATGGTGACTCGGTGATTGGGGGTTCGGTGTCTGGAAGAGAATCGGTGGATGTGGCAGCGGTTTCGGTGCTGAGGGACATGCTGGAGCCCGAGGCAGGAGACGAGGTACTCGATCCAGAATCATTAGAGTCGGCTACTCTCCTAAGAGCCGGGATGCGCTTCTCCAGGCTGTCGGTTTTGTCGGATGAGGCTGCCCCTTCTAACTCTTTGATGTATTCTTCGTATGACTCCTGGATCTCGTCGAGGCTCAAGGGCTTGCGTCTCTCGAAGTACGCGACCAGCGTCTCGAAGCAGTAGAGGCAATGTTCGACCGTAGCCATATTTGTTCTAATTACTATCCGGTATCTCGGTGGATTATGTGGTAAGGTAGTAAGACGGCGGAAGAAGACGCGGGCGAACCGCTGAGAGAAGGCAAATGAAAATCGGACCCGAAGTCGAAGCTATCAAGTCTTTGCACGAAAGTTGTAAAGGTAAGATTCCTTTTTACGAATAGTGGGTGGTAAGTGCAAATAGATGAATGTTAAAAGATTGTTAGCAATTGCGATGAATTGGGTTCAAATGGACAGGCCATCAACTAGGGAAGCCTGGGAACCCTCACCCCGCTTTCCGTTGGAGCTATGGGGAACCACGGGCTGCCACGGGAACCTTAAAACGTACTTGGACCCTCTTGATTTGTCCAGCTGGACGCCATATGCACAACTTTCATAAGGTCTTATCAACAACCTCGGGTCCCGATCTAAGCTAAACTCAGCTAAAAATAAGATTAATAAGGCTGGGCTACGTAATGTTACCCCTGTCTTGGCATTTCAGCCTCACCGATCCCCTCCTCCCTTTCGCCCTGCTCGGGCGATTCCGGATCTAGTACAACATAATGATCTATCTGCAGCCTACCGCCAGCTAGATTAATTGCATGATTCATGTTTTCATTCGGCCAACATCCAGATTCATGGTGCTGTTAAGTTTCATTTTTATCTACCCAGGAACTAATCGAAGTTATTTTTCCTGTCTACAAGGCTAAATGCGACTCTGGTATGGAAACAATGTCCTGGACAAATGTTGGTAAACACGGCGTCGCATGTATCTGGCTAGAACCCGGGAGCAAGCGATCGTGATTTTTAGTCTGGAAAGAAATTTCCTCTGACTAGGCATGGATAATAAGCTCACTAGGTAATCTCGGCGTGTCCGCTATTCATAGTTCAACGCTATAGGCAATTAGACGAATCCATGATACTTCGTGATCTTGGTGGTCTTCAACAAGCCCAACTTAATCCAGCTTAGAGTTTGTGGCGGAAGCGATCAGCCTCCAGCAATGACTTCTCCTTTCCACGGTTGCCCATATAGATCTTCGTAATAACTCTTATCCATACCGGCCTGCTGTCTAGCTTCGGCGTTGAATGGGCCCTTCACGGCACCCCTAAAATGTTTTTGCACGTTGCTCCGGAAAACCTGGACTGGATCGGTACCCTCCTGTTGGCAAATCCAGGTGAGCCATCTGTGACCCGTTGTGACATGTGTAATCTCGTCATTATGGATAATGTTCAGGACGTCGACGCTCTCGCCATCCTTGGCATTTCGGAATTTATCGATCGTTAAGGGGTTAATATCGAGACCCCGAGCTTCGTGAACGAGTGCGATGATGCTTATCCTCGCACGTAGGTCGTGTGCTGTTCTCTCGGCAGATTCCCACAATCCATGATGGACTGGTAGTGCACCAAAGTGGCTTCCCAGCTCTTCAAGTCTCGCTCGTAGGAGCGAGAAGTGTTTCGCCTCATCGTTTGCGACCTTTAACCAGTCGTAGAAAAATGTTCGTGGTAACTGCTGCGAATCGTTGTTTCCATCTAACGCGGTTGTGTGGAAAGATGCGAACCGGACTATAATATCGATGGCAAGGTCGATAGCCCACTGCTCTATATTTGCGAGAGCGTGGAGCATCATTATCCTGCTTTTAAGAGTCCCTCCCTTGCCAGGTTTAGGCATCTGCCCCGGTTTCACCTGGGTCAAGTTTTGTCTTGGCGGTTCTTGGGGAGGACTCGCATTACCAGCTCCGATTTGCATGGGTGAGGGTGACTGTTCACGCGTTGCGAATAGGGAGAACAGGTGTGTGGTGAGTTCAATCTTATGTTCGGGGTTAGAGGTATTCAAGATATGAACACACCAATCACATAGAGCAGCATCCTCGCTAAGATAGGTCGGGGAGCCTGATGGCTCGACTCTAGGGCCATGCTTGAATTTCACTTTCTCGCTGACAGGTTCGATTTTGGCGAGCTGTAAACCCTCGGCCTCTGCGATATGTATGCTCACCCTTCCATCTTTGACGGCAACCGGAAAGGTGCAAGTTTTGATACCGTAACTGGACTCACCGGTCTCTACGTTGAAGTCATACGCGTGCCAGGGACAAGAGGCAATATATGACGAGTCTTCGATGTCTATGTGAGCTTCAGTCATAGGCCCACCAGCATGAGGACACTCTGCTTCCATCGCATAGTAAGTCCATGAACCCTGCTTTTCCGTAGTGGGAAATGCCACCGCACCCGAAGGTTGAATTTTAGGTAGACGAAAAAGGACAAGGCGCTTGCCATTAGACAGGGTCACGGAGTGCCTTGCATGTGTGAGGTCAGCTAGACGACCAATATCGACAACCGACATTGTGCAAATGCGCAAGCGCTGAGTTGCCTGGCCTGCGAAATTGACGCGAATTGGTGTAGTCAGAAACCAGGACTGTTTTCTGTCAGCTTAGTAAATCAAACGGCAAGAATGATCTGATACCGGATATCTTGGTCTGATGTTTGACACTTTCAACCTGAACATGATTATCTGAGAATTGCATATTTCGGATTCAGCTGAATTAGTGCAGAAATTGTGACTATCCAGTGACTAGTGTGGCTAATGTGGCTTATTTAGACCCCACCGCCCCGTGGCTTATGCAGGGATCCGATTCTCATGTCTCAGCTTCGCATGGACTAGGGCGATGAAAAATAAGAGAGCGTCAGACGGGATCTAGTGTAATAAACACTGCAAAATTTCATTTGATGACGACTCTTCTTTTCGCATTTCTCGGTAAAAAGTTGGCAAGGAGTCAATGCCCCAAGCATCGCGAAAACGTGGCCCAACCCTTCCCGGATTCATCTTGGGAATCCTGGAACACGGGAAGCCTGTCTGCCGTCCCTGATCTACTTTCGATGCCAAGCTTGTTTGGTTATCTGGGTTGTTTATGTCCGCAGCGTCGCATCGCAGCGGTGCCAGCACTGCCAATGCTGCCAATGCTACAGCGCGGCTCAAACTAAGCATTATAGCTTGTTACAGCGTCGTCTCGCACCCCTGCCGCTCGACCTCTTGTCCAATTCTTGCCCTCTCCCATTTCTCAATAGGACCCGCCCATTAACCTTCTTTTTAGAGTAGATCTATACCCCGGTGGGAGTGCTGGCTGTTCCTGTCATCTAGTATTGGGGACAACCCTTGGGAATTCTTGGCTGTCGTTTGTTTCTTCAACGGCCCTCAGGGCCCTTCGGGTCTAGACGATGTCGAGGCTCAGTCTCATCCTTGGCACTCCTGGGGAGTTCATTACCCGATCTAGAAATGTTGACGGGAAGTGCTAGATCCGCGCGTCTCAAGTAGGCTCGTCTACGTCGAAGATCAGGACGGAAACCAAGAAAAGTTGAAGGCGCTTGTCATCCGTAGCAATATCGTATTCGTCCCAGCATGGGATTCCGTAGGTCACCATTAGACGAGATCACCGTACATAAGGACGCCGAGCCTACTTGCTACTCATGACTTCCCTTCTTTCTCTCCTCATCCTCTGTGAGTTATACAATCTCTAGTTGATCAAGCTTTCGTTTCGCCTTCTTAGCAGCATATTCACACAAGCTCGTCGCCGGCCGACCTTTACCATTCTTTCAGTCTACAGCAAAAGACGACCAATCAGTCAAAATGAAGTACTCAGTCGCTATCTTCGCTCTCTTCAGCACCCTCGCCATGGCGGAACTAAGTGAGTTAAACCCGGAACAATTTTGTCCGTCTAAATACCCAAGCATTCACATGCTAACCCCCCTTTAAAGAGAAAGTTCCCCGTTCTGAGAAGTCCAACATTGTCTCTCGACAGGCTGGCGCAGCTCAAGTCCAGACCGCTGCCATGGCTAGCGCCAACGGAGAAATCATTCCCTTCAATGCCGCCGGCGTCTACAAGGCTAGCACCGACAAGGGCTTGTAAAAGGCCTTCATCTAGAATACGACGTTAAGGGTGATGGATTATACGGTCCAGCTAACAACCCGGCCATTCGACAATCATCCTATAACCGATTCAAATAATGCACCATGAAGTGTACGATGACCGGCGTCAAGGATATAATCATAGAGTAATAGGATATGCGGAAGAGGACGGAATCAGATCGGATGGAATAGGGCTCAATATGAGCTGGGCTTGAACTTATACCTAGAGTATTTGTGAATATCTGTTAATATTGATCAATCACCCTATATTTGGATTTTTTTTTTGACTCTGCTTTCTCGTGAGAAGACGTGTCCCATGACTACCCGATTCGCTATGCGTATGCAGTTCTTGACATCAATCGATCTGGTGATTTGGGTTGTCCCTCGCGTCGGGATATTCCCGTGTTCGTTACCGTTGGAAAGTAAGGGATGTTAGTTTCACTTTCCGGGGAAAGAAAAGAACAAAGCAAACGAGTGCGGAGAAAGTGAGAACTGATGACTTGGCACGGATGAGCCCGTCCTTCAACGGCGCGGCGCTCGCTGGCCATCCCCTTACCTACCCCAGAGCCGGGTCGATTAGTTGATCTGACCGACTAGGCGACGATGCAAACGCCGTGTAACATCTAACGGCGCCAACGGAAGTACACAGCATAATCTGGTTATCTGTCTCTTTTCTAGCAATTTATTTACTAACTTCTGTGCCTCTTCTCATAAATTAAGCGAGGTTACAAATGACAAATATTTTCCGATCCGTTAAAATTTGACAGGCCTCGTGAAGCTTAGTAATGAGTCGTAATTTTCAACGTAATTTCATGGGGGAATGGCGAAAAGTCGTCGCACCAACGACGCGAAAAAGGTCATTCGAGAAAACACAGCCACAGACGCTGAAGACCTGTCAAAAATCGGAAAATCCCCACAAAGGTTTTGAGGAGCAAGTGGGGGGGCAATTGAGATATTCACAGGCGGTATGGGGCAAATTGGACCGTGCGGATTCCAAAATTAGAATCACCACCCGCTGTCGCTGGGGTTTCTAGCTAATCAAATCCCGTAGACCCAGCTGTCAAGTGGTATGTTGGTACCAGGCCAGCCAGGAGTAACTACCAGGTACCAATAACTTCTAGTATATAGGAAGAAATATTAATCCTGTTAACCGACCGGATGAGGTGGAAGGACCCCTTCGGCCCCGAAACATGGTCATTGTCAATTAAGACCTGCGCCTCCGGCAACCCGGCTGCGCAGACTCGCTCAGGACTTAGTGCACAGATTCCACGCTGTAGAGACCGAGAGAGTGAAGAAAACGATCTCACGAGATCGTATCGTGTTGTTGTTGTCACGTACCGCGCAAGCGGATGACTACAGCAGCGTTATAGGGGGACCCATCGATTCGTAGGACTTTCGCGTCATTTTATAATGAATGATGAACTGCAAGTGTGTATGTAGAGCCAGGTTTCCATGCTCGATTCGTCTGCCGTTGAACACTTCATCCCTTCTCCATCTTGGTACCGCTGCTGATTGGGCCGTTCGAAGTCAGCTAAGCTGGATCCGGCTGTCCGGTCCCAGGGTCTAAACCAGGTCGCTCAGCCGCAACCCATCCTTTAGCCCTACCATTGCCCGTCTGGGTTTGGTGAGAGCCAGGTCTCGCTGCATGCTGTGGATTCGGTGGGTGCTAGCTGTTCGACGGACCCCCTCACGACCCAATCGACGTCTGCTGTTACCGAAGCCGTCACTGGCGCCAACACAAGGCGTTTTCTACCGGTGCACTTTTGGCATTTTTGGCACGAAAGTCAAGCCCCTACTATGGATATTGTCTTTTTTCCCGCCGCGGTCTGCTTAGTCCCGAGGATGAGTGCCCGGGCTGAAAGACGGGATATGGTTGGCTTAATTTCAACCAACTGATGCCTGCCGCAGCTCGCAGCAAGGACCATGCTTCCACACAGGACTTGGCGTGATGGGGATTATTGAGGCTATGCCACCTGTAAATCATCCTTTCCTTTCTACCCAGCTACCTAATTTCATCGTGAACGGCCTTTATATAGCAGCCACCACGTCCGCGCGGATTTAGTTCGCATGGCTGGGTTAGTTCCCGTCGTATGATATTATTCGCCTCTGGCAACGCCTCCTTAGGAAGAAAAACCGCAGCTTTGTGCACTCATAACTAGGACTTCGGAAGATGGACTTGTAGTGCTTACCATATAAGCCCGGGATAATATAAGAGCTTGGATTAAACAAGGAGTGATCACCCTCGAACTGAGGGGTGAAGACCATAAACCACATCGAAACATCACATTCAGGGGAGACGAAACGAAAAACAATGGGTTATACACATCGAGACAACGCGACATTCGGCCGCTCAAGATGGAGGAAAAGGATACTCTTGCCATGCTGGATAGTCCAAATCGGACTTCTCCTGGCAACAATGGGATTATTCTCGTACCGACTATCGCATACGATAAAAACATGGAAAGACGAGGAAGATCTGGGGAACATACCTATGGTGGAGTTTGTGTAAGTCGGGCGATTCTAAAACCAGGAAGAAGACATGGAGATGAGCCAGACTAACACAGTCGCTACAGATGGGAGGCCGTCAACGTCGCCTTTTCCTTCATCTCCCTCCTAATAACATTCTACTCGATAGCGAAATTCATCGCTGAGATGTTAACGCCGCTCCCGTTGCTGTTCAGCAACATTTTGAACCTGGCCTTCGCATCAGCTGTACTGGCACTCGATATCGTGGTCTATGTTAACCATACCGAGAAGCAATACTCGCTGGCGGGCTTGGCGATAGACTGCACTCTCATGTAAGTCATCATCTAATTAGCTAGCGCGCTTGACAGAAATACTAACAAGCCTTAGGGTCTTCACGATCATCCCGGCAGTGTACTCCTTTATCATTTACCGGCGGCTGCTAAGTTATGATGACTACCACATCCCCGGGAACGTCAAGCCGTACGGCTACGCCAGCGAACCCGAAGACACAGCGTACCGTTCGTCATGGCTCGAACCACCAGTCCCCTACGACCCCACAAACCCTGGAGCCGCAACACGGCCGCGGGCCCTCTCTGCCGCGAGCCGCCGCCTATCCCTGTCGCTCAGCAGCCGTGCCGTCTCACCACAGATGACGCCTCCGACCCCTGAGCCCAACCCCATGGAGCGGCGCGAGAGCTACACCCACAAGCGCGACACCCAATTCGACGAGTACATGAAGCGGAGGTCGAGCGGGTACACCAAGCTCGACGTGGAACGGGCTCTCGGCGTCGAATTCGGCTGGGAAGACAACCAGGACACGCGAGATAGTGTAATCAGCTCGGGAAGCGTGACGACTGCGCAAGCGCGGGCGAGAGGCGACTCTTTGTCCACGCAGCCGGCGAGCATGGAGGCGAGCATTAGTAGAAACAGCAGTACCATGACGACCAACACCAACTCGACCGTAACCTTAGACGCGCCGAGCGGGATGGTGAGGGCGCATAGTCTGAACAGCGTGCCCGAAGCGCAGGAAGAAGAAGGCGGGCTCGCGCTGGAGAGGAAGGTGAAGGCGGACCGAGAAGCGCTTCTCAGCGGCGCCGCCGAGAGTAGAGGGATATCGCGGTCCAGCTCTGGGTCTAGCAGGAAAAGCGTGCGGCTGATCGAGCAGGTGGACGGGCTGGAGGAGATCGAACTTGATGGTCAGAAGCCGAAGAGGAATTTGTGATACCCGATGTTCGAAGAGAAAAAAAAAAAGGAAATGAAAATGAAAGAAATACCCACTTGTACAAGCTAACCGCAAATTTCGGCGTATGTGTACATATAACGCGATATGATCAGCCTTGATTGTTTCTGTTTTCCCTTGAATTTGGTGTTTCTGTATATAATTTTCTGCTCTATTCGGCCTTACATATTGCATTCAATTCACTATTAGATAACAATTCTACACTTCAAGTTCCTTTTTTTTCAGTAATTATATAGGTTATCACCAATACCGAACTTAGTACGTATTTTCATAGATTGAGAGCAATGATCCAAAGGCAAAAGTCGCTTGAGTTGAAGTACCGTCGGGTATTCTGATCAGGCTTTGTCGCCTTGGATTGATAATTCAGTAAAGACTGGCTAGATACAGAGGAGACCTTTATTTATATACACATCGTTCCTTCTCTATACAGTTGATCCATTCGATCATGTATGCCATCAGAAGATTGCTATCCTCTCATCCCTGGGTATTCCATTTCTTCAAGTGATTCGTCCGCCCCTTGGCCCGATCCGTATATCTTCAGGGTTCTTATTTGTAATGGACGGGGAATAGATGTGATTGAGCCATTCAAGTGAGCGAGTGTGACGTTTGTTGTCGAGCGGTCAAGTGAGAGAATAGGATGGCTGGCAGCCAATGGTAAAAGCGGTTGACTTCGAGCCGGAAGCCGCAAGGTTACAATGGAATCAACCACCCAAGCAACGATCCAAGCAGCAACCCAAGTAGTAAGGCAAGAAGGAGGGATAGCACCAGACTGAGTAAAAAACCGAGTATAAGTGCGAGCAGAGCGCCGAGCGACCAGCCGATGACAGGACCCAGGAGCCAACCCAAGACACCACCAAGGGTCCAACCGATTATCAGCCCGAGCAACCATCCAAGCAACCAGCCCAGCAGTCCGCCGAGCAACCCGCCAACAACCAAACCGAGTGCGAAACCGAGCAGCATGGTGTATTTGCAATGTCTCAGGTCGACCTTAAGATATTTCGCGGGTCGTGATGTCTGGTAGGTCTGTAGGGTTCGCTGTAGAGCTGAAAACGAATGTTATCGTTTCCCAAGTTATCTGGGAAAGAATCTGGTCTGAACATTATTGGCAAGATGGGAGGCTAGAAGCTTCGTTTATCTATCCCTTTCATTTCCATACGTGACATCTAAAGACGAAGAGGTCATTTGGCTCCTTCAGGTCATCAGTTATTAATACATCCATTATCATTCAATCATGCTATCATCGGATTGCCGTCCTCCACAGACATAGGTACACGCGGCGGCGTGCTCGGAGATTATTAGAATGTGAATACAGATTCACGGGAGCTTAGTATTAGACGGTTAGCCTCAGACGCTGCTCTCATAGTGAGCCCTTAGCGGATTCCGAGACACTTTACTCTAACACCTCATTTCTTTAACAGATCTTTATCCACGGGATGCAGTCAGAGATAAAGTGAGATAGAGTTAATTATGCCGGTATCTTGATATTGTGAGACAATCTCACCTGGCCGCTTTCCGATTGATCCACAGGCGATCTCATAGCGGGGCGCATAACCGCTCGTGATCAGACGTTGAGGCAGACGACAGCACGTTACAGCGAGTTTTTACTGCATTATGCATCTATCCTTGACTATCAATCTTAAACAAACGCAACGCCGAGGTTATAAATTGTTCGGAGGTAGACGTATTTATCACATGAATGACAGATACTGGGTTGTATAGAACTCATGTAGTCGTAAGGCCCACCATACCAGAGCGTTATGAGTTGTCGGGTGTTACTGAATTGCCTGCAAGGTCCCTACAGGCTATAACATAGTGCGAGGCCCTGATTGGCGCATCGCGCTGATGCGGTTACGGATTAGGGAAGTGGGATAGCGCTAGATGGCCTAAGCGAGTGGACGAGTCGTGGTAGACCCCTGTCCGTGTTACACTTTTAGGTACCCTTAGACCTTCTACCCATTTTATAAAGCTCAGTACAACTCCTAACATTTTGTTATTAATATCCTATTCTATCCTATCGCATCTTTCTATGTACGTCATTCTGGATCTTCTACGGGCTACTATGCTTCGACATGATCTGGATCATACCCTGGTGACAAAAGAGCATGATGAGCCAGGATTCACTAAAAGGCTGAGTGGTGAAATAACATACGGTATATATCCGAATTATGTTACAAGGTGGGCAACTAGCCCATCATCTTCCTAAATACCCCTAGCATATAGCGCTGACCTTAAATTCTCCTTTTATAGATATTGAGCCAGCAACCCGATTGAAGCCACCTTTATGCCTACGCGCTGAATGTAAGCACCAGGACCGGCTTCTCCTGTCCGTCCCAAATACGCTGTCCAACCTCGGCAAGAAGACCACCGAACTATAACCCAAGAGCAACATCACAACAACGACTATGTCGCGAGGTTGACCAAGAAGTAGTGCTACTAGTCAACCGCGGACGTTTTGATTCAAGCCTAACGACCACGCCATCCCTAATCACCTTCCGCTTCTTCCGCTCCTCCGAGTAGTCTAACAAAGAATTATCCCTCACTCTCGAGGCTCACCAAGAAAAGCATCGACTTCTCTACGCTACTCTGATGCGCTACCTTCGAGTTCGCATATTTCCCAATATACCCCAGCCCGAACGCTTTACCCATAGAGTCGTCAAGCTTTTCTCATCGGCCATCTCAAAAAACTCTCTTCCCGATATGCGTCCGCCGGCTGAAGCTTGCGTATACTCTCATCTATGTGAAAGACGGACCACCTGGAAATAGCTAGTATCATACAGACATCAGCCTCGAACAATATCCCCTCTCGTACGTACACTGCCACCCTTATACAGGCAATCCCACCTATTATAACTACCCACCTACCTTGACTCACACGATCCGAAGGTCCATGAGACCCCTTTTACTTACAACTACTAAATAGTTTATAGACGTGGTAATATCGCGGAAGTTGATATCTTCAAGCTCATAGCACTACCAAGTAGTCGATGGCACCCCTTCTTTTTTCATCCCTTTGGTGTATTACTCTTCTTCAACGAGGACGTATTAAGTCGTTTATCTTAGTTTTATAATAGCAGCACTCTACCTATACTTAGCTGTGTAGAGACTATGGCTCTTTCTCTTTAAAGCCATATAGTATTGGGGACGTGTAAAAGACGAGCAGAAATCTCTTTTTATCTGTCAATAGAGGAGAAAAGAGGCACGGCGGTTGTCAATCAATGCCTAAATTATCATATACCCCCATGGATAGTGGAGTTGGGTACTTTAACATTTAGTGAAATCATTCTTTTACTTATCAATAGACTTAGAGGCTAGGTAGGTTAACAAATCACATAAAGCATAATATTAGAAACCTTTACCTATCAAGGTAATATTAGAGTGACTATCTAACTAGCTACAAGTCCTTTCCTAGCTTAGATTCGAGTCTAAGGCCTTTGTCCCACCTCATGTGGCGTGACCGCATGGTGTTAACCCTTACGCAGGTGTCTGAGGTGATGGGTGGAACAGGAAGATGTGCTACCAAAGGGTCGACTCTCCTTGAAGAAATCATCGTTCGTAAAAAGAAAAAGCATGTCCATATATTGAATGGATCACAAGCAAATCATGAGAAAGGTAGTCGCATGGTCCGAGAAGAGTGTCTCGAAAGGTCGGAAGTCGCAGCAATCCCAATCTCAATCGGTCCAGATACCCGAAAAGCATAGGGTGATGGAAAGAAATTCAGAAGACCATAAGGTCGCGAAACCGTGTGCCGTTAACCAGAGAGCCGAGACCGAGAGAATTCAACAGATACCCTGGCATTGCCAGAACGGGTTGTGATAGACCCTGATAAGTACCGATGAGGACTTAGACATACCACATGGTGGTATTCAAGAATCGAACCATATCTCGAGTTTGGTTGTTGCTGTCCATGGGAAGGAGTTTGGGGCATTCAACATCTGGTTGGTTAGCTCCCTTGTAGACATCAGAGTGATTCTGTGCGTAGGGGAAACCTGGCTTGCCGTAGGCCATAACTTGAGATTCGGCCGGTATGCCTTCGTGAGAGCGCGCACGGTTGGACGCCAAGTGTGCGTAGTACACCGCCGGATGCAAGGACACCGGGGTGGTAGAGCGGCAGTACTGGTAGCACTGTTGGTAGAGCATCTTCATGAGGTCATTTGGCTTGACGTGAGCTTCGTCGAGAATGACCTGGTAGTGAACAGGACGAGCGGTGCCCTGGATTGCCACGTGCGAGCAGAGGTACCAATCCCAATGGTGAGGGTGTGTCACGTCTCGCTCAACTAGAGTGCCCGGTAGCGGGTTACCGTTACGGTCTTGCGCCGTCTTATCATTTGCCTTGGGGAAGAAGCGGACATGGTGACGCTTCGTTGCGATAATGACTGTGAACTGAGGAAGTAGGTCCTTTGGACAGCCCAGATCTCTGAAGATGCGTTTCATCTCCTTCACCTCTGTGTCCATGACATCCTGGAATTGGCCCTCGGAGACGCCGTCGCGGAGATAGTAAACTTGTTTTGGTTGAAGCTTGTTGATAGAGATCCAATGCTTCACAAGCTTAGGCATCATATTGTGCATAGTCGACGGAAGTACCGTCTCCTTGCGCCAGCCATTTGTCTGGCAGGCCGCAGCAAATCGAGTCGCGTGCCTGTCCATTGACATGGTTAAAGCAGCCATGGACGGCTGTTGGCTACCAGGAGCCGCATGCGAGACGTCCACTCCGATCATCATGGTTGGTACTGGAAAGAACGGCGGGGAAGCAGTAGGACCGGGAACCTTGCAAGTGACGCCGCCGAGCTTGCTGTTCACCTTCATTGCGACGTTGCTCATATACTGCGCGTTAGCCTTTTTGACATGGTCTGCCAGCAAAACCTGCGACACGATACACCAGCGACATTCCATATTCTTCTTTAACCGTTCATAGGTTAATTGATTCTTGGTTTGCAACACGAAGAATATGATCTGAGGCTTCGCCTTGAAGTGGTTACCTGTCTGGTAATATGCTGTCTCGCACATTTTGCTCATATTGCCACCGCTAAACGGAATCGTTAGACAAAATGCAGCTTTCTCGACTCTGCCGCCGTGGTTTCGGTAAGTCTGGGAGAAGTTTCTGGCGAACACTTCAAGCTCGTTCTGCTTGGGGCTATAAGCGTCATCGCCAATGCAGACGAAACTCCACGAGTTCAATGCGAAAGCGTTGGGCTCCAGGAACTTCTTTCCGCGGAGATCCCAGCGTCCAGTAACACCTGGGTTAATCTTTTGGTTCGCGAAAGCGACCTCAGGGTTCTGAAGAAGCCTCGCATCGGTGATTACCATGTTGGGATCAATCTTGATCCCGAAAGCCTTGAGGTTGGCGTCATTGGGCCACTCAATGCGCTTTATACCTTCCATGATATCGTCTCGACGTCGGGGGGGCCTAGTAGCCGCTCTTTTGATCATCTCGCTCGTCTATAAAGTAGTTAGTATATAATATGCCATGCTGGGAATTGAGCTGAGAAAACAAACCTGTTGGGGGTTGAGCTTGTAGTTGTACCGCTGGTGGTACACCAAGTTGCACAATTCCATTGGGAACTTGTGGCCCTGGGGCGTCTCGACGATAGGAAAACGTGGCCATCTTAGGATGAAGTTCCATCGGTCCTTGTAGTGCTTTTCGATGGTGGTCTCTTCCGTATGACCATCCTCGAACTCCTTCATGAAGGTCACGGTCTTCGCGTTTGCGCCATCAGTTCCGTACTTGGTGTCGAACATAACGCGCTTCACCGTGTAAACACGAGGCTCTCCAATTTTGCCTCGATGGGACACAGTGAACTTCAGCTTAGTCAATCGTCGTAGGAAAACAAAGGCCTCCGAAGGCAAGATTTGCCACTTGCCGGTAGCTTCATCTTTTACGTCTCTAGGACGAAGCAGGCTCTCGACCTTGTACTCGTTCACTATAAAAACCATGTTAGATTATAATTATGTATGGAAACTTTGCTGCACTTACAGCCTTTCCATTCGTGTTTCTGACTGTTGACGATGCAGCATGCAGTCTCAAGTAGAGTACCAGCTGGCCAAAATGCCGTCTGGCATCTGTCGACGTTGATTGCAAGACCCGAGCCACCTCTGTTGAATGCCTGGGACGGATTTTGTTAGCTACTGTTGCCCGTGGTCACCTATGATGCATTCACATACCTCACTGAGGCGCGGCGCGCAATAGATTCCCTGAGATGCAAGAACGTCATATGCAAGCATGCTAAACGGAAAGTCTGGATCAAAGAAATTTCGTTTGATAAGCATCCATCGCTCAGACGGCCATTGGCGCAAGCAATGGTCAAAGAAGTCTAAATCTATGTCAGAAGGGATCGTTCCTAAAATGCTGATACGATACTTGGAACTTACTCATGCACTCAAGAACGTGTGTATCCCAAGAGATCCTGCCCGACAGGTAGTTCTTGAGATACGCTAGATGAATCTTCTTAGTCTGTCGGATTTTAAGCAGGAAGATTCGTTGCTTGTCTACTTTCTTCTTGACTAGCTCATGCTCCTCCTTTTTCAGGGCGTCAAGGTCCACACTGATGCGTGTTTCACTTTGCGGGGCCTTAATTGAAGACCTATGCATATATGAGCCAGGGTTACCCAAGCGTTGGATAGGGAAAACTTACCAGGCCAGCTTGCTGCCGTCATATAGCCATCTGCCGCCTATCTTCTGGAGGGCCTTTGTTACCGTCTGGGCGTTCCAGACCTTCTTCACGAGAGAGTGAGAATTCTTCAGATTCGGTTCCACGATAATCTGCCGCTGGGTTAGAGAGATAGTTAGGTACGGACATCGTAGTGAACTTACGTCGTACTGGTAGATGTCCATGTCCCCATAGGTAACGACTGGGAAAATGTTGAGGCCCATCTTGATAGCCTTACCAGCTGTGCAAACACCAGGACGCTTCGTCCATTTAGTTCCTGACGCGTTCTAAAGAAGATTGTTAGTTGATGTGTCAATTTATCGGAGATGATGTAAAAGAACTTACAAGATAGGCATCAGGCGGTAAGTCGCAGCGCTTGCCCAGAACCTCGGCGTCAGTCAATGGTTTACGTTCAAGTGCGGGATCTGGTCCAGTTCCAGTGGCCTTCTGTGCTTCGGTGCCCTTGCCGGAACCTTTGCTCGGAGAGCTATGCTTCGAGGACCCAGCTTGAGAACCGGCCTTGGAGCCGGGTTTGGAGCCGACCTGGGAACCGCTAGGGGTGCCCCGGCCGGATCCGGGAGGGCGATCGCTCATGATGGCGATCGTAAGGAACCTAACAAAGTTAGATGATAGATAAAATGGCGTTGTCACAGATGGAATCTGGTTGGTTTTATAGATGTGGTGGTGTTTAGAAGGCTTGGGAGGATAATAGTTGTGGTCAGTCCTAGGAAAACGACACGACCCAGTACGAGAAGCCTCAACTGATGATAGTGAAGTGTAGGGTGTTTAAGCCAGATTAATTCTGACCTAGGAGAGGTTGTGGTAGAGAAGAGGAAGTGAAAGGGAAGATGAAAATCTCAGGAGAAATAACAAGAGTCAAGTGTATAACATACCGAAATTAATTCACGGTCGGTCAGTTGGATTGTGTGAGTTCTGGACAAACTGTTAGTCGGTATTGGTTAAGTTTGATGCTTTGGCTTTCGAGGTAAATTGAAATTCCTAGGTCTCAAGGAAATTGGCGTTGTAGATATGAGGAGCTTGAATATTGGAAGATGGGAGACGTGAGTGTATTTTTGTGTGGGAGTGTAATAAGTTGGTAGGAGCGAGTGTAGCCACTTAAGTACAATCAGCTCATCACTACCAGTGCTTACCTTCCTAGGTAACAAGCACCTAAGCAGTCACTGGTGAGTGTGTTTCAGGCAGTAGGTAGTTCTTATTGGTGACTCTGGAAGGAAAGGTTTTCAAATATGTAGATAGGGAGTGGTAAGTGGAAAGAATGATGTAATGAGAGCAAGTAGTGGGAAGGCAAGTGTAATATTCAAAGTTTAGTTCGAAAACCTTTTTGCAGGGGAAATCATAGGGCTCATTTAGAAGGGAGGTGTGTACTTACGTGTATCAGAACCAAGTAACTGCTATCTGGTAGACAGTTGCCTGGAGTGCTTGATGATAAATCTTTGCAGTGTTAGTAAAGTGAGATGTCAAGAGTAGGTGAATATGGGTTGGGGTCAAGTAGTAGAGGATAGGTTGGTGTGATAAAAAGGAAAGAAGGAAGAGAAGTAAAGAGGGTCGCAAGATTAAATATGTTTTCTGGAGAGGGGGGATGACAGTAGTCGTTATGCTTGTGGTGAGGTGTTTATGTAATTTAGGGTTCGTTTGCACTGAAGACAATCTATTTCCACTAGGAAGTAGTGTCACTAAGGTATCTGTGCCTACCTACTGGTAGTAATACCCTTTCTTTGCACACTTTGCACTCGTCATAGAACAGTCCTTATTGCCTAGGAAACTGATTACTTGTGAGGTAATTTTCTCTGCTCTGACTAGAAGAGTTAGGGTTTGATGTGAAGGTGCTAGATGAGGCACCGGGGGCAAATATACACTGGGAATTTTGATCGAACCAATGAGCCAATAAATACTTGCCTGTTGATACTGTTCATACCAAGGTAGGTATAGGCGCTTGCCAGTGAAGATTTCTATTTTTGGAAAATGCGAGAGGGAGAGGATTGATTGGACATTCAGTTGGATGACTGATTATATGCCGTGGTGTTGTTTAATGATTTGCGATTGGGTAGGGTGAATGGAAGAATGAGGATTTGTTGGCAGATAGTTGTGTCACGGAAAGCCGTATTGATACTGGCCAGAAGTACTTACCCAAGTGGGCGTGAGAATGAGAAGGTGACTGGTGGATATCGTTGAAGGCAATGTAAAAGTATTGGAAAACAGTCTGGTGCTTTGATAGATGCTTGGAGGGGACTCGTTAGAAAACAAGTTCAAAGTAAGGTGGGTTGGTGTGAACGCGAATTGAAGGCAAGACCAGAAAATATGGGATGATCGATGATCAGGGAATGGAGTAGCCTAAAGTGAATCCTGTAGATATTGGGTGATGGAAATGTTATTTACTTACCTCAAGAGATATTAGTGCGGAGGAGAGTACTGTCTTGCGAAGTTGAGAATAGCCCTGTAGACTGGAGGTTGGAGAGTAGAGAGTTAGGTTGTGGTGAGGAGTGGAAGGGAAAAAGAAGTTGAAGTGAGAAAAGGGTCTGGTGTTAAATAGAAAAGGGAAGAGGTGGATAATCAGCCTTGCCTGTCTGTCCGGGTGGAATGCTGCCGCAGGGCACCTGCCAATAACTGATAGAACCTTGGAAGTTTCAATCACAGCCGACGTATGTAGTAGGTTCCCATTGAACAATAAGGAAGGAGAATGTTCCTCTTAGTATCTAAGTACATAGGCTCTTCCTTCTATAACCTTGGAACTCTTTCCGTTGCACCTCTAAGTACTTACAGGGGAGATGGGATGAACCATTCAATGTTGACGTTAAGAGATTTTTCAAGCATGACACACTTCAATGGGGGCTGGTTCCACACCGAGCTGGTAAGATATCAGATGGAATATATGGATATGGCACTTCCAAGCAGGTGTGTATATAGGCATCAATATATCCATGGACACGAGTTGGGAAGGTCGTTTGGCTTGAGTCAATTAAACAAGGGGCTGGTTTAGGTCACATAACTGTATTTAGAATGTATCTACACCCGGCATCTACCTATGTATGTACCAGGTGACCAGGTAGCTTCCATATGTATGTATGTATGTATGTAAGTACGATATCGGTGAACGGAGGAGTTACCTCATGGATATTTCCGCAGGACTTAGGTCCACGTATCTTACCCATCTGTGCCCTCTACGAATAGGTACGCAGGTTACTGCTAGTGTAGGTATGTATACATGGGTTATGTTTTTAGGTATTAAGATACTTATTTTGAGCTCGATTCCTTTTAGAAGGTATATGATTACGGGATAGTATAACTTGAAACCAAGAAAGAATTTGGAGTCCATAATAAGATTAAACTTAACCGGCAATTCACTTAGAAATACCGAATCTTGCACTTCACGACCTCCCTTAATAGAAAGCAGGCCACGAATTAGCGGTAGCTAATAAATTCGTGTCGCGTACGTACAATACAAAGTTATTAAAATAATTCTCAAAATTGCTGAATGATTAGCACTGGCAAATAACCATAACAGACAAAATTAGCCACCACAACATTATATGGGACGATGATGTTATTGTTATTGTTATTGTATAATTGAAGGAAATGCATGGTGAACTTTTAGTATAAAAGATAGAACATCTTATCTTTAACTTATCTTTTTAATATAAACATACATATGGATTGGTCACTACATCCAAATAATCTGTCGGATCGTATAGCATGTGCAACGTGGCTAATTCGTGTAACTCGGTAGCTGATGTATATTATAGTTGAGCTACACGGGATAATTGTTCTCCGCATGGCCGGAAGCCACCTGAGAATTTACCCCGGATCTCCCGAATGCTAACGGGGGTGAGAGCCCAATCAAAAGCCAATTCGGACTAGACACTTACCATTTATGGAATGCGACGGGCTTGTTTAAGCCAATCAAACCTAAGTAAGAATTTGTGGGCAAAGAAACGCCAAGGCGATTTGAAGACTGTTTTAAGCTTTGGTGACCTCATTTCTTAGGGAGATCTGGCGCGGTAATATAATAGCCCACACATAGGCACGTTGTATGCAGAGAGCAATTACTAAACATCTAGTATCTTGACCGGGTGAACGAGACTTAATAAACAAACTCATGCTCGCAATTGGCCAAGGTTTTGCTCTTATGGATGCTACCAAGCTACTACATGAAGTAGGTTGCATTTAAGGGGTGGTACTTGAATAAAAGTCATTTAAAATGTCATTACTGGTGCTTTCATGCTCAGCATGCTATTCGTGAGCATCAAAAATGATAATATGATATGCTTTTATTCCATTAAATATCCAGACTAAAGGATAGTTATTTAAGGGATCAAAGTTCAGAAAAGAATGAGACAATGCATGGTACCTTTCATCCTTTCGACTAACAGTTAATATCTTCAGTTTTGTTATACCTTGTGACCAACAAAGTGTACAGTTGTACGGATAGGTACATAATTCAAGATGCATGGATGTCTGGTGCCTCGACGATTATCTTATTGCTGCCGAGACTATATCAATCCTTAGGATCAACGTAGTAATACTTACTAGGTAGTACATAAGCATGGGGCATTAGACTTGGAAAATAATCTTTAAGTACTAAGTTATGATCCTAGAAAATATACGTTTAGAAAATTCACTAAGAAACTGCTTTTCAGCTACAATAATAGTTGTGGGCACATAGGATTATGAAAAACTAGTATCATCTGCAAAATCGACTATTATTGACGTTTGATATATCTTCCTATGCTAGGAACTGAAGTTCATAGGTGAAGATCTAACCTAGGGTCACAAAGGAGCTTAACAGAAATCCATTTTTAGGACCCGTCCTCTCCAAACTATCGACCAATCCCGATGAAGAACGGGAACGCCAGAAAATGCAACTAGCCATAAGACATTATATGCGGGCTTCCTCCCTATAACGCCATAACTGGGTAGGAGTCGTTCGATCCGGTCGACAAAAAGGGTCATTAGGCTGGTGGGAAGACCAACCTAATCACTAGTCATCACAATCTGCCGAGTCTATCATTGATAATATCCGCCGTACTGCTGGGTGTGCTGTTGGGTTGGCGCCATACTGTACTGGGTAGGGGGGGCGTATCCTTGCCACCCTGGGAAGCCGGTGTTTCCAGGAATGAGGTTCTGCGCTAACGGGTTAAACTGGCTGGCGCTCGGAGCTTGGTAAATAGCCGGCGGCGGCGGTTCGTATGATCCGCTCGAACCGGGGCGAAGTGGCGAATTACGGTACGGCGCAGATGCTTGGGGCATACCACGGTTCATTCCGCCGAAAGGACTGGCGGGTCGACCGGACGGACCCGGTGAATCTCGGCTGGAATATTGGTAGGGTTGATATTCGGACGAGGCTTGCCCAATATGCGCAGTCGACGAACTTGACTGGTTATTACGCGAGGCGCCTTCTTTCTGGGCTTTCCACTCGCCGAAGCTTGGCACCGTAGTGCTCTGAACTAGGCGTACCATTCCATCCGGAGAAAAGTGATGGCCGTGGTAACTTTCTGCCGGAGGAAGCAGGCCGATGAGGAAAGTAAGGTCTCTGGGAATAGGGGTAGGTGCGCTAATATGCGAGGAAATGCCTTGGCCTTGCTGCGCTCGCCGTTGTTGATCGAGTCGTCGTCCGGCCGCGCCTTTAAGGGGCGAAGCTCCGCGAGCTAACTTGCGGGGTGGGTATTCGTCCTGCTCGTCGGGTTGATATGGGCGTTTAGGTGAGTTGACGGGCTGCAAGAATTGCGGCTGGGGACTTCGCTCGATCTGCGGCACGGGCCGAGGGCTGCTGCGAGGAGAGACAGATCGCTGTTCAACAGATTGCATAATAGCCTTAGGACGCATCTGTTTAGCCGGTGAAATGATGACTGGAGCGGTGATAGGGTTGAATCTGTCTGTGGCAAATCTAGCCGCAAAGTGCGTGAGACTCGGATCTTCTGGGAATAGCTCGGCCATCTGCTTTTCAAGTTCCTTGACTTGTGCTAACTCGCCGTATCGGGCCTCGTAGCCATGAAAATATGCATATATAGGTTTTAATTTAGGGATGAGTTCGGGTTTCTCCTTGAATCGCTTGACAGTTTGGGAGAAGACAACTCGGGCATCTGGGTAGCATTATTAGCTAACTTCAACTATGCGGAAAATATCAGTTGAGGGTTACTTACTCGTAAAATCGCGTTTGGCGTGAAGGTGTTTTAGATATTCAACGAAGTAGTCTTCCTGCTCCGGGAAGAGTTTTGCGCCACGCTCGTAAATCTTTGTACCGACTGCGTCTTGGTAGATGTCCCACTCCATATTAGATACCTCGACGTAGATATCGCTGGTCAGGCGGCCTCTCTGTCGAGCTTCGATAAAGATCCCTCTTAAACCGACAGATGGGGTGCTCCTACCATGCCCCTGTCCCTGGAGCCTTCGGTAAATACGCGCAAGGGAAATCCAGACGTAAGTTATATGCTGCGATAGCATCTGAATCTGAACGCCGAAACCATCCTGTATGGCCTTAATCCTAGCATTCTTTATAGCTTCTGTGGAGGGCCTCTCCTGAATCTCCCCTTCGTCTTCTTCGTCCACGTCTGCGTTCCCTGGGGCGGCAGACTCGAGGGCTGCGTCTTCACGAATCTTGGCAAGAGCTGCGGTTTCCTGGTCCTTTAATTTCTTGGCCATTCCATACAGGGTCTCGAGAACTCGATCACAAGGTTCTCGAACTGCTTGCACGAGAGCAGCTTTGTTGACATCATCCTCACGCGCGGCTTGTGTAGACTCGATGCGATCAGCGTGCTTGAGAGCCAATAGGAAGCTCTCAGGATTTGCCTCAAGGCCGTCAATAAGGAATTGGAGGCCTGCGTCTTGACCATCCTCGCTGGTGATATTGTTGTCGAAACACCACTCAGCTGCGTCGACCCACATTTCTGGCCAAAAGCGCAATGCCATCAATGCTTGCTTGTATACCTGGAGAACCCGCTGTCGATATGTGCTAGAGTCGTCAGGCTGTAAGACGAGTGGGTCATTCTTCTCCCAAGCGATCCAGGTCTTCCACAATCGAACTTGTTCGAGATATTCCTGGTCGCCTTCGAAGCCAGGAGCCGGTGGTAAACGAGGTAGAGTTGTTCTTTTGAGTCCACGCGTGATGTTTTCGAGATGAGTATTGGCGCTTCTTGCCGTCATGTACGATGGCGATCGTTCCTGAAGGAACTTCCGTCCCTGGGATTTATTAGCCGTGCTCTAGCAATTTAGAACCGCATTGCTTCTTACCGTCATCTTATTTAACCCCATCTCGAACTGGTCGTACTCCTTCCATAGAGAGTTGACATTTGCCATGGGAATAGAGATGGCGCGTTGATAGGCTTTGCGGAGGACGTCCATCTTTTGCTGATCTTGCCAACCCGTACCGCCGATCTGACCGGGCCCCGTCTTGATGAACTGTATGTAGTCCTGCCATATACTTCCTGCATCTCGATCCTGGCCAATGTTGTTGAGAACGAATTCGTACGACTGGCTAACTGTTTGTCGCGCTCTGCCGGTCGTGTCGTTGAGGTCATTTCTACGGCGGATATAATTGAGATACCCAGTCCAAAGTGAGACGTCGGGGATTGCTCGAAGCGTTCGAGTGAAGATCGACTCGGCTTCGATAGTATTGTCAAGACTTAGTTCCATGTCAAGGTATGCTACCCATATTTCGGCCTGGATCGTACTTAGCGTAATGGACGATGAAAAGATAGGGTTAGGTACTTACAGCCTGGGGAAACACTTTGAAGAAGCGCTCATAGACAGCTCGCGCATCTTCAATCTTGTGACGTCGCTTTTGTTCGTCGATCAGGGCTAACCAAGCCTCAATGTCTCCGCGGGGGTCTTCTTTGATACGATCCTCGAGAATGCCAACAATGTCGGCGGGGAGTCTTAAGCGTGTCGCGTTGGCAGTCGCGGCCGCAGACGTAGTTGAGGGAACAGGCTCATTGCTTTCCTGAGGAGTATTGTTCGTTGCATCTTGGGGCGTTACATTTTGCTGAAGAGGTGGGCTACTGAAGGGTTGACCTTGCGCTTCCGAGGGAATAGCCTTCAGGGCGTTCGGTGCGTATACAGGAGCTGGAGCAGGAGCGTCGTCTTCTTCATCGGAGGAATTCTCGATAATAAAGCCTCCCGCTGTCTTGGGTTTTTTAGTTGGACGGGGAGATTCGGAAGGAGGTCGCTCTACGACGGGCGCTGGTATAGAGGTGATAGTAACAGATTCTGGATCGTATTCCCCGCCATCTTCGTCGTCGGGCGAAGTCTGGTCATCAGCACCGTTCCAACCATCCGCGCCCCATGCCGGAGCACCATCCTGCTGAGGAAGAACGTCTCCCGAATCTTCGGAAGCCATGCTAGAATAAAACCCAGAGTTCTTAGGAGCTTTGCAATCGATACCAAAACGACCGGGAAGGTAGGTTATGACGGATACGATGTTCGGCGTGCGAGGTTGGTGCCACAGATGTAAGATAGGCCGACTCGCGACGCTTCTACCCTAGTTTGCGCAAATCTCGCCAATTAAAATATCGATTTTTCCTCTCAAAGAAAATTTGCAGGGTTCCTCCGTCGTTGAACTTGGTTGCAGCACAGACGGAATTCGTGCCCTGCTGTCGCTTTAAGCTACTAGAAAGGTATTCAGAATTCGGTGGAGTAGGTAGACTCGATGAATACGAGGAAAGTAGGGGTTCCCCGTAAGAAAGTTAGCACGTTGGCTCGCCTGCGTTATATTTGATGTCGATCGGCGTAGATGAAAGACGACGAGAGTAATGCACGAATGGGAAGAGAAGGTCGAGGGACAATGGAAAAAGTTGAAAGGTTTCAACAGTTTGGAGCTTCCGCTAAGAAAACAATGGCGCAACTAAAGACAGTAGAGACCTGGGCAAGCAAAAATATCTGTAATTCTTAGCTAACCGATAATGGACTAGCGCGGCTCGAATCGACTGTGAGAAAAACGGTACGTATCGATTTTTCAGTGGGGTTGATGTTGTCTTAGCCGTTATTTGAAGCACTTGAAGTACACTTTCCCCATACATTATGTACATATGTAGTAGAAAAGGGTGGTAGGTACATGTATATGCACTGATCGTTAAATGGCACGATCCCCTTCCGGCCCTGCGATTTCCGCAGCTTGGTGCATTTTTACCTGCCAGCATACAGGGTACTTGGGTACTTAGGTAGACATGCACTACATGCAAGCACTGAACGCGCTTTCCCTACGAGAAGCGCGTTCGGTTCTCTTAAAAAGACCCCTGCTAATCTTTTGAAAAGTCACTTGGTACCTACCAAGCTACTATCCTTCATCGCAAAATATCCAAAATAAACAACTAGACCAACCCACCCACCGCCAACCCCTACTTCTCCCCACCGACGACCGCTTCTTCTATCACATCAATCTCAAATCGCACATTAACTGATTCTCTCCGGATCTTCAGTTTTTTCTCGATTTTCTTACTCACGTACAACCCGCATTTTACAAGTTTACACACCGCTAGAATCGTCAAGATGTCGGTCGTTTCCCTGCTCGGCGTCAACATTTTGAACAACCCAGCCAAGTTCACCGACAACTACGTGTTCGAGATTACGTTCGAATGTCTCGAGCAGCTTGAGAAGGGTATTTCCCACCACATCAATATCACGTAATCTATTTTAATATCAAGCTAATTAAATGTGATTCAGATCTGGAGTGGAAGTTGACCTACGTCGGTTCTGCGACCTCGTTGGTGCCCATTCACGCATTTATTTTATTTTTCCTCTCATGCTGATCCAGAGTAATAGTGACCAGTACGACCAAGAACTTGACTCCCTTCTCGTCGGACCCATTCCTGTCGGCGTCAACAAGTTCATCTTCGAGGCGGATGCTCCTAAGACCACTCGTATTCCCGATGCCGACATCCTCGGTGTCACCGTCGTTCTTCTGACTTGTTCTTACGACGGCCGCGAGTTCGTTCGCGTCGGGTACTATGTCAACAATGAATACGAGTCGGATGAGCTGAATGCGGATCCCCCTGCCAAGCCTATCGTCGAGAAGATCCGTCGCAACGTCCTGGCCGACAAGCCTAGAGTTACACGCTTTGCCATCAAGTGGTACGTGGATATTGATTAATTGGTTACAACTATACGCATACTAACCCACGAAACAGGGATTCCGAGGCTTCTGCACCTCCCGAGTTTCCTCCCGAGCAGCCAGAGGCAGATCTCCAACCCGACGACGAGGAGTATGGAGCCGACGAGCTCGATGAGGATGCCGAAGAGGAAGAGGGAGCCGAGGCTGCCGCCGAGAACGCTGGCGAGACTAGTGCCGCCGCTGTTGCAGCCGATGGAGATGCTGAGATGGCAGGCGTCGAGGAGAACGGAGAGCCTGCCGAAGAGGACGAGTTGTCCGACGAGGGTAGCGTCGATCTAGAGAACGAAAGTGAGGACGAGCTCGAGGAGGAAGCTGAAGGCGAAGCTGCCGAGGGTGGCGACGATGCTATGGAGGTCGACGAGAAGCCAGCCGAATCTGCCAAGCCTCAAGAGGTCATGGCTCATTAGACTTAACGTGGTTGCCAGTCGCGCCTAATTCGAGCAGTTCTTTACGGATTTATGAACATGCAAGGGTGGTATCCTGCACGAAGTTATGAAGGGGTTTGGGATGTATCGACGGTTGGTGGTTGGCGGTTGGCTAATGACGGGGGCATGACTACTTTGCAGTGGATGGCTGAGCATTGCTTATAGACAGTGGCTTCTTGCTAAACACATACGAAACGATCAATTAACGTTGATTTCCTTATGTCCTTTTTGCTTAAGTGATGCTTCTTTCCAAAACTTACCTTTGATGAAATCTTTATCCAACGTCCGTTTTGGACATCAGGTAAGTATTTCGAGATCTTTCACTCTTACTACCATAGCGAATAGCTCGCTAGAAGCCAAAAATAGCATGAGAGCTACTAGAGTCACACTGGAACAGAGATAATGACTATTCGACCCGACAAGGCAGACTACCTATAGTAGATAAAATGGTAGAAAATATACTGTCTATCCAAGCACCCAATCCAATATCCTTAGCTCACCGAGTAAATATCAATGGTAAAGAAGATACAAACTATATTCTTAGGGGGGGAAGTAAGTGAGAGTGTAAAAGGAGCCTGGAGACAGCAGCAAGCTCTTTGATGTTAGGAAAAGCTATACCACATAAACTTTGGAGAACAAAGAAACCAAAGACAAAATTAACTCAAATATGACCTATCAATCTGTGTCAATCGTGATTTCTTCAAGTTCTATCTAGACTTACAAGAATCTTAGCCGATGGTCGTCAACTCCGCGATCGCGATCGGGTCGCTTACGGGTGAACGTCCCTGCAACTAGGATGGGAATATCTTCATCCCCACAACCACATGCTGGAACGGTAAAAAGTTTCGGAAGGAATACAAAGTTTAGCCCAACAATTTCAATAGCATTACCATTTATCATAAACGCAGTTACCTGAACACCCAGCACGGGTCCATGTTCACCGAACCTATCGACTACCTATAAAATCGATCTCGAATGACAACCAACCTTCGTAAGGTCCTACTTCAACTATATTGTCCATAAAGTTGGACTCTAGTATAAGAACCACATACTCCAACTTGACCCTGGCAAGTTGTCAGCGGACCAATCAGACTTCGCTGGAACTAATGACACGACAGTCGATAGGCCAATTGCAATTAAAAATGGCGACATAGGGCGAGGATTATGCTGCGGGGTTGGAAAATACGACAGCATTGACACGCGCCCCTTTACCGCAACCGCAGACACTACCTCGGGAGACAATCCGAGCGAGACCGAGTCCAGGATACCTACCTACCTACCTACCAAGTCTACACCGTATAAATAGGCATCTGTCCACAATAATGAACGGCGTAATTCCTAAAGCAAACTATCCTTTTCATATATATGGCCTAGGTATAGACCGTGGAGAAATATATTGGCGTGGACACTCAAGCAAACTTTAGGGCATAGTTGAGAATTGAGATCCGTGTAGACCTTTACCGATTAAGCGATGCTTCTGGACGCCGCCGAAGTCGCAAAGCACAATACGCCGTCCTCGTGCTGGGTCGTGATAAGTGGTAAGGTGTACGACGTGACGCCGTATCTCGAGCACCACCCCGGCGGTCCAGCGATCCTCGCGAAACAAGGCGGTCGAGTACGTACAACTCGGCTTAAATAACTAATCTTCTTATTCCAACGACATCTTAAAATCTTGAAATACCGTGCGGAATTGTTAAGGGTAACTTACACAGTAGTAAAACAGGACGCCACATCCGAGTTCCGCTCCGTCCACCAGCCGGACGTGTTGGAGAACCTGCCGAAGGGGAGCTTCCTCGGCGACATAAACCCTACGACTCTGGCCGCTCTCGCAATGTCCTCGGCAAGTAAACCGGCGCCGGCAACCGCGTCCGAAGTCGCATATATACCGCCGCCTCCCCCTCTCACCCCATCCGAGGAGCCCCAGGCTAGCAGCGAACCGCCTCACATCGCGCACATCGTAACAGCAGCCGACTTCGAGGGCGCCGCCAAAGCCGCCTTCTCGCGCAACGTGTTCTCGTACGTGTCGAGCGCGGCCAACACCGGCTTCTCGCTATCCAACAACCTATCTTCGTGGTCGCGCGTCGTCTTCCGGCCGCGCGTGCTGCGCAACGTGCGCACCGTCAGCCCGCGCTCCGCCATCTTCGGCCACGCCACCCCGTTCCCGTTTTACATCTCCGCCATGGGCCACCTCGGGCGCGCGCACCCGGACGGCGAGGTCGAGCTCGTCCGCGGCGCGGCAAGGCGCGGCGCACACGTGCTATTGAGCACCGTGACCACGCGGCCCTTCGAGGAAGTCGCCGGCGCGCTGGCGGACGAGCAGAAAAAACTAAACCTGAACCTAGGTAAGAAGCCCAAGGGCTCAGGAGAAGAGTTCCCGCCCTCGACCATGCATTTCCAGCTGTACGTGCACCCCGACCGCGCCGTAACCCTATCCCGAATCCAGCGCGCCAAAGCCCTCGGCTTCAAGAGCATATGGGTCACAGTCGACACCCCCATCCTCGGCAAGCGAACCCTAGACCGACGGACCCAAGCCTCGGAAGCGCTAGAAGCAGGCCTGCCCGACGCCGCGGAACTCGCCGGGTTCGGCCAGCGCGCGCACGTCAACCAGCAGCAGTTCGAGCCGGCGCTGGGCTGGCACGACATCGCGTGGATCAAGCGGGAGTTCGGCGGCGGGCCGCTGGTGCTAAAAGGCGTACAAGCGGTCGAGGACGCGGTGCTGGCGGCGCGCAGCGGCGTCGTCGACGGCATTCTATTAAGCAACCACGGCGGGCGGCAGGCGCACGCCGCGCCCGCCGCACTGTCCACGCTCCTCGAGATACGGACGCACGCCCCCGAGATCCTGGGCCGGATCGAGATTTTCGTGGATGGAGGGTTGAGGGACGGGGCTGATGTGCTGAAGGCGCTGTGTCTGGGCGCGACGGCGGTGGGGGTCGGGAGGCCGTTCTTTTATGCGCTTGGTGCGTATGGCGCGAAGGGCGTCGAGAGGTGTGTTGATTTGCTGGCGGAGGAGCTGTGTGGTGGGATGAGGTTGATTGGGATTAAGACGCTGGATGAGGCGAAGCCGGAGTTGGTGAATGCGAGGCGTCTGCTGAATGAGGTGTGGCGGCCGGAGAAGAGTCGTCTATAATTATTTTTAGCGTATATTAAGTAGTTTTGCATCTTACATTTTCGGTTGTTGTCTTGGTTTCATATATCATAAGGTATGTAATAGGCTTGCCGGGAATTATCATTAGATAGCCCTAGACGGTTATGTCTTTCCGGTAGAAACTTGATATATACCATACATATAAACTCACATTTTGACATGTCCCTTAGATCGCCGTACAGATATCGTACACCACTCGTACCAAAGTCACCGCCCTCTCTACGAGATAGCCTCAACCGTATGCGTGATAGACACATTTCCAGGGCATCCCGACACGCTAAACGGCACCGAACCTCCCACAGTGCCCTTGCCATAATCCGCACACGCCTCGAACACCACACGCGCGTGCGCCCAGACATCACCATACGTCGCATTGCACTCCGTCCAGTCTCCACCATACTCAATCGTCAGCGCGCACGTCCCGCTCGTCTGGCCGCTGTACGCCGTAACCCACTTCTCCTGCTTCGGCGGCTGCGCCGACCAGGTGGCGTTGGCGAAGTCGAAGGTCGGCGCGAAGGCCTGCACGCAGTCGTCGTAGCTAGGGTCCGTGATGTTGGGGTTGACGACGTAGTTGCACTGCACCGCGCTGAGGTTGACCTGCGCCGTGGGCCCGATGGAGGGCGGCGTGGGTCGCGATATGGCTGGGAGCGTGCTGCTTCCCGCCGCGGAGAGCACTGGTTGGTACCAGTCGGGATACTTGCTGGCGGCGAGCAGCGGCGCGTCTGAGGCCACCGAAGCCACTGGGGTACCGTCGACGTTCGGGTCGCCGTCTGCCACGGTAGTCGAGTTGGTGGCCGAGTTCGAGGATGTCGCGCTAGGCGTTGAGAATGTCGTGCTGTGTGTTGAGAGTATCGTGCTAGCTGTCGAGAGTATCGTATCCGGTGTCCCGTCCGGGTCTCCCGGTTGCAGCTTCTCGGCCATTTTGTTTTGAGCCGGCGTCTTACCGTTATCCCAGGCCAGGGGGTACTCCGGATATACGCCCCACTTCTTCTCCATGAAGAGAGCCGTGGCGAAGTATGCCAGGTTGTCGTTGGTTTTGGCCGCTAGGACAGGATCCTTACGAGCTAGCAGCTTGGCCCGGCCGGACTTGTACGTGTTCGTCCGTACGCCGCCAACCCATTGTATTGTGTCGTTACCTGGGTGGACTGTTAGCGATCTTGTAGGTAGCGCTTCATGTTGTGTGTAGGTGTCAGTCGTCCACTAAGTAAACCCGAACCAAACCAATTAAGCTCAAAGTATGACGTTTCCCAACTCTACTTAAAATATTGTCTTAGGTATGCTTTTTTTTTTTTTTTTTTTTTTTTTTGGTTGAACTTATCCTCATCAAAGCTTTTCGCACGATGGTTTGGATTCAGGGGTAATGTGGGGCCTTTAGTCGTAGGAAGTTGTATAAACTTACAACCACCATTACAAATCATCGCGGTAAAATTATTGTTGATGTGCATCCACTCATGAAGTGCAGTTGTCGCTGTATCAAGTATAAGACACGTGTTAGCTATATTTTGTAGCCCCCTATAGCATGGACATAGAGGTTGACATACCTTGAGTTCGCATATTCTTAGTATTGAGTTTCTTTCTCCCGGTCTTGTCATCATCAATCTCTGTTATAGCGTCTCCATGAGACTTTAGAGAGTCGAAGAAGGCCGGACAGTAGTTTATCCGAGGCCATGTCCTCGGCATTTTCGTGTTGGGATCCAACTGATTGGTATATGCCGTATACCTGTCACCGGTTTTCTTGTCTTCACAGTCGTTTGCAAAGTCGTTACACCAGATATCGATGTATCGGCCGTTCCACCAGTCGTCAAGGCCCCATCCGGAGTATGCATTTGTGGCCCGATACAAGGTGTCATAGATTCGCTGATGCTGGCTAGGTTCGAAGTCTGACGGCCCGAAGTAATCGATAGCGGCTTGTGATTTGAAATCGATGAGTTGATGTGGGTTGCCTATTGATAACTCCCTATCGTCGTAGAAGACCGCATTGGCGAGGTCCAATGCATCTTTGTGTGCTTGTTTAATCATTGGCACCTGATTGTCAGCATCACACTCGTAGATGCGAAAAGTTGTAGTGGCGTTAAATGTTTCGTTTCCATTTTGTTTTTTCCAGGTCAAGGTAAACTCGTGCGGAGATGGTAATGCTACTGTAAGCTCCCACAGCGCGGATAGGAGAACTGAAACCGAGACTGCGTTTCTTCGGAACATCATTCTATCGTAGCGGTCTTGTGCGAGGAAGGTACCGAAGAACAGTCTGCTATGTTAATACTGAGAACGACGGTTACATAAGATACCACAGCGGTTGAGGAGTTGGACTCGACGAATCAGTCGAACTCCCAAAGCTTTATATTCAGGGACATATGCCCCCAAGCACCAAAGCTGTCTACAGAGCCTGCACACATTTTGCTACGCCTTTCGGAGGATCCTGCGATTGCTTTTCAGCTTAGGATATGTTTATATCGCTACGTCATGCCTTAGCCTGGAATAGCCCAATCATTCGACCATTGGTAGGATTGTGAAGTGTATCGCCTCACGAGATGAGGCCGTACAACTGCAATACGCAGTATAAATAGAGAGATTTCAGCTGGCGGGATGGCGCGGAACCTCTTTAGCTCCTGTTTCATGTTGATAATATTAGGGGGCTATTCGTGGTTAGGTATATTGTGAAAAATCGCATTGTTCTTACCTGTGGCTTCTGGGCTTAAGGAGGAAGATGGCGGACGAGTATTACATTATCTCGATAAATAGAACTGAAAGTATGCGCCACGCCGTCACGTCACGCGTTAGGCACTCAGCTCTCGCGGAGCTCCGGAATTAGAGCGCACAGATACCGAGCAACTTCTGGCTGTGGTAGGTACTTCATTTTTTCTTCCATTCTGAATTGACCAGTTTTACCAAGCATCATTTAGTCCAAGATGGTGTTAATATTCAGCCGCGTACGAATACGCCTGTATCTGCTAATATTAGCAGCAACTTTAGCGACAGCACAAACGCAGGAGGATGAGACAAAGGTGCGCATCGCCATCGTGGGCGCCGGCATCACTGGAGCATCCGCCGCGTACCATTTCAATTCAGAAGGGACATCTACATCTATTGCAATAACCATATTTGAGAAGGAAGCCCAAGTCGGCGGACGTATTCAATCTAAGCCTTACTTTGGCAATTATGTGGCCGAAGCTGGTGCGCCACATTTCTCCGATTCCGATGAATGTCTCATAAACGCAGTGGACACGCTAGGCCTGCGCAAGAAGCCTGAAGCCCGTCCCGTGGGTTTGTGGAATGGAACCGCGCTGCTCTATGGAGCACAGGGCCTAGGTTGCGCTGTCGGGGTTGAATCGGGATCCGGAACACTGCAAGATCTTGTCACCGAAGGAAGACGCGTTCTGTTTCCGCCAGCTCAGATGCGGAGAATCATCAATAGGGCCCGGGATGACTTTTCATCATGGACCGCACGGCTTTGGAAACACGGAATTTCGGCTCCTTGGCGGTTCTATCGTGCTGCTGCTCTAGATTTAGAGGCGTGGAAGCATTTTGGGAGCAACAACAGCGAGCCTTTTGACAAATTAGATGCTGAATTGGGTAGGATAGGACTGTCTAGCAATGTACTTGGACCCGCGGGGGAATATGCAGGTCTGGGCGACTTGACGTATAGCCGAGAGGCGGTCGAGCCCTGTACCCGCGCCCTCGTCTCTCAAAACTTAAACCAAGTATGCGCACTCGCAGCAGTCATCTCAAACGATCCTGGACGTGTCATATCACTCTGGGATGGCAACGCGAGATTAGTTGAAGACATGATCAAGCGATCAGGTGCTGCTTTAAAGACGAATTCTCAAGTTACACAAATCAAGCCTGGAGTAGACCGCCGTTACTACGTCGAGACAGCTGCTGGTGATAACAACGACGAGTTTGATATCGTTCTCCTAGCCGGCGGTCCAGACCAAGATCTCTCCTCTATCCTATCCGACATCCTTCCCCCACACCAGATTCCGGCTCCGTCGCACTACACCGAAACCCACGTTACCCACTTTACCACCGAAAGACTTCTCCACATACCGCGGTCTAAGTTCCCTGAACAAGACGTCCCAGTCCCTCAGGATATTAGTGCCGTATATTTCACCTACAACTCCGGCCTTAACGGGCCAGACCTCCTCCACGCTAGCACTTCTGTTGCGCGCCAACGTGATCCCGCTTGTAAAGCCGACCCCGAATGCGACGAATTTGTTCATCGCCGCGTCCACCGTGTCGTCTCCAAAAATCCCTTAAGCGACGAGGATATTGCGCGGCTTGCGGGCGTCTCGCTCGAGGGCGCCCTACTTGCAGAGGGAGAAACGCTCGAAGCAAAAGATATAACCGGTGTGCGCCGTGCTGCGTGGCCGCATGCCTTCCCAGCCTATCAGAAGCCGCGTCATGAGACTTGGGGAAACATTGAGCTTGCATATGGCTTATTCTACCTTGGGGGTGGTGAGAGGCTGCATAGTTCGCTGGAGATGGGATGTCGCATCGGGAGAAATATCGCGAAACTGATACACGCAACGAGAAGAGAAGAGAGACGAACACATGCTTCTGGAGGAATTGAAAATGAGCGCGACGCTGATGCGAGAGAGCTATGAAACAATTATTTCTACTTATTTTGAAAGAGAATTCACCGTACGCTTTCAGTCGTGCTGACCGTGACGATGCGACATTGTTCGTCAGCCGGATCGAGATTCAGCTGCGATGGGCAGGATGGGGTGGCTATCTGCTTACTTCCGAGGTAGGTATGTAGGGACTTACAAGGCACACATACAGGCAACTAGCCTGCACAAAAGCAAGGGGTATCTAAGCCACATGCATTTTGAATGGCTAATCTTATACCATGGACACCTATTCGTCAATTGCGCGCTCAATTCATCAGCTAATTCAAAAAAGTGATAAGCCCTCATGCACAGCCCGAATCCTTCCTAGTGGGCTAGAGCCTCACCTCACGATGCTAATGGATCTCTTTCTCCTTGATAAATCGATATCATTTATTCTGTATTCTTTTCCTAAATTCATTGTAGAAGTATATTATAATCTAAGGCCATCCAGCCTAACTTCACTATGCGCCTTTTGAATTGTCGCACGTTGAAAATGAAAGAGTTCTTCGATGATAACCTCCCTTCATACGCAATCCTCTCCCATACCTGGGGCGACGATGAGGTCTCATACCAAGACTTCCAAAGTAAATTCCGGCGACGTAGGAAGCTTGGTTTCAAGAAAATCAAGAGGTTCTGTACTAAAGCCGCTAGTACGGGAAACGAATGGGTGTGGGTAGATACATGTTGTATTGATAAAGCAAGCAGCGCTGAACTGTCCGAAGGTATGTCCTATCTTCATTATACCTAGCTTAATCTATGATCATTTCGAGTTCAATACACGCAGAGCGAATGTCAATTTTACCCATATGATATCCACAACACAGATGCTAATACGTATAGCCATCAACTCCATGTTCCATTGGTACCGGCGGTCTCATCAATGCTTTGTTTATCTCTCAGATGTAGACCAGTCAGTGAATAAAGTGAAAGGCTCAGTTCTTAGGAACTCTCGTTGGTTCACAAGGGGTTGGACGTTGCAGGAGCTTCTAGCGCCCTCACGAGTATCCTTCTACGACAAATCGTGGAGCGAGATTGGGACCAAGATTTCCCTGTCGAAAATAATAAGCGAGATAACCAATATTCCAGAGCATTATCTCCTAGGCCATAGAGACTTGAAAGGTGCTCCTATTGCACAGCGTATCTCCTGGGCCTCAAACCGCAAGACTTCGAGGAGGGAAGACATAGCATATTGCCTGCTAGGATTGCTCAACGTGAATATGCCCCTTCTCTACGGAGAGGGCGACAACGCTTTCATTAGACTGCAAGAAGAGGCCATGCAGCGCTCCTATGACCATTCTATCTTGGCATCTGGGTTCAATCTGCCATGCCCAGATCCTGGAAGTTTTCTTCATATATGGACACCAATCAAGGGGAGAGGTACACAAAGATACCTCTTAGGTAGTAAATTTACGCCACTTACGAAAAGGACAGTGGACAGGACGCCGGCCTGCCTCCCTAAGTCTCCGGATACATTCTGTGCATGGGATCCAGGTCTCAGTAATACCAAAGGGAGGAAACACTACCTTCTAACCAACCTTGGCATCTACATTGGCTTGAGCGTTCTTCCATTCAAGTTTAACGGAAACGATTATGGCCTCGCTTTATTGCACTGCGGTCTCGTGGACAGACCTCATCCTCTACTTGTGGCTTTACCGCTTAGACTACACAAGTCAAACGACATGCACAGCAGTGCTAAAGACACAATTCTTGCCTCGAGACCGCAAGGAATTGCTCCCTTCCTCATGCCTGTGCCAGAGGTTTCATCAATTCAAAATATGCAAGTATATCTCACCTCGTCTACACCGCCGGCCTCAGCCAGTTGTCGTTTTTGGACCTTTGAAATTCATTTGGATTTTGTTTCCAAGTTCGACTATTGCCTTGCCGACTTCTTCCCTCCATGTCTTGCTAGGATTAGCAATGATAGACTCATTATTGAGGATACCCTGACATGCTCAAGGATATTTCGGTTCTGTCACCCAACACGCAAGACTATACTTCTATCAGTGCAATTGACTCATCAGTTGGGGTATAATACAACTAAACTCAAAGTTGCAACTATAACTGATGCTCTCACATCATGGCAACTTGTTGTATTAGGGCCTAAATTTGATAAAGTTGATTTCGAACAATTGCAAAATTCGTTGACATGGACATCAAAGGGGTCTTTGAATAGGGTTGAGGTTGAAGACGGTAACTCTTTCGACTTTACTGGAGAGATAAGCCTTGACCTTGAGGAAATCGAATGTCTCCCCTTGCACTCGATCGCGTCTCACGCAACTCAGCCGGTGAATGGGGACAAGGACAAAGATGTGTGGTCAATATGGGACGTCCTGTTCGCATGAACGGTAGTAACCGGCTGGAAATCCAAGGGCAATTGGTGGCATCCCTAACGTGGATCATTCGCACGGAATCGATTAATTCTAATTCTTGCCTAGCTCGAGAACTCTTGTTTTACGGAGCGCAGGGCATTGAGTATGCGGTGGCATACCTCTGGTGGAGCTATGAGACGAAGTCTGCGTTGCATCCGCACTTGGCTTGACGGTCGGGCCGTTCGGGTTTCAATAAGCCTTGAAGTTCGGTGTTATGAACTACCTGGGTAATTGGACTGGGCATATCACTGGGTTGATCATGGACTCATATGTTCTAACCAACAATCGCCAACAAACTACGTTGCTGACTAACTGGTAGCTGTGTCGATGAACACGCAACGCTTGGAATGATGAGGTATGGAGCAGCGTGGGAATCTCTATCTACCTTTGTACTAATCATATCCTAACAATTATTACTAGGTACCTGCAGAAGCAGCGAATCAATGTTTGTTGATGAGTAACGAGCACGAAGATCATTTGCGGTACCAACCTCGATATCAGAAATTCCCGGTTCAGCCGATGGCCCAGGCTCTTAGATCCCCCATATCAGATGTAGGACCGTTGAATCTTACGCCAAGCCCATGGCCCCGGTACGGAACGTTGGAACACGAGATTCCAAATGGTTTCTCGCTTATGTTAACTGGGAGCAAGCTTGTTCGTCTGGTATATACGTCGATATAAAGCAAAATAACGATAACTGATATCAAGTATCGTATTATACGATCTATCTTGTACGCAGCACGATTCAGTTATATGCTCTGCCCAATTCCAACCGACTAGACGATGATTTATCAGAATTGAACATTTGCGTCGAAACTGTGCACGGATGCAAAGTTCGTGTAAGCCACTGGGATGGACCGATCGAACCATGCAAGCTGAGAGTTATCACGGTTGCGATTCATATCTGATTGGCTGCGATGCCGGGTACACTACCTAGACGGTAGCGTGTGATTTACTTGCTTCCAGGGTTGGGCGTAGCGTGGAAGGCTTCTGGAACGCTGCTAGAAGTCACTCTGTCAAGTACACTACTACCTACTAGTAGGTACTGTATACAAAGTGAGGTTCTGCTGTGTATCCTAGCCCTGGGAGTGTCTTTTGCGCGGAGTAGAAGTACAGGTTATTGGTACCCAGACAGTTAGCTTATAATACAAGACGCTGAAGTCGAGCACGCCATTGAAGGGTAGATGATTCTTTTTAGTGCGTATTATTTAGTACCTACCTAATCAAAAATATGGATGGTAGGTATCAATCCATGTCAAAAGTGTCAAAAATGTCCTCGGTAGCTCTAGTGTCTTGCGCTAACTTACCTAAGGTTAAGAAAGTTAACTCCCGTTGACTCCATTTCACTAAATTTCTGGGGATATGGGAAGGTTTAAAGCTAGCTACCCGACAACTTACTCCGCGAACTTTCACAGCTTCCTACTCCATGCGCAATCTTCGATACCAACGTCCCTCTTTGGCTATGTCAGCACGATAATAAATAAACCATCCAATGATACGCCTTATCTCTCAACGCAACCCTGTGGCGTGACTAGATTGCCTACGCTTGGCGGCCTGTGTTACTGCCAAGCGAGCCACCAATCAGGACATGATCGTCAGACGTCAGAATGATCGGATCTGGCGTCGTATCTTTGCTTTTATGTTGATTGGGCTGGGAAAGGGGAATGCGTACCTTGAACCCTACATGGTAGGTAGCACTGCGACACTAACTGACTGATAGGGAAGCACCAGCTGAGGGGCAGTCATAACCAACCTTATTGTAGCGGAAGGTCCTACTTGGGTAAGGATGCGTACATAGTAAGGTTCATCTAGCCAGCCTTCTAGAATATTACTATCAATGTCTCCTCTCAGTTCCATTTTTTTATCCAATTCTATTCTTATTGATCGCTGCTCGCAAGTGACCCTTTCGCGGATTGCTCCATTTCAACATCATTACCGCGGGCGGAGACTCGACCATCGCCGACAACACATCGCTTCGGTAATAGCTTATAGCAACATTCATAACGATTAACATATCACTACAGTATCATTACCAATGCTTGCTTCGTAACTTTTACTCCTTAAGAGAGGGTTGCGAAGTTAGGTAAATTTCTAGTATTTTTTATCTTTATTTTTATTTTTCTTCGCCATGGCGACCGACGCGAATCGCGAAGGCATCGAAGCTACCCACGACACCAGCCCTGAGGTCGTGGAGGAAAAGACTTCGAAGGAACATGATTTTGCTGCTGTCAATTCGGGTTCAGGCTCGGATGTAGAAGTACCCCTAAGAGGCCCAAACGGAGAGGAATATCCTACCGAGGAAGAACTGAAGACGTTACGTCGCGTGAAAGGGCCCATTAATTGGATTATCTACACAATCGCCTTCATCGAGCTCTGTGAGCGATTTGCTTATTATGGAACCACTGCTGTTTGTAAGTTCGAGATGCAGCCGCCGATCAAATAACTAAATCTAAATGATTTCGCATAGTCGTTAACTTCATTTCCGAACCTCTCCCCGCTGGTTCTACCACCGGCGCCGGTGGCACAGATTTGCAAGCTGGCGCGCTTGGCCAAGGACAGCAAGCTTCAACTGGCTTGGTGCTCTTTAACAGCTTTTGGTCATATTTGATGCCTTTAGTCGGTAAGCAACCTGTCTGAAATTTGGTATCTGATCTAACTGATGCTGCCTTACCTTATCTTAGGTGGTTGGGTGGCTGATGCATATTGGGGCAAATACAAGACGATTCACGCCGCTGTCGTGATAGCCATGTTTGGCCATATAATCCTAATCGTCTCGACGTTACCACCGGTTATTGCCAATCCAAAGGGTTCCCTTGGTTGCTTCTCCCTCGGTCTTATCTTCTTTGGCATCGGTGTTGGATTCTTCAAAGCCAACATCTCACCTATGATTGCCGAGCAGTACGAAAGTCAGCAGCCGAGAGCTATCATCAAGGTCTTGAAGAGTGGCGAGCGCGTTGTTGTCGACCCGATAATAACCATATCAGTTATTTACATGCGTTACTATTTCTTCATCAATGTCGGGTCATTGGTTGGGTCTATCTCCATGGTGTATGCCGAGAAATATGTTGGGTTCTGGCTCTCGTTCACCTTACCTACGGCCCTGTTCTTTTGCTGTCCGGTAGTCTTGCTCGCCTTCAAGAACAAATACGTTCGACGGCCAGCAACCGGTTCGGTCCTCGGCAAGGCCATAGCTCTGGTTGTTCTATCGATGAAGGGTCGCTGGTCTCTAAACCCGATTACAACTATCCGACATATGCGCGAGCCAGGCTTCTTTGAGAGAGTCAAACCGAGCAAGATCCCCAAATCCGAGCGTCCAGATTGGATGACCTTCGATGACCACTGGGTAGACGAGGTGCGCCGTGGTTTCAAAGCTTGCAGCGTCTTTGTTTGGTATCCTATCTATTGGCTTTCCTACAACCAGCTAAACAACAACCTTGTTTCCCAAGCCGCTACAATGATCCTCAACGGCGTGCCCAACGACGTGGTGAACAACCTGGACCCTATCGCCTTGCTGATCTTTATCCCTATTGTCGACAAATTTGTTTACCCCGCCTTGAGGCGTGTTGGTCTTAACCTAACCCCTATCAAGAAGATCACCGGCGGTTTTGCTATTGGCACTTTATCGATGGTGGCCGCTGCTGTGACGCAACATTATATCTACATGGAGTCACCATGTAGATCCGTTTCCGGATATGGATATGTGACCGACTGCAAAGAAGCTCTAGGTCTTCCAGCAGATGCGGCCGAGTCCCAGTATAAATCGCCGCTAAGCGTCTGGATCCAAACACCAGCTTACATTCTCATCGCTTTCGCCGAAATCTGCGCGTCAATCACCGGCCTCGAATACGCTTTCACCAAGGCGCCGAAGAATATGCGAGGCTTTATCACCGGTATCTTCTGGTTCTCACAAGCCTTCGCCTCCGCTATCGGTCAAGCCTTCGTACCCCTCGCAACCGATCCTTACCTGGTGTGGTTATACGTGACAATCGCTATCATCTCGGCCCTTGGCGGTATCGGTTTCTGGTTCAACTTCTCGAAGCTGGACAGCGAGGAGGAAGCGTTAAATGCTCTTCCCGACAGCCTGTTCAAGGGTAGTCAAAACCAGAACGAGGATTTCGCTGCTATAGAAGCGGCACAGGCGGAGCAGGAGAAGATTCGGCGCGCTCAGGGGCTGGACAAGAATCTTGCCCCTTAATTCCGAGGGGAAGCTAGAGTGAGTTTTTGTCGTACTTTCGAGTACATTTCAGGTATCTACTGGATTGAATGTGCGAATTTCCCTAGTCGATTCTCGCTCAAACGATTGTCGAAGTAGTACCATAGCCTCTATTTATGATGATATGTCGTATTGGCCTAGCAGAAACGAGTATACATGTTACTTGTACACTTCCTTCTCTATAAATCGCTTGGTATCCCAATGTGACGTAGAACAAAAGACTGCATGTTGAAGGTACTGGTATAGTGTTGATATAAGAAGTATAGGTGTGTGACCAGCTATTATCTCCTAATTAAGTGACTTTGTTGTGGAGGTCAAATACAGAGTCAATTATGCCCGAACCACCCCCTTTTACCCCCCCTTTATCAAACCCAAAGAGAAACCATGCTCAACAGTATCCTCCACCAAGTCAAACCACCCCCCTCCCCCCCCCCCCCCCCCCCCCCAAAAAAAAAACCTAGTGATCATCTCATAACGCCAACATCAGCGAAGTCCAGAACCCATGAATAACCTACGACCTCTCCAACCACCTCAGAGCGTAATCAAGCACGTCCTCATCCCCTCTCCCGGCGCCCCTCCTTCGCGCCTCCTCAACCCCCCGCACGAAATCCGGATCTATCGCGAACGCGCACTCCCGACACAGCGGCGTCCGGATCCGCCGCTCCCCCCGCGCGTCCGCCGGGTCGTACGCCTCCGCCATGTACTCCAGGTACCGGGTCCGCGGGTGCCGGCGCGAGCGAACGTTGCCGCATTGCTGGTTGTGCGCGAATAGGGTGTGTTGCTGCGAGGGCGAGGTTGTGGATATACTGGCCCAGCGCGGCGGGGTGGGGAGCTGTGAGACGTGGAAGTAGGTGTCGTGGGCGCGGCGGGCGGTGGTGTTTGCGCGGTGGTGGGAGGTATTTGTGGTGGTGTTGTTGTTGTTGGAGGAGGACATCGTGGTGGAGGGGGTTTGGTGGTTGGTGTTGGCTTGAGGTCCTGGATGTGAGGACTTGGTGGAAAGCGAAGTGTAGTCGATGTTTTGGAGAGATTAGGTAAAAGAACGAGACACCATGGGAAGGTGTAGAGAATATATATCTTTTCACTGCGGTTGCGAGCGTTATGAGTTGGATGGTCTAGTGAGACTTCCGGTTCTGAAAGTTAATGTACAACGTCTAAGCCAGGGACTCGATAAGGTAGAGTCGTCGCAATAAAGCTGTGAGTTGAGCAGCGGTACATACACAGAAGGGGTTTAGACCAGAGGAAAACATCGAAAGGTGCGTGATAAATATATTAAGAAGTTAACGCCCCTTGTCCTACCGAGCGTACAAATATGTGGTCAAGACTACCTAGGCAGGTATGGAAATATCACCCATGTTTCCATGCTGACTTCAAGAAGACTATCCTTAGTCTATGTAAGTCCCACAATATCCGCAATCCTTGCCTGAGAAAACCCAGACTTCATAGCCTTTCGCTCTGCATGTCGGGCAACGCTTGCCCGGAGGCTAGAATAAAGATTTGTTAGGGAACCATACGACGTACTTAAGAGGGCTACATACCTTTCCCGTCAGAGTATTTGGACGCTGGCTGCTGTCGGTGTATCCAGATGATGATCCGCTAGTAGTGGATGAACTGGTACCTTGATTGGTGTTTCCCTGATTGCCAGACTTTGACCCCGAAGTCTGGGCTCCAGAAGTTGTGCTTTGAGAAGACATTATTGCTTAGCTTTGTTTCGTAGGCTTTGTGATGGGTAGGAATAAAGATCTTAGGTAAATATGGTAGAGATATGGTTTCAAATGATTTTCAGTTGAACTCTTGGGTAGATACTTACTTTAGTAGTTTCCTTCCAAGTAAATCCAGGCTATCATAGAGCTCTTAGACTTGTGTTTCATGACGCATAGCTGAGTTGATTTTCGAGCTGACAGTAACCGAGCGATTAACATATGTCCTGACTGGACAGTTAGTAAACTTAGTAGGTAGTTGATCGGTAACTCAACAGAAGGTATTAGTTGGGGATCTGGTTCTAGCCAACTTATGGTATCCATCACAGTCACAACCAAGATAATTAAGGTAACAGTAACAAGCAAACTTAGGTGAATAAGGATAAGTCAGATGGAATATTAGAACCAAAATCGGCCCGACTTACCCTTCATAATTAGGTTGCTTTAGCTGGAACGTGAGATCGAGTTTCTAATAATAAATGACACTAGTGTCATTGTTACAAACTATTACCATGATATTCGGCATGATGAATGAAAGACAGTGAACACTATCTATATTATTAATTACTATAGTTACTCATTTAGTTGTCAACGAGCCAAATGTCAGTTGGCTTCGATTTCAGCTTGTCAGGAACTTACAATATCAAGTGATGTGGAGAAAATAGTGGTTAGTTTTGAGGATATAAATACGTTATAAGTCCGGAGTCCTTCTTTTGGAGGATACGTTACTACATATGCTATGTCACGTATATGCGTGATTCAATGAATAATCATAAGCAAGTAGCTCATGATATGAGATATGAACTACTACTTACTTACACCAGGGACCTAGGAGATCCTAGGGTTTCAAGGGTTGGTGACGAGTGCAGGAACGATATTAGGGGTCGCTACAGGCATTATCTCTAGAATATATAAATCTAGTTTTCCCTTATGATACATAGATAATTATTTAGAGCAATTACCAGAATTCAAAGTAAGTTACCTACTCAATATAACCCAAGTGGCCAAGTTTGTAACTGGTCGAGGGGAGGTTATTTGTATTACTTTTCTAAGCGCGTAAGGTATTATCATCATCATTTTGTTCAAATGATATACACTAATATCTGTTAATTGAGCTTCGTGGTTTACTATCTGCCATCACTATGCTGCCATCCGTCGTTACGGTAATAGTAATGTAATTGCTCCTCAAGCTGCAGATAGGGGTAATTTAGTGGGTCTACCACCCCTATTATATGTGAGTAGTATCATCTTGGTCTCTCCAAGTTACGTAACTATACTCTTTCCCAGCACCTGTATGTATGCTTAGGGGAGCAACTGGGTAGATGTCCTTAGTGATCGCTGCTCTTCAAGTCACCGTTATGAGGATCTATAAGACCACCCACTTCTCTCAGAAGGAACAAAGGAATATCTTCCAGTTTCGAGAAACAATACTACAGTGTAAGCTAAAATATTGTATGTACCCTCTTTTAGCGCTTTTTCGGGTCGATATTGAGCCACTATCGTTCCATGAGCCATGAAGGTTGATCCGGTCATCTTAGTATTCCAAACTACCTTCCATCGCCATTCATGGTGACTCATGTATTTGTACAGACGGGCAACTCGAATAACCCAGGTGAAATCACTTGCCCTACTCGCCGAAATATAATTCTACTAGTTTGTCACTAATCTCTTTATCATATGGCATGATTGACGTTGTGAACCCATACCTTCTGTTGCTTATGAGGCTACCTACCTATGTGACGATTGAGAAAACAAGATTATTCATTTTGAGCTGCTCAACACTTCTTTCATCAACCGCAGTTTTTCCGTGACCTGTTCCCTGAACATCATCCTCAATCTAGACTTAATCGAGGTAGAGGACTCTCCCGTGTACGCCGGCTTCTCTACCTCATTAGCCTCGAGACATATCTCCACAATATCACGATAGGAATTTCCGCATTCGCTCGCAGCCTCCTCTATGGGGCTTCGAATGCCGTTCGTAGTTTCGCCATCCTCTGGAAGTCCCAGTAACTTCCCGGCTATGCCTCTCAAGTCTTTAGACTTCATCTCCCGTAAATCTTTGATAGCCAGAATGTCTTCGATAGGACTCCATATAGCTATCTCTATAAGCATAACACCTAAGCTGTACATATCGTACGACTTGCGATAATGGTTCTTCGCTTCCCCAAACTGCGCATGAGGATGCCGGTAAATGTCGGACCATGGGTCAAATGGGGGCTTCGCCGTCATTTCAAGTACATTTGTTGGCCGCGAGAGGTCGTATCCCGTGATATATGGCATGCTGATGTTCGCGTTGCTTTTCCCGTCGCAAAAGAACAAGATATTGTTGCTCTTAAGGCCTTTGTGTAACCATTCTACGGAATGAAAACTGAAAAGGCAATCAGCCAGAGTGCTGCAAAGGGATATTCTTGTAGCTATTGGAGGTTTCGGGCCTTCAGTTAACAACTGGTGGAGCGTCTTCAAAGTTGAGTCTGGGTATATGTCAGATGGACTTTCGAATACTATGCCAAAGCTAGATTCTCCATTGCGTGTTGAGGATTTAGTATACCCTAAACACCTGGGAGCTCTAAATTTTGGTGGTATCTCCTCGTGGAGCAATCTTGTGAGCATTGATACCCTTTTCTCAGACAACGAAACTGCTGGATGCTCTTCAAGGCAATGTGGTGACTGTTCAATCCATTCAACCCAGACGTTTCGATCGTCCCAGGAAGCTACCGACCGTCTCCCCTGTTCGTATCTGAGAGGAACACCTGCGCAGAAATCAAATAGAGAAATGTCAAGAAACATGGCCATAGACTTGTAGAATATTGATGTGCCTGGATCTGGTGACTGGTCAATCTCCATATGACGAAGTTTGAGTCTTGCTAGTTTCCGAATGTCTTGTCTTCTTTCTTGATAATCGACATTGCTCTCCACAATGGTAGATTCCGACAGTGGATTTTGAGATAACTCGACTGGAATCGGGCCTATCGTTTTCTCAAACCCCATGGCGTCTCGATCCAGGGCTTGAATCAAAATTCTCAGACTCTGAACGTCGTTCCGGAGCTGTAAAAGCTCTAAATAGTTCATTTCAACATCATTTTCCAGTCTCCTAATGTGTGAAGTGTCGAGGAGACCTATGAGAAAAGAATTAAGATCCTTAAGATTTCCCACAAGGGTCTCAAATGCTTCTTTATCGACGCTCACCCATACCAATCGTTTAGGCTCTATAAGTATCGTTCGTAGCTTTCGTGCGGCTATCGCTGTCCGATCTCCTACTTTCCGAAAACTCCTGGATAGTGAGAAGCGCCTCTTATCTTCCACTGGGTCATTGCTGCCGATGGAGCCTATTGAATTGGCACAGAGCAATTCCATGAGGTTTGTTTGAGGTTCGCCTTTATCATTACAAGAGATGTTTCTTTGGCCCACAATATTCGCATAGCGCCCATTTTTCCGTTCATATTTCTGGAAAAGAGAATTGATCTCAATGAGAACGTCCTTCAGCAGTAGGTGGTTGACTTGAAGAGTTTCGCAAATCCTTCCCTCCTGATGCAAAAGGCCGGCTTCTAGAGCAAAGCTAAGAAATCTCTGTTGCTCTATCTGGACTCGAACCCTTAAATACCTGTACGATTCTGACATATGAACAGCTTCTGTGAAGTATTTGTATCCTACTATAGATTAGCTGGTGTCTTTTGTTAGGTCTTTCATTGTGACAGACTTTTGATGCACTCATCCGTAATTTGTAGGATAAACGATGCGGCGCCAACACCGAGGCCTAACACCGAAAGAGGATCGGCCATTACAGAATAATGTCTCCAAGTGTGGTAAATTCTCTGCGAGAAGTATCTTGGTGGCTGTTGCGCAAGATGGCTTACCGGACGACCATTCACTTAGTAAATTATAACGGTTGTAAAAGCTCGGGGTGTTCAAGATAGACCCCGATGATGTGGCGTGGCTAGTTGCAGTTAATTCGTCACATGTCTTTAAATCAGGCTTACTTTGAGACCATTATTCCACCAGATATGCAAGCCACTCCAGAAAGCCTTATCAGTCACCACCCAGAAAAGAGAATAATCAGACGCTATTGGGGAGATGATGGGCTGTGATGGTGGCTGCAGTGGGAGGCGGGGACTGGTCGTAGAGCTGCATTTCCGGAACAATCTTATAATATATAACAGCGAGTTATTTCTTAGCGATGAGGCTCTGCTTGAGGCAGTACAATCGATTTTGAGTAAATAAGGTCAACCGGTGAAGAAAAAAGCAAAGAAGTGGTGGCTATGCTAGGTAGCCTCATGCAAGTACCGACCTATGAGATTTCAACTCTAAGTTGTGAACATTCCTTTCCGGTCCCTGTACTTCAGTCCTCTCCTACGATCATCGGGGACATGCGTACCAGTTGATGCCTATCTATCCAAATGTGCCTTGGTACCTAGGTACGCCCCGAGCCCTGGCGGGTCAGCAATATCTAGGTGCCTAGGTACCTATCCATGGATATATGAATGGTGTGTAATTTCCACTAGTTCCACTAATTCCATATTGCATACCCATATACTCCCAGGCCAACTCTACAATACACATATCCATACGTATCTACCTACCTAGGTACTCACGATGGCTGGCGATGGAAAAGTGGGCGACTCAGCCCGGGAAAATACCCAGAACCATGATTATACTTCAAATGTCAAGACCGCTCTCGGCAAAGCAGGAGTTGATGATGAAACCATCCTCAAGTTATTAGACCTTGGAGTTTCAGATTTTTCCATTCCCATGCTTGGGGACTCCAGTCCTATTCATCTAGCTCCAGGTGCCTCGTGCAGATTTGAGGGCGCCCAGCAACGATATTTGAAGAACGAGTTCGAAGTAAAATCCGGAGAACTACTGGATCATTTCAATCTTCACTCGGATGCCATCAGCGAAGACACACATATGCCGAAGACCCTCGAGTATATGAGTAACATCGGCCGATCAAACAACACAGACGTTACAAAGGTGAAATGTACCTCTGGGATACGTGCGTTGAAGAGAATAAAGCGGTTGAAAAATGGAGCTAGTGAAGAACTTGAGCAAATGAACTACATCAAAGGAGAGTTGAGCATATTGAGAAAGATTCATCGGGTTAAGTTTCGCCACTTCGTGAAACTCACGGCGAGTTACACTGACGCGGATTATGTCGGTATGCTTTTGAGCCCGGCAGCTGACTGCAACCTTGCAAGCTACCTAGATAACTTCCAACCTTCAAACAGGCCGCTCCTGGAAGAGTTCTTTGGCTGCCTCGCCACGGCTCTGGCGCACTTGCACTATGTTGAGCATATACGACACAAGGATATCAAGCCAGCAAACATCCTTGTCAAGGGTAACAACGTCTTGCTCACTGATTTTGGGATCTCGCTAGACTGGAGCACTTCTCTCCAGACAACAACGGATGAAGAGAAGAGGAAAACCCCTAAAGTGAGTCCCAGTGATCATCCTTCCTCGCAGCATATCATAACCTTCCCATGTCCCTCCCTACACCTTGACAGTTTGTGCAAGCGAATATTGCTGATAACCTCCTGAATATAGTACTGTGCCCCCGAAGTTCATGAGGACAAACCGAGAAACTCGAAGTCAGATATTTGGTCGCTTGGGTGCGTCTTTCTGGAAATGTTCACAGTGTTGAAAGGGGAAAAAAGGAGCTATGTGGACAACTTTCTGAATCAGGATGGACCCCCAAAGTATTGTACGTCGCAGCAAGCAATCAAAGACCTCCTCGCGAATCTAAAAACGGTCGGCTCTGGACGCAAGAATAAGCCACTGGATTGGATCAAGAAGATGTTGAAATGGACTAAGGAAGACCGACCCAACGCAAGAATATTAAGAAAGGAAATCCTAGAGAATGGATATTGCGGGATTTGCTGCAAACATGACAAGATCTTCAAAGACCTCCCACCGAACGCCCCATCGAAACAGGTACGTGTTCAGGGGTCCTATGGTCGTAGCAATCTAGCTATAGCGAAGAAAGATTAGTTAGCACTTTGTACATAAAGATTACTAGGCTAACCACGAACTTCAGGGGGCACCCACCACTAGTCCTTCCATTCCATCTCAACACACCATGGAAACATACGCACTCACCATAAAATTTCTCAGTGGATTCAAAGGCACGCCCCAGTGGAGAGAGATCGAAGTGATCCATATTGGTTCGATTTCAAAATGCTGGATCTCGCCTGACGTTCTTCACGGTTCCGAGCTCAAGCTTCGCAATAACGAAAGTGGAGAATCTTTTACATTGGATGGAAAAATGTTCAAATCGAACAAGCATGCTGAGATCACTTGCAAATCCAACAATATCAAATCGACTTTGACGGAAAAGTTCTTCGTTGCGACGGAAGCGACACCATTCGACATGCTCGTTCCGACGTCCACATTCAACCAGATGAGGCAACTGAATAACTCCAATAGATGATGAATTGGGTAGCTATACAGGTCAATTCACTTCACCCCCCATATATTCGTGTCAGTCTGAGCTTTCTGGCCGGCTAGATCATGCGGGATTACGTGAAAAGTGCCTAGAAGGCATTACACGTCAACAGTTTAATCTGAAATCGGGCTTTCCACACCGAATAGTCGTCGCGGGTCCTATGACCCCTTTTTCAACTACATGTGTCATATGAGCCTGTATCCCTGCAACGATTACGTTGCAAGGTGATGTGTTCGCAATGTCTTCGTCGATGATATGTGATCGAGATGCATTATAGAAAACTAGACGCCGTACCACGCGGAGCTTGATGGTTGATTCGGTGATGTGCTGCTTCGGGGGCCTCTAATGACTCCACGTCAGCGATCGAGCTCCTTCTCCCGCGGGTGGTGACGCTTCCGATTCAACTAGCAACGCACGAAAAGCCTGCTCTGAAGAGTCTCTCCAACGTGGCAATCTCCTTGATCTTTTCAATCCTTACGGACAGTTAATTGGTAAATGCGAATATGGGATTGTCGAATTGTCGGCAGCGCCGTAATCAAAATCTGCGAGGTCTCGGGAATGAGGTTATTGGTGGACAATAGAAGAGGGGTTGGGTTCTTTGGGCGTATGTAGTCGAACCCAATTACTCTGCAGAGTCTAAGTGTATCTTGGTATATAAGTCCCAACACCTAGGTAAGTTAGTCCTCGGTGAACTTCCCGTTCAATCATCACCTTGAAAATTATTAAGAACAAGACTATCGTGTTTCAACATGTCCGTTCTCCGCCGAATCCTACAATCGTTGCTCCCTTGGCTGCGGAAGCCCCAACAACCAGAGAACCTCTTGCAAGATACCGAGGCCCATGTAGCTGAATCAACATCAGATGACAATGATCCATTGTTTGATGGTAACGAGAGGCTCCGCGGGTCGGGACGCGAAGAACGGGTGAACAGTGGAGGTAACCACAGCGATGTTAGTTCTTTCTGCCCTTCCCTGTGTGATGCTCCACTGACAACAGACAGCACGACCATTTTATCTTCTATACTCCCGATCCCTTCAATTCAAATGCTTTAACCAAAGCATTCATGGCAAGGAACTCTCAGGGGAGATATAGTAGTATCCAGGTGTCAACAATGAAGCTGCTGCGTTCCGATGCGAGAGTGGGGGATAAGTATACGCCGTCCTGGCAAGTGGAAGAACTGGAACAAAGATTTTCCACCACTTTCGAGGCTATTCCAGACCACCCCGACGAGTTCCAAGTAGTCCTAGGAACTGAGCGGTTTGTCGATGTTGTCGAAGGTCAATCCTGCATATCTTCCGATCAACAGCCACAGAGTCAATCGTTCACAAGAGGTATGATATCTCTAGTTACTTGATTTCATCACATAGACACACATTGCTGAAATAGTGCAGATGAAACCCCAAATTCGTCAAATGACCAGGTCCAACTCGGGAACTCGCGAGTTATTGAGAAACGTGTGCCATATGTCACACCACACTCTTTTGCGAACACCCATGACTTGGGGAGCCTGATGACCAAACTCTCTATGTCGACAAATGAAGGAGAGCATCGAGGACAACGTGCCGTCAACGGTTTAAATCTTAGGGAAAAGATATTTAGATCCGACTTTCATTTGAGCTTCAACCCAAGATTCATAATTCCCATCGTGCTATTCAATCACTTTGGCCCAGGGTCGTTCTCCGCTCATCGATACAACTCGGGGCCTAGCCACTTCCCGGCTCATGGTGGCTTCGGACAGGACCGAGCATTTATTGAAACATCTACTAGGCCGCACGATCGAGTGATTGAGGGAGGGGTAGGATCCCAAGGCCTAGATATCTAGTCGAATATAAGTAAGGAAGGGTAGAGAAGTGCTGGAATATACGAAATTGACACACCTAAGGTTTCCGGAGCACATGATCAGAAACGAGAAAAGGGTTCAAAGGTTGAATATGGATGAATGGGAAAAGTCTGGCATAATATAAGCTCAATACATTCAACTTGCAACCCCTGATTCGCCATATGTCCGGTGAAGTGTTCTACTTCCACTAACAGGGATAGCACCCAACGGAATCCTGGCTTGGGCGAGCATCCAGGCGAGAGGTACCAAATATGATCAATATATGGTCTCGATGAACTTTTCAATGGCTATCATTGAACGATTAACACGTATCAAAGGCAATGACATTAATGCCAAGTAAGGTAACTATTGGAAACAGATGGATTAACCCGAGTGTGTGGGGCGGCAAGACAAGTAGGTTAGGTACTTGTCACCACACCCCTAGCCTGTATGGATCCAATGTTTAATGTATGGATCATGGATGGTATTAGTCCTGTCCACACTAAAGTTCACCTCGTACCTGTAGTAGAATAATTGTTGTTGTTGTTAAGTTCTAAAAAGCTGATCTGAAACGAGAGAACTTAATCTTATCTCATACATTACGTAACAACCCCACATCTCGGCTAAACTCCCTTGAGGGCTGCAACACACACAAGCCCTCAAAACCAAACCCAATTGAAGCTATTCTCATCCTTGCCGCCATCTCCCATCGTTGATCAGAATCTCTCAAGTAGCCCATCACATCCCAGAATCATCCACTCACCCAGCCTCTATCCCCACCGCTTAATCGTTCCAGCCCTTCCTCGGGCACCAGCAACCCACAGTCATACTGCAACACTACCGCTCCGACCGACCACGAGACCTCCTCGTGCGACCTAACGATATGCCAGCGTAAACCTGAATCCCAGCCGAACTTAAGGAGTGGCAGACTCGAGCGCCAGCCAGAGCGGAGATCCGAAACCCAGACGAATACGAGGAAAAACCGACACAACAACAGAAAACTTGAGCTTGAACGTGAGAATGTGAATGCTCGGTGATTGTCGAGTCACGGTTGAGCTTAGGTATGGTCTAGTATCGTCCAAAGGCTCTGGTTCTCAGGCTGTCAAGTTTCTCTCGTCCACCCTCATCTAGTTCCAGCTCAGCTTGATTATTACTGGACGTCTCTGATTCTCGATCGTTCGTATCTTGTTCAGCTTGAAATTTGTCTTGATTCTCTTCACCGTTTCTTCGCTCGTCTCTACTAGTTGCTCTAGTCGTCATCAAGTTCGGGAACAAATTTTCTACTCCGATCTTTTTCTCACCTAAATCTGTCTTCTCCATCAATTCTCACACCGCAATGGGAAACCGCGCAAGTTCGAATCCTGCAGCTCTCACCAATGAAAGGGGAGTAATAGATGTTGTATTTCTTAAGTTTAAACTTTCGTCTAAAACGTGAGCAAGTTTCTACTTAAACCCTTCGATTACGTACCCACTCCCACATACCCCAACGAGCAGTTAAGAATCTATCCCTATAAACGATAAACGCTTCTCGGGACACATTCTTGTCTCAAGGGAAATTACGTGAGTAACTGTCAGGTGACACCTCCAGGTTCACCAAAACTTTTATTATCACGTGTTTTTCTCTAAAAGATGAAGTGGTCTGTGTGGATTTGTCTAAGCTTGATATGTTGGAGATATCTTCAATCTTTGGTTACTCACGTGACTTCCCTTGAGACAAGAGCATGTTGGGTTTTAGAGGAAAGTTTTCTGTTTGTAGACTTAGATTTCTGGACAATGAATACATCATCATTTCTGTGAAGAATTTATTGCTTTTTCTGATACCTTAGTGCGCGGGGGGGGTATTTAAACATGCTTACAGCAATAATATTCACTTCCCAAAATCATTACAAAGTGAACCTGAGCTGGAAGCTGTGACACAGCGAATTCAATACGTGAATACATGGTTTTAGGTTCATAATATTCTTTTATCCAAGCACTCATTTTTAAATTAAACCTATTTTCAAAGGTGAAATTATTTCGAATAATTAAAATTATGTTTATATAAAATAATTAAAAATTAAAATTATTTTATAAATTAAATATAATTTTTAATAAATAAAATTATAGTTATAAATATATTATTATATAATATGTTTATATAATTAAAAAAAAAATAAAAAAAAACAAAAAAAAAATAAACGAACGCACATTTTTTTATATTAATTCGAAAATTCGAATTACGAATTTTAACGGGTTTAAAAAAACCGTATATATATATATATAAAACACGGACCCATTTAATTTAACGGTTAATTAAACCGTTAAATTAAATAATTCGCGTATATAATATTATTAAATTATAAAATAATTTAATTATATAATTTTAATTTAATTTTAATTTTAATTAATTAAATTAAAATTTTAAAATTATTTTAAAATAAAAATTAATTACGTAATAATATTATTAATAAAATAATTTTTAAAAATAAATTTATTTTTTATATATAACGTTTATAATTTTTTAAAATTATTATATTTTATAAAATAATATTATTTATATATTATTTTATTTTTAAATATTATTTTTTATTTAAAATAATACCCGTAATAATTTTTAATAATTAAAATTATTTTAATTTTAAATATTTTTATATAATTATATTTACGTGTAATATTATATAATAATTATTTTTAAATATTTTTCCCGCGCATTAAAATAATAATTAAAATTTAAAAATATTTTTAATATATAAATTATTTAAATTTAAATAAAATTAAATTAAAAACACGTAATAATAAAATTTATTTATTATTTAATTTATTTTAAAAATATAATATATTATAAATTATAATAATATAATATAATAATTTATATTAATAATAATTATAATTAAAAAATAAAAAAATATTAAAATAAATAAAATTTATTTATATTTAAATAATAAAAAATTTTAATTTTAATTAAAAAATACGTAAAATATTAAATTCGTTTTTTATATAATATTATTAAACTTAATTATTTATTAAAAAAAAATATTAATATTCCGTGAATTAATTTAAATACGTATTTATTTATTATTAAAAAACATTTCGTTAAAATATTATAATAATTTAATTTTTAAATATTTATTTAATATTTACCCGTGGTTTACGCGTAATTATTTATTTAAAACGTTATTTAAAATTAAAATTAATTATTTAATTAATTAAATTAAAAATAAAAAATTAATTATATAATATTACGGATTTAATTTAAAAAACGTTAATTTAATTTTTTATATAATATATTTTTTAATTTTTAAATTTTAAATAAATTTAAATAATTTATTTTTAAATTAATTTAAAAATTAATTAAATAATTTTTTAATTAATTTTTAAATTAATTAAATAATTAATTTAATAATTTTTAAATTAATTTAATAATTTATTAAATAATTTATAAATTAATTTTTAAATTAAATTTAAAATTTATTTTTAAATAAATTTTTTAATTAATTTTTAAATTAATTAAATAATTAATTAAATAATTTTTAAATTAAATAAAAAATTAATTAAATAATCGGTTTTAAAATTTTTATATTTAATAATTAAATTTATTTAAATATTATATTTAATTAAATATATATAATTATTCCCGTTAATTTTTAATATTAATTTTTAATTAATTATATTTTTATATTTATTTTATTAAATTTTTTTTCCGTTATTTATATTACGTTTTAACCCCGCGTTAAATATTTAATTTTATTTTAATTAATTTTTTTATTAATTATTTAATGTTTTACGGGCCGTTAATTTTTTATTTAATTTAATTAAAAATTTTTTAATTTAATTAATTATTTTTTAATTATATATTTTTAATTATTTAAAAATTTTAAACTTTTAAAATAAAAAATTAATTATATAAAAAATAAATTTAATAATTTTTAAATTAAATTTTAAATTTAATTTATATTAAAAAATAAATTATAAATTTAATTTATTTTATTTTATATTATATAATTAATTTAACGTTTTTTAATTAATTAAATATTTTTTTAAAAATTTTTAACGTAATTAATACCCGTTATAATTTAATTATAATTTAATTATAATTTAATTAAATTATAATTTTAATTATAAATTAATTATAATTTCGAAAATTTATTTTATATAAATAAATTTTTTAAATTATTTTATTTATTTTAATTATATATTTAATTAATGTTCGGTTAATTTATTTTATTAAATTTTTATTTTTAATTATTTATTTAATTAATTTTTATATAATTACGTATTAACCCCGTTTTAATTAATTATACGTAATATTATATAATTATTATATAATTTTTAATTAATTTAAAAATAATATTATAACAATTTATATAAATAATATATATAATTATTTAATTATAAATTAATTTTAATTTAATTAAATTATAATTTTAATTATAAATTTATCGTAATTTAATTAAATTATAAATTTAATTTAATTAAATTATAAATAATTTAATTAATTAATTAAATTAATAATAATTATAATAGTTTATTTATAAGAATTAAGGTTAAAATCATTATTATATTAAATTAAAAATTTTATAATTTATAAAATTATAAAAAATTATTATATATTAAGTTAATTAAGCTTATTAAATTAATTATTCTTTATTCTTATTATAATTAATCTTAACATTTGTTTTTTACGAATAAAAAAAATAACGTTTTCGTTATTATGGTTATTTTTTAATTAATATTATACGATTTAAAACGTTTTCATTTCTTTATCGTATTAAAACTTATTTTATTTTTTTTATTTTTTATAATACTTTATTTAATTTATTATTTACCGCGCTTAATTACCTTTTATATTCCGCTAATATTTATTAAATTATTTATATTTTATCTTCTTATTATTTTTAAACTTTCGTCCAAAACTTAAATATAACTTTTTCCTTTTATATAAATTATATTAAACCATTTTTTTTAAATTATTTATTAATTATTTACGGCATTATTCCGTATTTAAATTTAATATTTCTTAACAATTATAATATTTTTAAAGTATTAAAATTTAATAACTTAAGTATTATATTTTTTAATATTTTAACTATATTTTAATTATATTTTAAACTAAATTTTTATATACATTCCAAAATTACTTTTATTTAATAATATAAATAAATTATTAATATTTTTTAATATATTAATATTTTAACAAGAAAACTAACTATTTTTTCTTTATTAAATTACTACTAAATTTTAAAACTTTTAATAATAAAAAAATAAAATATTCTTAATAACTTTACACTTTATAATAATTACATTTTATTAATATTATATACATTCTTTTTAAATATAGTTTATTTATTTTTAATATTATATTTATTCCATTTTTATTAACGTTATATTATTATTTTTACATGTTTAATAAATTAATCTTTATTAAATTTATTTAATTAATTTTTTATCGGGTTAATAATATTTATTTCCCATGTAATTTTATTAAAAAACATTATTATTATAATATTATATAAGTTAATAATATTATATAAGTTAATAAT